ACACCACCTAATAGTAGTTCAGTTCTCCAGTATCATGACGCTTTCTCAGCAATCCTGTCTCGCAAGCTACACACCGGTCGGTACATTGGTCCTTTCACTCGTCTTCAGCTTTTGGACGCCTTGGGACCCTTCCAATCCTCCCCCATATCAATCATTCCCAAAGCTGGCAAAGCTGGAAAATATTGTGTTATTCAAAACTTCTCTTTTCCTAATATTCCGTCCCAGGCTCATCCAATACCATCCATTAATTCCACGGTGGACTCAGATGATTTCCCATGCACATGGGGGACATTTGACACCGTCTGTACAATCATCCGCTGTTACGACTTGGATGGTATCTGTTGGCGACGCTCAAACAGAGCGTGTGTCGTCAACGGTCGAGGACGTCCTTGGGCTAGCCCAAGGTTAGGGGTCTTACTTGGCGAGGCTTCGGCAAGTAAGATTTGACGCCTATGTCCAAATCGGGTAGCTTATGTCAAGCGGGTGCGAGACGATAAGCTATATCGGCCTAGGCTTATGACACCCAAAGGTTAATTGTAAGATCGTCGTTAATTAGAAGGACAGAAGTCTGACTAGTTAACAGGGGCTTTGCTCGTCGACGAAGTCGATGAGTAAAGATCGAGACTATAGGCTTATCCGCGAAGAGCAGATAAGAAGATAGAATATAGACTGCTGGCGAGGCAGAAAGGATCACTCTGGTGAGAGTAGGAGGTCAAGAACCAAGTAGATTCAAGTTAGGGAATATAGTACATGGTAGCGAGTTTATATAGAGGACAGGAGAAGTATTAGTGGGTGATAACTCGTACTACCAAGAGAAGCAATCGGTAAAGGGCATAACCATAAAAGGAAAGCACGTTCGTGTTGAGACACGGGCGAGGCAGAACGTGCTGGATAAGAAAGTGAGTCAAAGGTCAAAATAAGAAGTGAAACACGCAGGGGCACAATCGTGCAGCTGCGGAGCTATCTATAAGTTGCATGTGCGACTGCGCACTGAGTCAGAGATCAAGAAAGGGAAGAGGGCAAAGGGGATGCGTCGTGCATCATATCATAGGTTACCGTCCAGACGGTAAGGGCAAGGGGACTGTCCACAGGATTAGTCAGGTGGTGGAACGGAGCATGGGTATGCTTCGTCAGCAAAAGGATCCGGCCAGATGTACTGGCTCTGCTGAAGCGACAGGTAGAGAGCGAAGGGGAATGCGAGGATGACAAGGATGACCAGGGTAAGGTCGGGGTAAGGGTATGATGCAAGGGCCGATACGAAGATGATTAGGAGAAAAATGGTAGGGGCCCAAGCGTCTAGATGTTCTTGTAACATCCGTGGTCTCCCACCGGGCTCTCAAGGTGCCACACAAGACGTGGCTGAAGCTTATCGTACTGTTCCGTTGCACTCTTCACAGTGGCCTGCAACAGTCATTTGTTTATCGGAAGACACCTTCTGCATTGACACCTGTACTGCCTTTGGCATGGGACCATCAGCTGGGGCTTATGGTCACGTTGCTGATGCTGGAGCTGACTTATTGCGAGCACAGGGTCTGGGACTGCTCGTCAAATGGATTGATGATCATTTGTTTTTCCGCATCCGCAAAGAGCATCTTGTTGCTTACAATCATCAGCGCTTGTTGGTTCATGCTCGTTTGGCTCAAACAGGCCAGCTTCAGAATGGTGGTCGCTTATGGTACAAAGGTGAAGAATTCAACGACGGTTCGTTTGATGAGTTCGCTGAAAACTGTGGTTTCCTGCTTCGTGACTGGTCTCAATCTTCAGTGCGCGCATGTGAAGGAGATCGCACATTTGCTTATGCCTTCTGCGACATTGATCGCATGTCATCCGATCTCGATATCCCTTGGGAACTGACAAAAGACACTCAATTCAGCTTTCAGGTTGTGTACATCGGTTTACTGTGGTGCCTTGTATCGCTCACTGTGGCACTTGCGGAAGGAAAAAAGAAGAAGTACTCTGACGCAATTACAGCTTGGTCATCAGCCACTACCCATGTCCTCCTCGACGTTCAGAAGCTGCATGGGAAGCTTCTTCACGCCTGTCTCGTCCTTCCCGCTGGACGAGCCTATCTCACCTCACTCGAAAGTATGCTTGGCGTCTGTAGTGCAAGTCCATTCATGCCACATCACTCAGTCCGTCATCTCGACAAAGACCTTAAATGGTGGTCTCAACAACTCTCTTTACCCTTTGTCGGTCGGTCAATCCCACAACCCGTCAAACTCGTCAATGCTCGAGCCTTCTCGGATGCCAGCTCCACCGTCGGCATTGGAATTGTTGTCGATGGGCATTGACGTGCCTGGTACCTACAGCCAGGTTGGCGGACACTGGATGGGGAGCGGGACATTGGATGGGCAGAGGCCGTTGGCTTCAAACTGCTTGTCCATGCCATCCTGTGAGCCTATCGGGGAAGTTCAGAGTCTCACTTCTGGATCCATTGCGACAACAAGGGCATTGTTGATGGTTGGCACAACGGCAGGAGTCGCAACAGGGCCACTAACCTCGTTTTCAGGCGAGTCCAACGTCTCCTTGACTCCCAAGGCACTTTCTCCTCCTTCCATCTCTGCTATGTTCCCAGCCATGACAACCCAGCAGATGGGCCTTCCAGAGGCATTTTCCCCCCGAAGCATTTGTTGCTCCCACCCATCCCGCTCCCCGGTGATCTCGACAGATTCGTCATCTCTGCTGTCTAACCCAAGAATCTCACACATGGACGCAGTTGCAAGCCATTTGCAGGCTTGGTTGACAGGAGAAAAAGAAGTACGAGTTGAGGAAGATGGAACACTCTCGTCCGCGAGGTCACGAGGTATCGGCATACCACGTTTTGCTAACCCCCCTACTCTATGGTCGACTGCAATGGCAGGTCCACCACGTCCATATGCTCTCACTTTGACACCTTTAGCTTCGCCTTTGCGTCCACATTGCCTAGCACGTGATCACTTGCGCTTATGGGTACCTGCGATCAAGCGTGCAGGCATTGATCGCACTGGAGTACCAGTTCCACTCTCCGAGGCCGACCTAGACAGAATCCTCATGGTCATCTCGCATTCTCATGCACCCAGCACACGTGAAACTTATGGATCGGGCCTCTTAGCATACCACATATTTTGTGACACTCGGCGCATCTCTGAAGACCAACGTTGTCCAGCGTCTCCTGTTCTACTTCTAGCCTTTGTCGCTGCCTGCGCAGGGGTGTATGCAGGTGCCACACTCGATAATTACTTTTATGCAGTCTGCGCCTGGCATCTCGTTCACGGAGCACCATGGCTCCCTAATCATGCTGAATCTTCCCTCGCACTGACTGGTGCTGCAAAACTGGCTCCTCCATCATCCAAGCGTCCAAAACGCTCTCCTTTCACGGTGGAACTCATCGTTCAAATTCGGAGCGTCCTAGATCTGTCAAAACCACTCCACGCGGCTGTCTTTGCTTGTCTGACAACTTCCTTTTTTACCATTGCTCGTACTGGGGAATTCACAGTACCTTCTCTGACCAGCTTTTGCAACGACCCCAGTGCTCACGTCAAAATTCGCGACATTCGTTATGACCAAGATCGGAATGGTTTCCGAGTAGTTGTCTTTGGCTTGCCGCGAACCAAGACGTCAGCAACGGGAGAGGATGTTTATTGGGCAGCACAGTCTGGACTTGCTGATCCCCACACAGCTCTACAACAGCACCTCACGGTCAATCAACCTCCTCCATCTGCTGCAGTTTTCAGTTGGCGCCACGCAGGAGGACTAAGGCCTTTGACGAAGTCCGCATTCCTCACCTGTCTGCAATCTGCCAGCAATCAGCTTGGAACAGGAGCCCTAAAAGGGCATGGGATTAGAATTGGCGGGACTTTGGAGTACCTGCTCCGCGGTGTGCCTTTTGACAGTGTCAAAACAATGGGCCGTTGGAGCAGTGACGCATTCATACTCTATCTTCGACAACACGCAGTGGTGCTCGCACCCTATCTCCAAGATACGCTGGTATTAGAACCCTTCATGCGCTATGCCATGCCTCCGCCTCGTTAACTTTCGGTAAGTTTCTACATCGCCTTTCTCCTTTTGTTGGGGGACAAGCTTTTGCTTGCTGCGTCAACGGGCTCCTTAATTTCGGGATACACAGCTCACACTTGTCCTTTCCGCTAGGTCCTTACAGTCTGTTTCAGCCTAAAACCCCTGCAGGGTTTTTACCCAAATTAGTCTTTGCCTTAGCCGCCGTCGTCATAGCCTTTTGTTTGTCATCGTCGTTCTAGAATCTATGTTGCCTTATCTTGTGCTCTACCTTTGAGTTTAAGTGCATAGAGTTGGTTTCAGTGACCTTTTCGCCTCTTGGGTGTGAGCAATCACATACCAGTATACTAGAATGACAAATAGCTGAGTTTCAAAAATGCGAAAAATGCGGCTGTGTATGTGCAATATAATGGCTGGATGGACTGATATATCATCTTGGGCAATGGGTAAGCTAGACACTGGATGTATCGCATTTTTAGGCTTATAAGCCATATTTGATATATCATTCTAGTCATATGGCCTGCATTGAGCTGCGCCACGAGGTGCTTGAGATACTCAAGTTCGTCTGAGGGTGCCATATCGAACTTCAACGACCGACGAATGCTTGAGTCTTGTTGACCGGAGAAGTTTGGAAGGAAGAAAAATGGGCGCCCCCTGTCTTCACCATATAACTATTCTGGATAGAACGGAGTTTGAGCGCTGAGCGCGTATCTAATAAGGTTTCCCGTCGACGCATTGTGAATTGCAGCAGAATCCCATCACTCACCCGCTGTATAACGTTCTGAAGAATCATAACTTCGTCCTATTAATCTCGCCCGATTCGTTTTAGTGTTACTCGCCGATCCTCGGTGAGTTTCCAGATTCTTGTTTATATCTGAACCACTCGGAGAGCACAATGTCTGAATAATGTTTAATCATTACACATATTTCGTGGACACCGTGAAGCTCACGTTCTCACAAGTGTTGGATGCAGAACTGATCAAGACAAAACCAACAATAGAATAGTATCAAATGAGAACCTCCATTCCGCCCCATTCCAACACCCTGAACAAAGTCACATCACCAGCTCTCGCAGGATCAACTCCAACTACATCCACCCACCAAGCAACGTCTTTCTCTGCTTGATCTTGTGCACTAGCCCAATTTACTAAGTCCTCCTCACAGATACCTTTGAACAACATGAATACGCGAGTCACGACGTCGGGCTGCGGAGAAATGCTTAAAGAAGCGGCGCGTTCGAATGTCGCTTGAGGGACAAATCGGAGGGCAATGTATTTGTGCTTAAGGATCGATGGTAGCCAGTAGCTACCACGGCAGTTTCAGTGATGTGTTTGTGATTTGACAGATTTGAGAATGTACGCACGTTATGAATGATGTTCTGGCTTCGGTGTGAAGTCCCAAAACCTTGAGCGAGTTATCGAGGTAAACTGTTACTCTGTCCACTGGAATGACAATTGAATCCATATCATCGAGATTACTGGATACTGGATTGAATGTATCCACCGGTTGCGGTTTGGATGCTGGAGACCGGGGAAATTCTTGTAAATTTGTCCTGCGAAGAGTAATACGAGTAAGTAGAGCAATTTCTGTATCATTAGGGACTTACTCTGTCTCCCAGAATAAGTACGACACATTCAAGCCAGAATTATGTTCGGTCAGACTCCCATCTTGATGGGTGCGTACGTTCCATTCTAGACGGTGTCCATGGTCTTCTATGGTGACAATGGGATAGATGACAGAGAGGCTCAGCTCTGGAATTAGGGAGAGCTTGACCGAGACATCGATGTCGGAGGGCGAGTATAGATAAATGACTGGCTTTTTTGTAAGCATCCTAGACCTGTAACTTATATCTCGAATGGCGATAGAGTCGCCATCCTCTATGCTGTACGATGCGATCTTCCGGTTCCCATGCATCTTCATCCCCTCGAAAACCGCATCGACATAAACGGGATCTTTTCCCAATATCTTACTAGCATCAGAAACCAGTTTGTCCACCCACATTTCCCTCGAGATTGTGATAGTCTGAATCTCGCCAGATGGAAAAGCGAGTTTGACTGTGACTTTGTTATCGGACTCCCCTGACAGGATTGGGACAATGTCCCAAACCTCGTCATCGTCATCGTTCGAGCTATGTAGTCTCAATTTCAGTAATGAAAACACTTGTAGAATATTTGGGGTGCATACGAGCAGCTGTCCAGTTCACCAAATTGGCTCGGCGACGATTGACCGCCGTCGAACAGCCGTGGGTCCTGCAATGTCGTATCCACACCCCCAGTCACCTCAACGAGGTGAAGGAACTCAATGACATCATTCCAGACTTCAGCCGTGATGTGGACATAGTGTCCATCGCAGATATCGAGCTGATTGGTCTCCAACGCGACTTTATCTCTCCTAATGTGTGGGAAATGTCTGCAGACGGAGTCAAGCATTAACTTAGTTATAATATCCATGAGCCATTAAATGTTCAGACGGTTGTTCCGCTCACATTATGTCTCCTTTGCCGTTTAACCAGGACCCGTTGTTGACAATATTTCACAACAATACATTGCGAAAATTGTTCCTGAGTCATCTTAATAATAGTAGAAGCAAACATTCAGAGGTACGAATAAGTTTTGAGACTTTCAAGTAGAGGGTGATGACTGACGACAATTAGTATGACATGCTGGCATATGATCCCTTAATAACAGCAAGAGACTCGGTGGTAGTGATGCATAGGACGTGGCTATTGCATCCACCACGTCATATGCATGCTATGTTGCTGCGCAGAAGACCGACGGCAAAAAATGCGCAGCAACATACAGTTGAAATACATTTTCCTAATGCATAACATGTCGGTATGCATTACCTAGTGTTCTTTCTATGTAGTATAAGCCACTCGACTAGATGATTAAAGATTAAACGAATGGAGTACCAAATATGAACCTGCCGCAAGATCATCGGAGCATCGCGTTCAGGTAACTGGTGCCAAGTCAGAGGAAATCCATCAGAACTTCAGAAGCACATGGGAACCACTTGAAAATGACCAGCTGCGTGAATAGAAAGGAGTTATCTACCATGAGTTACCCACCTCGAAGATAGCCCACGGGAGATACAAGAAGTGAAAACCAAATATTGATGATGTCTAATAAAACACAAAGTACACCTTGCGATCGAGTCTCTGCCTTGCTGTAGCACGATTCGACACGCGTAACAACCATCCGCGATCTCAAAAGCCGCCACGTAGAGCAAGAACAAGGTGAAGAACTGATCCTGCGGAGATGTTGAACTCCTTAGCGGTCTTGTCGTCCGGCCTGGATCATAACCAACAATGATACGGTCAGTTTGCGTGATCTGATAAAGATAAGGGCTAACACACACATCTGTCTCCCACCGAAGATCAATCTCTGTTGTTGTGGTGGCACACCGGACTGCTCTTCAACCTTCTCTTTGATGCGAGCGATCTGTGTCCCCATGGTTCGTGAGCTTGACGGTGGCAAGTGTGCTCGGTTGTAGATACCTTGTCTTCGAGATCTATATCCAGCTCAATCTGTCCATACATGACCGTTAGTCATGAAAAAATCGCGAGAATTGGATAGGGTACCTCCTTGCCAGTGAGCGTCTAGTGGACATCAGTGTGGCCGAACGTTTTTTTGGAGTGAGTCTAAATGCTTACTTTGACTTTGATCAACATGGTCAAAGATGCACGCCGTGAATCCACACCTTCCGCTGTACTCGATTGTGCGTGCGAGAGGCATGATTGACGTTATATTCAAGTTCAAGCTCCGCGAACCCTCTACTATGTCCTAGCGTCCCATGCAATGAAGCAGGTCAGGTAACAGGTATGTTTGCAGAGCTTGATATCAACTTCTGCAGGACGCAAGAGTAAGAGAAACAAACACAAAATTCGTATATAAAGAGCCATGTGTTTCTACTTCTAACTAACGCTAATCTAAATAAACGAGTCATTAAAACGAGGGTGGTAGTAGGTAGTAGCTGTGCTGCCGATCGAAATTGTTAAATGCTCTAGTATGTGTGTCCCATCCAGTGCGGTGGTAGTTGGTATTCCTTTGCTAGTTGTTCAGTGTGGAATTGGTCACCCTTTGGTGCGGGTGCGTGAAATCCTCGACACCCCTTAAGCTCCCAAAATTAAACTCCTATCCACAGATGTATCTCCCTCCTCACTGCTCTCCCCGTCCTCCTCAATCGCCTCCTCCGTCCTAGACCTCTCCTTCACATACTCATGCCCCAAGAAATTCATCACACTACCAACACATCAGCACACGCCCAATACATAGCTCAACAAAAAATCACTCACTAAATTGTCCCGTCTGCGCACCCTACCACTACCTCCTCATGTGTGAGTTGCATCGACATCGGATTCTTCTCTGGCGTCGCCAAGCCCGCGAACTTGGGCGGCAGCGGACCAAGAAGACCTTTCGCACCCATAGGTGTGGCATGAGCAAGCGTTTGCCATGCACCTGACAAAGGAATGATATTTGCATCTATGTCAACGCTCGGCATTGGGGACGAAAACATCGGGTTTTCATAGTCCGTTGTAGGTCCCGTGTCTTCATCCACTGCACCGTCAAGGCCATCAACCTTGTCCTTGTTTTGATGCGTCGACATTAGAATCTGGGTGCACGATATGAACGAATGAGGAACAAGTTCGGGTAGGAAAACGACAGAACAGACATACCCTCCGATCAGCTCCCGCCCGCGAACTAAACCTGGTAGCAGTAACCACTCTCCTCTTCCTAGGATCAACTGCGCCAACTGCAACATCAGGCGTCTCTACGAGCGCAACGAGCTTGGGAGGTGCAGTTAAAATCGCTGCCCGCCCGAACCGAATTGCAAACCCGTCTGCACCCACCGCACCCATAGGGGATAACGGTACACCCATCGGGGATAGCGGAGTGCCAGATCGAGGGAGTAGGGAGAGCGGTGATGGTGATATACCTGACAACTGAGATGCGCTGAGATTGGAGGCGAGAGGCGTGGAAGGTGTTCCAAGCGAAAGTCGTGATTTGGGCAAGCTCGATGTACTCACCCCGAGAGCAGACTGTCTGCGCTGGGGAGTAGACATCTGCGTAGGCCGTATAAGGGATGAGACGGCGCGTGATCTCGGGTTAAGGGAGGAGGGCGTAGGAGAGGTAAGAGTCCTTCCAGTGAATGTAGGGCTCATTGTAGTCGTCTCGGCAGGAGTCTTCTCGTCTTCATCTTCGTTCCATTGCAAATGCAAGATCACAGATTTAGTCGCGCACTAATGAGAAGCGAATGAGGTATGCAGGCTAAAGATAAGTACAACGCCTACAGTCATCTGCGAGCCCTTGGCCGCGAACCACTGTAGCATATTATTAGGCGCAGAGCCCACATTAAACAGCTTCGCATGCAACACAGGGTCGCTACCGCCGAGTTCACTGAGCTTGAACTGCGAGATCATCTCCCTCCTCTCTGTGCACCATCAGCAACAGAGCAAAGAGTAATTCGACAGCACAGAGACAAGAAACTCACTAATCGAGAAAACACGAACAATGCCATCGATAGTCACACCAACTACACGCTCTCCCTCCGCCTCTGTGCCCCCTTGGACGATCTGCACACCGATATTAATCGTTGTCTGTTGTCCAAACCTCACGATTTTCGTCCCAGCGCGCCAATCCCAACATACGAGAGCCTTGTCAGCGCCTGCGCTGACGAGGTTCTTTGAGGAAAGCGCAACGGCGCGGATACCGTTGAGGTGTCCGGCAAGTTGTTGAAGAGGCGTGAATGTGACGGAGGAAAAAAGGTGAACGCGGCTGTGGCATATAATTTCATTTCAAATATCAGATATACACAAATGGACGCACCCAACATCATGAAATCCAACCACAAAAACCTCTTCGGCACATGAGCTCCAAACACGTGCAATGAACTATATCAAAAAAACGACGCACCTTCCTCCGCCAAGAAATCCACACAGCTCACAGGCTTCTTCACCTGCAAGCACTTTTTCATCTCGCCAGTGTCAATGTCCCAGAAACGGATGGTTTCGTCGTAGGAGCCTGAAATGAGGCGCTTGCCTGCAAAAGGATCAATAGAAGTCCTTCCTTGAGAGTAAAGACAGAATATGAAGGAGAAAGGTGATAGACAGAGCATAGCTGTGAATCAGAGTGGCTGGAGAAGCAAGATCCGTTTTGAAATACAGCTGCTGACATTCAGCCCTCCTGGTCCACAATCTACATCTCCTAAAGAAAATAGAGTCAAAAGCGTGCGCGAGCACCGCAGTTAGGGCGGAATAAAGGAAGGGTAGCCGTGAATCAGAGTGGCTGGAGGAGCAGAACCTGCAATACAATTGCTAACAGTTGACCTCCTTGATTCACGTCCTACGGCTCTTCATCGACGCAGAAACCCTAAAAAAAAAAAGTGCCGTCCACCCCCAAAATGACCACAACGACACCGAAAATGCCCCAAAAACACCCCTCACCTCTCAATAACAACGTCGTACAAAAATTCGTATGTCCATTTAAGAACCGTATGCTCTGCGGAAGCGCATGCGCAAAATTGGATTCGCGGTGGTGGAGGGAGCAGTAGAGCGGGAACCTGCAATGCAATACGACGAAAGAATCAGTAAATGTAAGCATCGGGCTCATAATGGAGAAGAAAAAAGCAGGGGCGAGTGGGAATCGGGAGAAAAAAACGAAAGGCGAGGAAAGGGAACTCACCATCCCTCAGGCTGCGCTGGTGGCCTCACACGGACCGGATCATTGGCAGTCAAGCGCAGACAATGCCACCTCCACAATGCAGGATGACGAGTTGCGGTGTACCATTTTTTCGAAACCTGTTATATGCCATCAGTACTCATATGCTTTCGACTAGTGTTTCAAGAAACAAGGGTTCCGAGCACTGACGTGCCCCGATATCCCACAAACCCATCGCAGAACACTGACAAAATACTCACCAACCCAGCCCTAATAACCTCTTTCACGCTCAGCTTGCTCAAGATCTGAAGGGCGATATTAGGGGCGAGGAAACCGATGATGTCAAATGAACTTTTAAGGTATTTTTGGAGGAGGAGGATTTGGAGGGGGATGTCGCCTGGGAGGGTTGCTGTTAGGGTGGTCGTGGAAGAATGAGAGGCGGGGGGAAGGGAGAGAAGGGAAAAGAAGGGTTTATCAGCTGGTACTTCTCTATGAAGATGTGCGGGACGTACATTCGAGTATAATCTGGATACTACGCGGGAGAATGCAAGCGTCAGCATCTTTACCAAAACAGCAGAGTAACAAAGGATAGAGAGACCAAGGAACACATCCAGACTTGTCAGATCATTTGACCCCTGCACCAACCAGCAGGCACGACCTCCTTCCATCGTGGACAAGAAACATAAACCCAAGCCATAACAAAGAAAGACTCACAGCCTCCCCCGACCCTCCCTTCCCAACCCTCTCACAGCCCTCCTGATACCCTTCTCATTAAGCTGCTTCATAGCATCTACCAAATTGCCACCCTCTCCAGTCTCATCCTCCTCCACATCCCCCCAACTAACCCCGTCCCAATATCCCCTCTTCCTCCCACCACAAACACAATACTCACCTCCCTCCAGTTGCAAGGATTCTTGTGTCTGAGCTTGAGACTGAGAACGCAATTCTGCGAGTTGAGCTTGAAGATGATAAACCTGCGCTGCGCTACTTGCGTGAGCACGTTCGAGGAGACGCTTGTAGGCAAGGAGTTTGGACGTGTGGAGGGCGCGGATTTGAACGAGGGCTTGGTCGAGCTGTGAACTTGAGTTAGATGTGTTTGACAAAGGAGAGAGAATTGGGGAGGGGAGGAACGAGTGGGTTTATGCACGTGAAAATGGGGTCTACATAGTGATATAAGCGGGAAAAGATGTGTGCATGAAGTGCGCGTCAGGGGCACGCGACGAACACAAGACCGTGCAGGATCTAATGATTGCAAAAGCACGCAGGCACAAAGCAGTGGACAAATGACTAAAACACAAACTCACCTCTTCATCGCCTTCCCCATCCACATCCGTAACCATATCGAACGTCATTCCATCATCCTCATGGTCCCATATATCCTCCAAACCCGCATCACTGTTCAAATTGATCACGGTACCGTTCATGACATGTCCATTCACGCGTCTCGGACTACTGATAATACCCCCGGTACCATCACTGAAGACGCTTCCTATCTTTGTCCCGCCCATGGCACTTGCAGCCATACCTCTTTTCGAGGCGAGCGATTCTGACAGCAACGCGACAGGCTCTTTACCCATGAAGTTTGAGCCAGGAGAACGGACTTTTGGACTTGACGAGTGCACATTTTTCGTTCCAGGGGAACGTGTCATATTGGATGTCCCTGATGGTGTACGATGTAGCTGAGTACGAGAGAGAGAAGAGGATTTGGAGGGTGTGGTGATTGAAGGCGTGTTTGTTGAAGGTTTTGAGGGTGTGTTGCTTGAGTGTGGCTTAGGTGCGGAAGAAGGGGATACCACAGTGGTCGGAGTACTCTCCATGGAGACGGTCCTGGTCATAGAAGCAATTTCGCCGCTCCCAGATACGGATGCTGAATTGGAAGTAGCAGAGCTTGCGAGCACGCGGACTGACGGGGATGAAGGATTGTTCTTGTGTTTTGCGGGACTTGGAGATGTAAAGTTTATAACGTGTTTTGGAGAGGTAAGGTTGACTGAGGCACGGTATTGATGAGATGGAATTGGGACAGATGTTTCGGAAATAACGCGTGCTCGAGATGGGGTTGATGACACCACGCTTCGATTTCCATTCGAGTCTGTAGTGCTGCGAGTGGAAGCAGACAAGGAACGCGGGAAAGCACTAGGCGGACCTGTGCCAGGACGCTTCAAGAGGGTCGGTGTCGTGGAGAGCATGTTCGAAGTAGAATTTGAATTCGAGATTGGTTTGGCGGGCTTCACAGTTGTACAACCGCTTGCATCGCTTGTGATCGACAGCGCACGCGTCTTAAGAGAAGTACGCGTAGTAGTCGAGTTTGACGTCGTGCGCGACAACGACAAACGTGAGCGCGTTGAAGTCTCAGACGGCGTCGGCATTCTAGTTCAGTGGCTTGTTAGTGCTGTGAGCAACCACAAAGTAATAAACCGCGTTCTTCCCACGTCCACACAAATCAGTACTTGGTGTTACTAAATACCGGCTACTATATGTCATCCACTAAAGTTTTAAACTTGGCGTCAGGATCAGGGCATTTAGGCGACCTGAACATGCAAATATCAGGCGGCTGCAGGATTAACTAATGTGGAATATCGAGGTCGATATTATGAGTACGTAGTCTCATGAGTCGTTGCGCGTAGCGTCCACAAAAGTTCCGCGGAAGTAAAAGATTCCTGAGTGTAACATACAAATTACGACGATGCGCAGTGTGTCATTCACGCGTATTTCTACTGTCTCACTATCGTGAGCTTAGTAGTTGGCATCCTGTTCCATGAGCCCAAGGGCAGCTGCAGAGCGAGGCTTGATAGAACACTTGAAAGGTTTGGGGTGTGTCAATTCAAACCTGCCCTGGACATGACAAGATGTTCGACATACCTGACCGCACCTGGTAATGGTTCTACCTCGGGGGTGATCTCAACACCGTTCTCGACAACCTTGGAAATATCGAACACGGCCAGTGACATCGCAGTGGATATCCAAATGGAAGCATCAGCAAGGTGGAGACCTGCATATCAAAAGCAAGCAGATGCCAGAATAGTGAAAATACTATTACTGAATCGATGCGAGTTAGACACACCTGGGCAAATACTGCGGAGCAAAAAGCTAGCATTCCAACCAGATCCAGAACTAATTTCATGCTTACCGTCTATCGAAGCCGAAGTACATTGTGCGGCTCTTCTCAGGTTCCTTTCTATCCCTAGCCAAGAAGCGTTCAGGATTGGATTGCGAGGGGTCAGCATATGTCCTTGGATCGTTGAGCATGAACCTGTCGCAATTAAGAGCATCTTTCCTTCACTCGAAGGAGAGCACCGACCAAATGTTAGGCATCACTAAAAAGCCTTTTGGAATATAGTGGCCGTTATGGAATATCATTTTTTTGTAATTGAGATACTCGTTGGTAAATAGATCATGTTTTGACCGAGAATTACATGTTGATGGGAAGAACAACGTTCCAGCGCACGACTTCTTTGACAAGAGCGTCAGTATATGGGAGAGAGTCGCGGTCAGTGACGGAGGGAAGACGGCCAATACTGACGTTCGCATCTATTTCAGCCTGAGCTTTCTTCTGCACATCAGGAAAAAGTGTCATGGCTAGAGAAAGCAAGTATACTGCAGAAACAGTCTGAAAATAAGCGCAGTACTTTCAGAAGATGATGACTAGAAACATAAATATGTAGGGACAAACCGTATTGGCACCACCAGCGTATAGGGACGAAGCAGACCATTTCACAATGTGTCCTCTTCCGCAGAGCCTTCCAATAGATTCGAGGTAAAAGACACAGGGGCGATTCCAGCGGGTGACCTGTAAACTCTGAACTTCAATATATGCTCACAAAACTTGCACAAACCTGCAAATTGGTCACCATCTGGTCCTTGACAAACTCGTCGGGTGCAGAAACCTTCGAGAGTCCCACGCCATTCGCATGCTATCATCTTGAAGCCAACATCGGGGAACCATGACTCACGATCGGGGACCTCGACCATAAAGGCACTGGGGAGTTATGGCCTGCGAGCAAGATTCACTGGAATACCAATTGATGCAAAGGACAAAAATCGACACCAGCAGGATTTGAACCTGCGCACGGGAACCGTAAGAGATGTCTCCGATTCGAATCTCTCGCCTTAACCACTCGGCCATAGTGCCACGAATGTGAGCTTCAGTTGCTTTTATCAAGCATGCATTTAAACGTGGGAAGGACAAGGTCAGCGTTCGGACTTTCATTGATACCATAAACTGCCGGGCCTCACTCAGTCCCAAATGCCAGTGCTCACTGCATAGCAGGCGAAAATCATTCAAAGTCATTCTTCCTAACATAGATATCATCAGTACTTGACTCAACAAGAATCATATCCTACCCTACACAGGGACACCATCCCATGGTATGTCTTGCGCAACATTTCTGCAGGCAGCTTGACCATGGGCCGAGTGTCAGAGTTATCAACAACTTTATCGTCGTGTTCTTGTCATTTACCCGAAATAATAGGCGCCTTGCGCCACAGCGATAAGACATATTGATAAGTGGCACGTTTTCTTATCGCTCACCACCAACCTGCCATCACAGCGCATGTAAGTATCTGCTCCTGTCATGTTCCTACTGACTGTGAGAACCAAAACTAGATTCGATGTCGAATAATGCCGTATCTCCACAAGCCTTTGCACCCTTTATTCGAAAGGAGGTGCTTCAGGCCGAAATGACGCTCAAGGGTCACGAGGATTGGGTGAGAGACATTGCTTTCATCCCTGGTACCCGTCTCTTCGTCACTTGCTCTGACGACAAAAGTATTCGGCTCTGGAACCTGGACACAGGGAAACAAGTGGGGAAGCCCTTATCGGGTCATAGTGACTATGTCTTGAGGGTTGCAGCATCTCCTGATGGGCATTGGATTGCCAGTGGAGCATCATGGTATGGGAGGTTCCGACAACGAAAAGCCTGAACGTGCCGGTTTCAGACGTGTTCAAGGGCCATAGGAGGGACATCTGGAGTGTCATGTTTGCGCCGGACAGCAAAACATTTGCAAGCGCATCATACGACAAAACGGTTTGCGTGTGGCAGAGGGAGACAGGCAAAATCACCCTTGGACCATTTCAAGTGGGTGGTGAGGCACACTCGGTATCATACTCTCCCGATGGGAGTAAGCTAGCAGCAGGCACCGAGACATATATCATATTATGGGACGCAACGAGCGGAGAAGAATTGTTGAAGATAGAACAGCGGGCATGGCTGGTCGCGTTCACTTTAGATGGCCTCCGTCTCATCAGCGGGAATTTCAACGACATTCGAATATCACGCACTGCCACTGGAGAAATCATCAAACAATTTGACGCACACACTGATCTTATCCAATCATTGGCCATTTCTCCTGATGGCACGAAATTCGCTACTGCGTCAAGCGACAAAACAACACGATTATTTGACCTGACCACATTGGAACCCATCGGCGAGCCACTCGAGTGCCCCGATGCACTGTACTGCGTCACTTTCTCCGAGGACAGCCAGCTCATTGTGACTGGCTGTGTTGATAGACTCGTTCGCATATGGGCAGTTGATCGAATTGAGTCGGAAGAGCTTCAGCAGGTGAGCATATTCTTACGTTGTGCCATGCTTCATACTGATCTGTCATATAGTCCATACACAAGGTTTCTAGATCTCTCAGACACGCCCGCATATACTAACTTCCGGTGACATACAGGATCAGCACTGTACTCGGTCTTTCAAACCAGATGTACGCTTGCACACTTGTCCTTGTCCACTCTTGCTGACTTCGCTCCTACTGGGAAGTCTCGACCAAAACGCGCTGGAATCTCTCGAGGGTTCTTCGACGATGTAAGACTTCATGTTGCAGTAGATTCATCACAGCCTACTCGTCTCACCATACTTCCAGTTTGATATGCGTTCCCAAGTTCAACGCAACGCTCGTACTGTTCCAACACCACAACGTCATATCGAAGGTTCTCGCATGAAACAACTCATCAATCGTCTTCCGTTTCGTTCCTCCGCTTCTCAGAGTCCTAGTCCACGCACTGGTCAGATCGCTGTTATGGATGTCTTCGCCACACGGGGTAAATATGTATGTCTTTTGCGATGATCTTGTATCCTTCCCTTATTCATTGATTCCCCTGTAGCGCACTGCAAATGCTATTAGCGGAAAAAGGCATTTAGCGCGACCATCACATCCTCCTCGCAAAACAACCCACACCTCTACTGCTAGTGTCCCGGGTGCCAACACCAGCGCAGCGGGGATGTCCAATGTTACTAGCGGTGCAACTTCAGCAAGCGTGCGGACCATAACAACTAGCGCTCCTGCAATGATCGACGAACATCCACCACTAGATACTGAACTTGTTCCGAAGACAAAGTGCTTGACAGTCCTCACTGGGTGGTTCCTGTGTGGTAGAGTCCACTGAAAATGTATAACCTACAGTGCACCTCATAGCTCTTTAGTGACGCTAGATCATTATACACGATTCACGATGTAAACAATGTACATCTCCAAAGTCCACTTCAAATGTTGCTGACCATCGATCTGGAGAAATGTTCCACCACAGTCAGATTATACATCTGATGGAGCGGGATGGTACGACTGCCTGGAATTGGGCGGCATCGCATCCTTGGTGGCCCAAGTTCATCTCATAGGTAGGCTGACGTGTAAGCTTATACACTCATTCATAGAACGTTCCCGGAAAATATTTGAGATCCCACAACACACCTCCTGATATTGATGATTCATCCCAGTTCAGAAAAGCTCACCTCTACTATTTTCGTGGTAAAAGTAATCCCACTCACGACTTCTGTTCTATCTGTACGTCTGCTGCTGGAAAATCGGTATATCCCTTCTCAGTGTGATCGCCAGCGAGGTAGAATGTTGCACGGTCGGGCTTAGCAAGCGGCAGGTCATGTATAAGTCTGGCAGGGAGGTCGGGCTGTTGGAAGAGCGTGGAGAATAGGCAGTGATAGAGAAAGGCCGATGAAAAAGATCGACCCAGGAGCAGGAAGAGAAAGTTGTCAGCACACATGAGCAAATACAATGGACGAAGATTTAACAAGGACAGAAGACTTACATTCGGAATGTACAACCTGCCAAACGCTATCATGTCCCCGTGCTTCTGCGCTGTCTCAATTGCGGTCTGTCGTGTGTACCCGCCCGCACTGATAAACACGCCGTTCTTTCCCTCCTTGTACCATATATCACGCAGGAAATCGTTGCTACTCTGTGGTGGTGCATCCACATCAACGTTTCCGCCGACACGTGGCTCTGTGACATGAAGGTAGGCGAGGTCGTACTTCCTGAGCTCGCTTACAAGGTAGGAGAATTGTGGTTTTGGATCAGGAAGGCCCATATCTGCATGAAGGTTGGTCTAGCATAATACGGGGAACAGAAACAGAACGCACCTTGAAACGGACTCCATGGACTCAGTCTAACGCCGACCCTCTCAGCGCCGACTTCTTTGACAAGCGCATCCGTGATCTCTATCGCAAATCTTGCTCTCTTCTCGATACTCCCACCCCATCCGTCCTCCCGGGTATTACTCACTTCTTGCAAGAACTGGTCGACAAGGTATCCATTTGCACCATGAATTTCGACGCCATCGAAGCCTGCTGCGATGGCATTCTTGGCACCAGCGACAAAACTCGTAATATACGATTTTATTTCTGATTCTGTGAGTGCGTGGGGGACTGCAGTGGGGCGGATGGAGAGTGGGATAGGAGAGGCGGATACAAGAGGGGAGTTATTCTCCTTGGCAAGGGCATCTGGGACTGCAGCTCTCCCGAGTGCCCACAGTTGGCAAAATATAAAGCTACCCTTCTCGTGTACAGCATCAGTGACCCTTTTCCACCCTTCTATCTGTTCCTGGGTATAGATCCCTGGAACGAACTCCCTCCCACCAGCGGCCTGGGAGATGAAGGTCGCTTCGGAGATGAGGAGTGTCCCTGGGACAGATGCACGTTGCGCATAGTAGGTGGCTGCATGAGGTCCGGGTACATGGGTAGGGTAAGCACGAACACGGGTAAGGGGGGCGAGGACTATACGATGGCTAATTTCCATGTGGCCCACTTGGATGGGTGTAAAGAGGGTGGGCGTCATCGTGAGACCGGTGAGCAAGGTGCGTAAGGGTGTGCTTGGGCTTTGCGAGGTATAAGTACTCGGACTTTAACGTCGGGAATTGTGGACAGGCGTGGAATGATGTGTATTAGCCGGTCGCCATGAGAAAACCTTCTCAGCTGAAGATGCGTCGACCACCTGTGGCACATCATGTGAAGTTTGGACGTGACTCCTCGGATTTTGATATCCCATGGACCAGCCAAATTTGACTAAGCTCTGAACCCAGTTCCGAAGTGCGAGCATGAGTGCACAACATATCAAACTTTGAAGAAGTCACAGGGCTCTCTCACGGGCATCGTCCTCAGTAACAGCAGCAGATGATACCTGTTATCGAGCAATCAATACCACCTGATGATAAAGAATGCGATAAACACATACCGGCAGCATCATTCCAGCACAGCATTTCTTATACCAACAACAGGATTCATGTTAAGCATGTGCCTTCTTGTACACGTCACGTCATGTGTCTGGGGGTTTTGATCATGACCCGTTCAATTGCACTGCTGAGCTCAGTTTGCATGTGGTATTAACACGAAATGCAGTTGTGGGGCTCTCGCCCCAATAACTTGAACGAATGATGGATACTTACATCGATGATATCTAGTATACGATCCAAAGTCGTCATGATAGTACGGAGTCGTAAAACTGAGTTTGAATATTTGCGAGACGATAGTGCCGCGGCTCGTCCACTCCCGAAACTGTTCTACTTGATCAAATCACTCAGAGTACCTTTTCCAGATACATGGCATCTTCTCTTTGAGATTCTTAGAAGAGATGATGCAGCGTGTAACTGGGAAAATGAAAATGATTGATGTTGAGACGAGTTGGGAAGCTTTATACTAATACTAGGGGTGTCTGACAGCCATCGATCGATATCTTGCGCACATGCTTACGAATGTACATTCCACAGGTGCATGGTGATTCTGCACTTGTCATGTACTTGGCCTGCTGCAGCTGACAATCATCTTATCTTGCCAAGGAATCAATAATCCATTCAAGATTCAATGACTTGAAGCAACTTCTCCGTTTCAGATATTGCATGCCTACCTGAGTGTTGTCGAAAGTTAGACTAGGAAGCTGTACGGTATACACGACACAGGTGAGTTTTTATTGGGTCCATCGTGCGCATACACACTTGTATTTAATCTTCGAGTCCATCTATGTCACACCAACAGTACTTGAGACTGTGCTGTGGACTGATCTGCACGCCCCTTAATGGTATTCTTCTTGTGTCATCACACGTCTTATCTTAGTCTAACACCGATCGCAGGGATTCTGACGGACATGGGGATTCCCAAGAGTCAGAATCCCCACATATACCATCAATTGCCTTACCCGCAGACTTCAACATCGATACGGCACTCAAAGTCAATACTGCCAGTGCCGAGGTGCTGTATGATGTATTCAGGGCACACGGCCTCGAAGTTGACGGCACCGGTCTGAGATGGACCCTCCGTTGTCCTGACTGCAAGGAATGGTGCCAGACTAGCATACCCTCGGGCCTTATACTCTGGCATGCCTATATTTCACGAAAATTTTACACGAACTTCAATATGCAACTAGAACCATGTAGTAAGTGGACCTGTATTTTTGATACGTTGTTGAACGTTTTTCAAAAAAAAAAAATCCAATTTATGTCCTATTGAGAGTTATACTCTATGGAGGACAGTACTATCTAGGCTGAGGGACCCCCTGTGTCCCTATCGCAGCTCTGAGCACGCGAATGCCCTGGTGTGAAGCGTACTCCCACCAGTCCGCCGTTCCCGCCGGCCGTTTTAGACGCGCTACTCGTTGAAGGTGAGATGACTCTTAATCCCTAGGTACAAAGTGTGTGACTATCGGTGAAATAAACAGAAACACGTACTCGGCCGCTTGCGCGACGTGTTGAACGTTGATCGACTCTACAAATCCAAATCACTAGTAACTCGCGCATCAGCGTCAACAGCCATACGATGTGAAAGCAAAAACACGACTCACTGTGCATATCCAAAAGATCTGCCATGTAGATAAGTTATGTTATCAATTCCAGGAAAATGCTAATACGCACGCAGTAATCCCAAGAGCAGCCTCTATTTGCGCAATCTGAGTCGAAAACGCAAAACTTGAGACAATCATCAGCGGCAGCCGTGTCACTGGTAGCGGGCATGGCAGAGATTGATGATGCTAAAGCAGAAATGACGGCGAGGACAATTGCAGAGGGGAAATGCATTGTTTGTGACTCGTGTGATATGGTATCAGGTAATTTTGAAGGCGATAGTGAGAAGACGTCTGGTTTTTATATTGTTCTGTGGAATCACTGTTGCGTGGATCATGGAATCTGGATGGTACAGGTACAATGCCAGCATATCGCCAGCAAGGTCTATCAGTAGGTATGGAACCTGCTGACCATTCGCATTTCCAACCAGCTCCAACCAGCTCCAACCAGCTGTTGACTCGATCAGAATCATAGTCTACGTGCGTATTTTGAGTTTTGGCAGGGAAAGCACAGAGACCTGAGAAATTCAAATAGGACATTAAAATTTCACCATTTCCTGCACTTTCCCACCATGTCGCACTAGCCGTTTCAGCCACACCGCCACCCAGCAACATCCCTTTGCCTTAAGCAGGCATCGAAGTTCTTGCCCATAATATTTTTAACGTCTTACTGTCAAAGTTATAGGTCGTCAATTCGTCACTCAAGTGACAGTCCATCATGACATCCTGCGAAGAAAGTCAGCCATTCTGAATAGCCTTTTGCCCAAGACTCATCACTAAGGAAGACCAGCCGATTCAATAATTCTCACTGGCAAGACTGACTAGCCATGCAAACATCCTTAGTTGTTCTTTCGTGGACCTCGAACTGTCTGACTTTGCGAATCATGTTCTATAGAATACTATGAATGACTAGCGGAGATATCGGGCGGATCTCCTTGCGGGACCCAAGGTTGGTTGTTCGTTATGGACTTTGGGACATTCTTGCTGAAGCAGCAGTGCGATAGGCAATATATAAACATCCCATTGGATTACAATATTAACGCACGGGTCAAGAGTGCCTGTTCACGAGATGATGGTTATCAAGACGCTAGAGCTATTCTAGCTGAAACAGTAGTTTCAATTACATTTTGACATTACCTGTGTGGAACAACACTCTTTGTATCGATATCGTATGCTGACACAACGGGGAGATAAATTACCATGATTATATGGTCAAATTGTTCTTGAGAGTACTAGCTAACAAGGTGCGATTATACACTAACTAGAACTGCTCATCCAGTGACTTATCAGCGCGGCCTTTTCAAATGCAGCTATCATTGCTCTACGCGCAACACCGAATCCAGCAGTGGTCAGTACCTCAGGTCTTACACAGCCCTCTCTTACTAGTACGCTACACATCTTCAGCCTCTCATTATCATTCGTGGAAGAAAGAAGTACCCTGAAATGAAGAAACTGAACCCTATTCTAATACCCATGCACCACATGGCCTATATAACCACTATTAATAGCGATCACGCCCTCTTCTACTGAGGTCATATGAGGTGAGTCGTACACAAAACCTCATGGCTTGAATGAAGAAAGTCATAATATAAGTTTAAACGCTGGAAGCTTCAAGTTCCCAATGCCATGAGCGTGTTCGAGTTCTTCCTCTGTCCTGCACAATCACTATGATTGCAGGCCCAGGAACTCGGTATGTCAGTGTCTAAATAACTCCCCTGCTTGATATGGCTGTGTTGGCTGAAGATTATGGTCAGCAGTGATCTTTGCACGCTCGCCCCCTCTCACGCCTCCTCATTTGTATGTTCGCTGGGCCTCAAAAGGTCCGCCACTAGCTCCTATATGAGCTAGGTCTAATGTGCTTATCTTAAAGGTACTTAACTTTGAGCGATAAGTAATATCCGTTTCTGGAGCATTGTCTTTGCACTTATTCACGGGTGTCATATAAAACCAGATCTGTTATTTATGTTCAGTTCGATAGTCTCACTCTGTCGCTGGTTTGAGCGTCCTTGTCAGTCCTATTGGAAGTGTTATTCATATTAATGGCTTCCGCAAGCTCGGTTTTGCACTCAGAACACACTAGGGATGAGGCAATTCTTGCCAGATTAGGGTACAAGCAGGAGTTTCGAAGGGAGTTTACTCCACTAGAGGTGGGTCCTTATCAGAGGGTTGGACACACTTGACAACGTCCTTGCACAGGTCTTTGGAGTTGCGTTCAGCATTGTGGGACTCCTTCCATCCATCGCGTATGATGCATGATTCTACCGAGACAAATTGTTCACTGAGGCGCTGTTGTTCAGGTCGGTACTCTTCAATTCCTTGCCCAACGGTGGTCCTCTTGCGATGGTTTGGGGTGTAAGGCTTTACATATCAAGAATCTTGGATAATGCACTCATTCCGGTATACAGTGGGTGTTCGCCAGCGCCTTTATCATGTGTATCGGATTGGCCATAGCGGAACTTGCATCCGCGGCACCAACCTCAGGTGGAGTATGTTCTGTTATTTAATCGCCGATACAGAGATCCGACCTCATAAATGTCTAGCTGTATTACTGGACCCATTCACTTGCTTCCCCTCGTTGCCGCAATTTTCTCTCGTGGATAGTTGGGTGTGAGTGTAATCTTTCCTTTCAAACTTGTATCACCGACACATGACATCATGCAGATGCGAATACCATCACGTCTATCGCGGCACTTGGTGAGGAACTCAGTATACGATGAAAAAATGTTTATTCAGTTACAAAACTATAGCCTCAGTGGATTGGGCATGCGCGATTCAAATCACAGCAGCAGTTAGCATTGCATCTAATCAAATATATGTGACAACCAATGCGCAGATCTAGTGAGTTTCTCATGCCTCGTCAAAGTCTCAGTTTCCCTGATCCGTCGCAGTGGTATATTTGCAGCGTTGGTTTTATCCCACGCTGTCCTCGTGAGCCTCGGGACGCAGGTCCTGGCAAGACTTCAAAGACTATACATCCTTCTGAATGTATGGTAGGTGTTGTATTTTCGTCTTATAATAGTGTCTTCAAGTTCACTGCCTGAGACAGCCTCTGCTTTGTAGTCATCATCGCGCTTCCAATCGCAACGCCATCCGAATTCAGAAACAGCGCTAGATATGCACTCGGGGACTTTACTAACTGTATGTGACATCTACTATTGCCATCTCCATCTAATAATTGTTGTCAGTGAACGGCTGGCCATCTGGATTTGCGTTCATATTGAGTCTGTTAGCGCCTCTCTGGACGATAGGTTTGGTTTATCCCTCATCGCTTGCATTCTATCTGACAATCCAACAGGTGGTTATGATTCAAGCGTACACATGAGCGAGGAGGCATCCAATGCTAGCACTGCCATACCATGGGCCATTGTGAGTAATACTAGAAACATTGTAGCTACAAGGCTAATGCAAGCAGGTCGGCTCCATTGCAATATCTGCAGCCCTTGGCTGGGGTGCGTGTCACGTTACCAAATACATTGTTACAGATTTAACAGCTTCCAGGCATTAATGTCTCCCTTGCATTTTGCATTGGCAGTGATCTCGAAGGCATCTTGAACAGCCCGATCGGTCAACCTATGGCGCAGATATTTTACAACTCTTTCGGGCAAAAAGGAGCGTTAGCTCTCTGGTCTCTCGTCATTGTAGCACAGTGTGTTCTCCCGACCTTAGTCTCCCGTACCTCCTCTAAAAGAATGACAGATATATGATGGGATCAAGTGTTCTGCTTGTCGGTTCCCGCCAGACATTCGCATTTGCTCGTGATGGTGGTCTACCGTTCTCGCGATATTTTTACCGAATCAATAGCTACACAAGAACGCCAGTCAATACTGTTTGGCTCGATGCTTCACTCTCTCTTGCGATCGGTCTTCTGGCGTTCGCGAGTACACAAGCTATCAATGCGATCTTTACCCTCGGTGTCACCTCGTCATACGTATCTTACATTACACCGATCGTAACCCGTTTCGCTTTCAAGAACAATTTCAAGCCCGGTCCATTTAATCTTGGAAAATTTGTGGGTCAGAAAGCAATTAATGTGGTCTTACATTCATGTCTATTGCAGAGCTTTCCCGTTGCAGCAATTGCTGTGTTATGGATGGTCTTCATGAATATCGTTTTCTTCTTTCCCGCGACCCCACATACTACCGTGCAAGAGATGAACTATACAGTGGTTGTCTTAGGTGGCTTCATGTGTCTCGCTATTTTATGGTATTACTGCCCGATATACGGAGGGGTACATTGGTTCAATGGACCTGTATCAAATCTAGTATCAGCTGACAAAGGGCGAGATGATGAATCGGCGTCAGAGAAGACGGAGAAATAGCGAGTTGATGCCCTGACTGTGGATGTATGAGTCTAGTTCTTGATGTTATTCGACGACATTATCGAATAGTGTTGTAATTGTCGTAACACGGTTATTTCCCGCTTTAGTCCCTCGAAGCTTTCAGAAATATGTAATCTTGGCTTGAGTAAGTGCTCAATAGCTAACACGAACATTTGAGGAATTATCCATCCATTTCAGAAATCGTTAGGAACGCTTGGAACAGAGCTGGAACGACAAACGGAGGTCTTCTCTCCGTCTCAATCTCATTGAGACCTCGCTCCGCTTGAAGACGCTTATATCTTTCTCGCCGTAGTTCATTCTCTACCTCAGCGAGACGAACTTCAAGCGCTGCACTATCATATTAAACCAAAGCCGAATGCAGTTCATAACTAGTCACCTGAGGATTTTTGTGCTCGTCCAGATTCGAGGATATGGCGAGGAGCATCTAGGCGGCGCAATGAAGCTACGAGGTCAATTTCGCGCGCGTGTAAGGCGGTTATTTCCCGTCGAGTATCCCAAAGATCGCGTGTGAGTCTGGATGTTGCATCATTATCAGGGGTTGATTGTTGGTTCTCGCGCAACGATGTTGCTATGGTAGTCGAAATAGTTCGGGGAGGTAGCTCCGCACAAACTGGACGGTTAGGAAGAGATGGGTGCAGCTTAGCGAGATTTGGTCTTTGGGAGTCGGAGGTGAGAGTGTCTGTAGAGACTGCATACAGTCACCAGTGAGCCTGGGGGTAACTTGAATGTGTAAGCTCACCCATGATTTATGAAGTTTGAGTGTGATTTGAAGGTTGGCAGCTGTTGGCTCGAAAAGGCTGGTGTCAATGATCCAGGTAATCTCGCCACATCAATTTCTCAATTCAACTCGATACCAGGGTTCGGGATAAAATTAATTCACGAATTGCTGCCACTTTCTGGAAAGTCACGTGACGTTATTTTTAGCAGGCGAAAAGTAGCCTGATGAGTTATAACCCTAGCTAATTAGTGCTAATTCTCTGTAAAACGAAATGTCAAGTTTCATTTTGAAGTTTATGCCAGCATTAAAAATGTATTTTAGATATGTTCCCTAATGCTTCATATTTTTTTGTCGTGCAAGATCTCATTGATATTTGAAATTGAAGCTAACATGCACAACTTCAAAATTTGGTGGTGTTTTGTGTCTAATTGTTCTCACTCAAGTCTCGTTGAGGGCATCGGTCAGAGGTTCAGGAAGACGCAAAAGCACAAAGGCTGCTGAGGAGCATGTGTCTTACACATGGTAGCCATGCCGAATGATGCGCAGGCATCAGCGACAGCCAGAGGTTCGGGAAGACCCGAAGGCAGGAGCACGGAACTTTATCCAATTACCCTGGTATAAACTCCGATGCTGTGGGGGCTAGTTATGTGGTGTGACATCATGGCATTTGGAGTAAATGCAGAGGGTGATCGGAAAGCTCAATGACCCTATGGCCGGCGGTTGCTCAGTCACTTTCAAAGGTAAAATGGCTGCCTAGTGGCTTCTCAATGCTTTTTTGGATTTCACAACGCATGTTGCTGCAGGAAGCAACACAATCCCCATGCGACATAGGATGACCTCTACATAAGAAGCGACCAAAAGTCAAGTTACTAGCACAATCATCTACCGCAGCTACTACTAAACAGCTCTACTGAAACTTACCCATTCCACGTCGGAGATGTGTCGCAATGTTTGTCGGTGCTCTGATGTTGACCCAGTCCCCGAATTGACCTGCTTCTTTCCATAGATCATTTATGGTCGATTCCACATTGAATGCAGCCATTTCATTGTCATGTCGATGAGGTTCCAGGACTATCTGCAACCAAATTGTCTCTTCAGTTCAAGTCATGTCCATCCCATAGGTGTGTGCCTCTCGACTATTTCTCATTTGCAATGTACTGACTTTGTTTGAAAGCATGCAGGTCGCACAAGTGTATACGGTCGATGGACTTGCCTTTCAGGAATCCCATTCACCTAAGTCCTTCAAAATGTGGAGACTGTGTCTTCAGAACAATATATGAATGCCAACGGTCCAAGGAGCTGGGATGCGATAATGTTGATAGTGCCGGTGTAACGATGGCTGCGGCGCTGGGCTCGAAACCAGGCAATCCAATACCTATGTTCATACCATTCCCTGACCTCCCTTGACCTTCCGAAGGCCGTGCGCACTTGTCTGAACCTTCCACAGGCAGTTTTTGTGTTCTGAGACCCGTCTGAACCTCGCAAGTTACCATACCATGTCCTATCCTCGTCCTTTTGACTTCGCTGGTGCGTTTTCCTTTATTCTAACTATATGTTGACTACGTCTTAGTGCTACATGGATAACAATCCCATTGGCATCCTGTCGGGAGCCTCGGAATACGTATAAGCAGCACACATTGCGGCTTATTACATGTATACTTGTATTCTTGCACGCCTCGCGGCTTATTACATAGGTTCGGACTTGCTTATCTCGCTACTAGTTTCGCCTATGGATTCCGGCCTCTCACGGAAGTAGGATATAATCTTGCTCACTGGCTACTGATAGGGCACTTCACTTCCCGTACTTCAAGTAGTAATTAGTAGAGTCACCTCAGTATAATCGTAAACTGCGCAATTGATCCTAGTTCATTTGGAACGATTGTCTGGCTAAACCACTGCCAAATTCGCACTTCGTTTATTCTCGAGCCCCGATAGATTAGCAGTGTTCCGGACTTCGGACGTTGCGCAAAGTCTTATACTGTTATTCGACACACCGACATACTGACACATCGACACACCGACATATATAGACCTTCGGACAGCTTTTGCAAGCCTCGGAAGGCATTGTGCTACTTTGGACAACACTTTCGCAGCCTCAGACGACCTTCGGTCGCATCGGACAAGTTTCTCGGTACTTCGGAAGTAGTCTCGGAACTACGGATGAGCATTGAAGAGGTTTTCTTCCAATATCTTGTCTACTCTCTAACTGTATAAGACTTCCCTTGCATTATCAAGGTAGTTTTTAGGTTGTCTCTTGGGATGAAGCATACTTGCATCCCTCAGGACTAGGGACTCACATTCAGTGGAGCCCAGCCCAGATCTACTCTTTACACCGGCGACACAGCCTGTGTTTAATTACAAGGAAGTTAATATTTTGCAATACATAATGTAATCTTGGTGTGGATTTTAGTTCTCATAACAACCACGCATCCCACAGTAACACCAGCATTGCCAAACTTGCATAAGCTTTCGAGTATTATCTTCACATTTCGCACAACATTCAAAGCTGCAATCCCCAATGCGTCATTCCCATGCTTCTGGCCACTTCCATAAGGTTATTGAGTCGAGGGTGATTCGTTCACATGACTGTATAATTACTTGCACAAACATTCAATATTTGAATTTTGCTCAAAATTGACGCGGATCCTATAGTAAACGATTGTATTAAGGATATGGAAAAAAATCTCTAGTCAATCTGTTGTCTGAAAAAACACCTTGAAATGTGGTAAAAAATCTTGAGGAATCTACAGCCTGCTGTTATAAGTCGTATAATACATTGCTACCGGGCTTCCAATTTGAAACACTGTAGAAAAATTGCCAATAGCCAGGAAGTATATGCAAAAGAGCAAACCAGAGCTACAATCATGAGTCAGTAGATGTAATTTCCCGAGATGAAATCACTGATGCTATACAGTTTGCACGATTGTTTGTGAGCACTTGCGGTCCTATAAACCATGAATCTCGCCTCGACAATCATGCCGTATGCTATGAATGCGACAGAACAGACAAGATCCACCTTCCAAATTCTGCTTAGGCAGAGTGACCAAAGGGGGATGCTAATCATCATGGACACGCGTGCAAAGGTAGGGAACAGAGTGACAAGAGTGCATCTTCCCGTCAATTGATCTCCCTCCTCATCTTTAAAATCTTGTGCATGAAGTGTCGTTGCAAACACCGCAAAGTTGAAGGCGGCTGCACATGCATAAATATTATTGACGCTGGACCCTGGTTATTGGAATGTCAACAACAAAGCTTGCTTATGATCTATGTGATAGCCTATGTACCAAGCACAGTGGTTGTGCCCAATTCAAAAATTGTATATGCGATAGCTGTCAATAGGTTTTTCGAAAGCCAAGTCTTATCGCCACCAAAGTCATTGTACCAGATGCTGAGGGCTTCTAGACAAGCACTACAAGCGAGAGCCTTGGTGCCATATGTCGCAGAGAGTATCAAGCAGACCGGCAGTAACAGCCAGCACACATATGCTGCATTTTGGACAGTTATACGACCGGCGGCAATAGGTCGATGAGGCTTGTTTCTCCGGTCCTCCTCTGGGTCCAGCATCTGGTTATATATATTATGTTTCAGGAGGTGCAGCCACATCCATATAATGAGGCCCAGAAGGCGATTTACATTGGGATAGGGAGCAGCTGCGAAGGTAGATAAAGTCTGATGCACAAAGTCATGTCAATGAATATACAAGCAACGTGTAGGGAAACACACCATAGGAATGATAACTGTCAACATGTCAGACTTCGTGAACAAGAATAATATCATGATGTGCCTGTTGATACAACGGCTGCTATCCAGAGCTTGAGACAACATGGTCTGATTTCTTGCTCGTATCTGAGCCAGAAGCCTACATTTATATAGCCTGATGTAACGATAGTCGCAGTGCTGGGCTCAGAACCAGCTATTTTGATACTGATGTCAAACAGTATTTGTCCGATGCACTTCCGACTACCCTGACCCGAGTCCGACAGTCCGATCCCAACCCGACGCACTTTCCGACAGTCCGACGCATGTCCGATCCTGACCCGACATTCCTGCACATTGGACCAGTCCTCCCTATGTCCTGTCCAGTCACATCTATCCCCACTAGGTGCGCATTTACTCCTCTTGACTTGCTAAGCATTGTATACAGTGTTATTACATGTTTTCTCATGGTCCGCAGTACCACATGTCCTATTACATAGGATTTCGGACCCGAAATATCGCTACTACTCTCGCCTATAGCAGTCTGAATTTCTACATAGTCACTATTTAATATCTAGTACTTCCTACCTATTTGCATTACTTTTCCCTACTCAGTAGTAGGATGGAAGTCATTGGATATTAGTAGTACTTTATTGTATTGTGAAATATCTATCCGCTCTTTTCCTCTGAAACATTCCGACACATCCGACATTCATTTGACCGACAATCCGACACACTTCCGACACATTCCTTTATCGTCCGACGCTTTCCTGACAGTCCGATGCATAGTCTGATGTCCGACCCGACTCCGATATTTTCGGACCTGACAGTTTCCCTTCGGACAAGTAGTTCTTAGCTTCAGATTATCTTCCTACTATTGATAACTAACTATCAAAACTAATACCAAACAGCTACCCCTATAGGATCGAACGCACTTGCTCTGCAAGTATAGCAGACTAGGTCGTGCTAAAGATCTACCTAAATATTTGTTGTCTAGGTAGTACGATTTCTGCTGAGCCCAGCGGGAATCAGCTCTCTACACCGAGATACTTGACTTTACTAGATACTAGTAGCCAACCAAAAGTTCATGGAAATGTGTATGGCAGTGGCGGTGACCCTGCAACACAAGTACCAGGTCACCTTCATCTCATCTTTGGTCAAAAAGTTACCTCAGTTTCCGGGAAACATGAAAGTATTCCCGACCTTGCGCTATCAGTGAACCTGTAAACAGATCTGAGATTGGTTATATTGTTGAGCATCGCAATAATCAACATAAATTTGCTAACCACTTTCACATGGAATGATGGGCATTGTGGAGGAAACACCGATTTACAGGCACGCCGCATGCAGGCCTGGTAGCCAGATTAGCCCTGTGACCTTTTTCAGTTGAATTCATCGAAGAAAGAATGCACCAACACAGGTGCATGAAACCAAATATGGACCCAGCCTGAGATGGACGGGCGCAATGAGCAGGAAGTGAAAGGCGATTTTTGGCCTGTCGTGACTTCAAATTTAGTTCTGCTGGTTTAGAACAGTTTCTAGATGTCAATCAGTACTTTACTGTGAGTGGGATGTCCAATGAAAAAAATTCAAAATGATATGTAAGATTCTAGAATCTAAATGCTGCAATATGGATTGTAACTTACAAGGAAACACTTGACAGCATCGTCAAGAACTGGTGACCACAGTCCCTCACAGTCCCCAGTCGTACTGAAGCAGGCGATCCGAATGTTCAGGCACCTGGAAAGTTATTTCCTTTTGCACGGCTTCCTGAAAGTTCCATCGCTGCACAAATGTGGCCGCCGAAGTGAAATGACTTCAAGGGAGTGATGCCGATGGAGAGTGCCTGGCTTGGTACTAATCACTGACTTCCACGTCACTCTAGTGATGACACCTATACTTTTGTCTGCAACTTCACCGGCACTTGCCGTGAGCATCCCTCGCAGCGGTAGAACTATCTGCAGGCAATTGTGCCGGCAGAACAGGCTGTGTGCACAAAACATATTAGCATGTTCGCATCCCATTGTACGTCATCGTGATCAAGCGCTATGATCTCGTCAGACCTCGGTCAATTCTGAAAAATCATGAACTTGGCCTTCCAACACTTCATTTCTATCATACAGTGTTTGTTCCATGGCACCACAACCTTTCTTGTGCTTGAATGCTGCTCGATCTAAGGAGAGAAAAGTTGTGAGAACATTCTGCTGAACCAGCTGGCAGAATGGCAGACTTCCTCTTCCCAACATTCCACTCTTTAGGATTGTTTGCCACAGCAGCATATATGCAGTGTTGATGTTATTGCATGCCATCCTTGTTAGTCTTGGTACTCTTAACAAGGCTGCAGAGACTACATCTTACTGAATGTGTGGTGAGTATAATGTATTCCTCCCTGGTGCATCTGCTTTATAGTTATCATTGTGCTTCTGATCACAACACCATCAGAATATTCAAACAGCACGAGTTTTGTGCTAGGGGGCTTTAGTATGAGCTGTTTGTATTGCGTACCAGTTACAATCGCATCTCACAATCTCAGTGTTTGCAGTTATTGAGCTTAATGGATCCTGTATAAAATAGGTTAGTGCACCTTCTTTTGAATTGTCTGTTCGCGTTTCTGACCCATCAGGGGGTAGTGATTCTAGTGTGCATATGAGTGAGGAGGCCTCAAATGTGGTCTATGCATTCAGTTCTTTTTTCTGGACAGAGAAGAACTATCAGATTGGTCACTGTACAAGTACTATCCGATCTACAAGGGGAAAGGGGAGCATGTAAGTATTTGGGCAAGGCCCGAAGGGGCTTTTCGGCCAGAAATGACACTTCGAACCTGGGAGGTCGAGATTAGCCGTGATTCCCAAACATAAGGAGCCTCGCGACACATTCGGCAAAGCTTGAACTCCCTGTTATAAGGAGCAGGGCAAGACACACCTTGGACTAACAGAGCTGTGGCATTGTGTAATGAGTGAAGGGTTCAATTATTGGGGTATCTTGAAGGTATGGTGCCATTATCATAGTGTGATTGCGCAGGTACAGGGTGAATGCTTCACTTGACCATCTTCCCATAGACTTGATGACATCAAATGGAATTCCTTGCAGCAGATATTCGAGCGTGCTGCCAATCCGAATGCTGTGACCTTTTAATTCTGGGCATCCCCCTTGCTTGGCTATAATTCCGATTCTCTTCAAGAATGCGCCTCGAGTTAGTGGGTGCATGCCTTTGGGGTGTTTCCATGCAAAAAGGTGGTGATCAGGTAAGGGATCATTGATTCGAAAATGGTTAATGAGCGCCGCTTTGGGGTCTGATTCATCAGATTGTTCAGCCCAGTAGATGTCTTTGCCTTCTGCTGAAGTCTTTGTGCATGGTATGCGTATCTTGGAGACTCGAAGTCCATGACGATCTTCCCCATCTAATAGTATGTCTCTCCGTTTAACATGTTGACTTGGAGAAAATACTTTGATTGATTTGACGGTCAGTTCCCAAAGTCGTGCTAGCAAATAAAATGATGTTGTTAGGCATGCGAATACAGCGGCATCGAGCGGTGCTTCTAGATTGAGGTGTGTTCGGATTTTGATTATGGATGTAATTGCGAATGGGTCTCTTTTAGGTAGCTTTGATCCGGGAGGTGCTTCATTTGCTGCTCCATCTAACGCTGACTTCAATTCACCTTGGTCCACTTTCCATCCCTGTCCATGAAGGACGTGCCATGCCCGAATGCCGAAAACATAATTGGCTAAAGTTTTTCCTGAGTATGCTCCTGCGCAGCTCATTACAAAGGTGAGCATTGTGAGAGTATCAACGGGGCATCGCTCGTGTTTGGGGATGTTTCGTGTGTCACAGAAGACATGGAAAACTAACAGACCAGCCCCATATGACTCTCTAGTACCCTGTGCCCATGATGAGTTTATTACTGTCAAAACTTGTTGGAGATCATCATCTGTGATGGCAAGAATCTGTCCCTGGGCATTTCGGTATGACCGACTCTCTAACGGGCACCAAAGTTTGAGCCGTTCACATGGTAGGCAGTGTGGGCATAGCGCAGATACTGCGGGAGTTAATCCTGCTTTGTATTGAGCTGGTTTTGCTAGCGAGACAGAGGGTACGAGTGGTGTCGTGAAGTGAGTGCGGTCCCTTTGCTTCTGTTGTTCTACCCTCATATTGTGAATAGGAACATTATTCTCTGCTGACGAGAGATTCGCTGGGATGTTGGACAGTAGATGAGATGAGGATATGGATGGTTCATGGAGATGATGGTTTGCTTGGTGTGACGTCGAAGGGATCATAGATGAAATGACAGAGTGGATCGGGGATGGGAATGGGGTCGAGGAGTAACTTCGTGTCGCAATAGATGCCTCGGGATGGCGGGTCAGCTGGATTGGACTTGCTGGTGACATATGTTGGGTGGAAAGAGTGTGTAGCTGGTATGCTGCGTAAGAACTCGAAGATTCGCTGGAAGATTTCAATGATGGCTGTGTTGCGACTACATCCATTCTTCCACCCTTCAATGACTCCTTGGTTGTCACCGTATACTCGGAAGTGTTGTTCTGGTCTATCCAAGGTGACAATGTGTTGAATGAGAAGTTCGAAACCGATCGCTTCGGCCCAGCCAATATCTTTTTGTCCATCGAGAGTTGACCACCCTGAATATAACCTCCAGGCTCTCCAACATTTTCCAATGACGATTCTGATTCCGACTCCAGAGCTGGCATCTGAGAAAGCCTGAAGGTCGTGTAAAGATAGAGGCCTGGGAATGTCACATCCTACAAAGGAGCTCTGTAAAAGATTTTTCCACCAATCGAGATCCTCAGCCAAGCCTTTAACCAGTCTATGAGGTAAAAATGGACGGTTATGACCAACTCGCAGCATGGACTCGAGGTTCATGAGATATGCTCGTCCTCAAGGACATACCAGCGTGACGTGAAGGAGCTTCCCATGTAGCTTTTGGACGTCACTAAGAATGTGAGCCGTACAGTTTTTCCATTCTCGTAAAGCACAAAGGTATTTGGCCTTTTTGTCTTCTGGTAGAAAAACTGAGTTATCTGTAAGATTCCAGGTAAGACCAATGTACAGATTAGAGTAGGCAAAGGGGTTGTCTTTCTTAAGCTCCCAAGGGGTCTTTGTGGTACTAGAGGATCTATCAATGTTGTCGATGTTGTAAGTGAAAAAGCTATCTTCCGAATATTGTAGGGAGTGCCCTGACAAATCGGCAATTGAGAATCGGCAATCTTCATCGAATTCTTCAATAGTTCCATCATTGAAGATGTACCCACCAAACCATATTCAGCCTCCATCTTGATGGTTGCCCCTTGTGATGATGTCATTGTGCCATTGTAACCGTTGTCTATTATATGTCTCGAGGAATTCTTTCCGTATATGGAAAAATAAATGGTCGTCGACCCATCGTGATGTAGGACCAATCCCTTCGGACCTAAAAATGTCAACTCCAGCATCTGCGACACAACTGTAGACTCCTGCTGAGGGGGAAACTCCGAAGCACATGCATGTGCCGATGCAGAATTGGTCATCTGCGACTCGAACAACTGCGGCTGGCCACTGCGAGTGGTGCAGAGGTATTGTTCTATATGCTTCCGATACATCTCTCGTGGCCATTTGTGATCCTGGAGGTAGACAGCTGATAATGAGTGCAATCATGTGGAATGTTCCCCAGGTACTGGGAAAATCATTCGGATCAATACATGAGTTGATGGATGGATTAGGGAATTCGAAGGAAGGTGCATGAGGAAATGAGTAATCTTGTATGACACGAAATCGCCCTGGTCAACCTGGTTTCGGAATGATTGATAAGGGCGATGATTGGAAGGGGCTGATAAAGCTCTCGATTTCGGCTGCCGTACATGGGCCAATGTATCTTTCTTTTTGGATTTCGGATTTGATGATGGACTGGAACTCATTGGTATATATAAGAATAGAATTTTTGTTTGGCGGAATTTGGGTTTTTGTAATGACAGGAAGATTAAGAAGAAAACCTTGACGGAGTCCTTCAGGAATATGAGAGTATCTATCAATGAGACCAGCTTTCGTAAGACAAGCTTCCCATGCATCTGGGTCATAGGGAGTGAGGGCTTTAAGCTTTCTGCGCTCAAGCACAGACTTGTGCTCCGTGAGAGGAGGCAGCGCATCCAGAACAAAAGTGACAATGGTCGTGTGTGGTGTCACTGCATCCCGTAACTCATTGCCAGTCGCTGCAGATTGGACGGCCATCTCGCATGGTGAGTATTCTGCCGACTCGGGTGCAAAGAGTGTCTGTAGAGTCGTCCCATGTTTTGGATGCTTTGCATTCGATGATTCTGTGCGGGTGTCTTCCCAAGCACACGGCACAAGCGGATAGGGGACGTCCATTTGCGCCGCTTCGAAAATCCTGTCGAGAATGTTTGTTTGGCTCCGGAGATGCTGAGCAGCGACGATAATCACGTCCTGAGCGTGGGGATGCTGATCGACGATGATGGTCTCGTGATGGATGAATGTTGTCCCTGTTTCTATGATGCTGGTTGGAAGACGAACTCGCTGTGAGTGCGTTGATTTGTTGGTCCATCTGATAGCAGGTACAATGTGTAGTGAGGCATAATGTGAGGCAACGTGGGATGTGAGGCAGTTAGTGCATGGCATGTGGCGTGTGGCATGTGGCATGTATCAAAATTTTGTAGTGTTGTATCGGGTGAGATGTTCAGATAGCGAAGTATGAGAAATGTGGGATTAGCATATAATTATTTTATTGAAGGAAAAAGGACTGACCCTATAATCACGCTGATTGTCCAGTCTCTTGCGCTCGTCGAGGTAGACATTAGATCTAGTGCGTACTAAGAGTGTCTCGTTGATTCGAGATAGATCATATGCGCTGCCAGCCGACTTGACAGCAATGTGCCAACGTTTCCGCTGTTCTGCTTGGTAGACAAGTAGAGCCTTTTGCGCTAAGGCATCACACTCCGAACAAAAATCATGGACCTGTAAGTTTCGCCAAAAGAGAGCCATCATTTGAACACGATCTGCTGGCCATGAGGCCTCTTGCATTGCCTCGATTATGCGTGGGCAGGCTTGACAAAAGTTTTTGAAAGTGAGATTTTCATCGTCAATGACAACTGTCGTGTTCCGCATTGAAGCTGCTGATACCCAAGCTGTGCTACCTCCCGCTAAGGTGGCCATGATCATGGCGTCTTCATCAACGGAGCTCTTGAGTTTCGTGTCATCTAGTCCATCATTGGTGAAGTACCAGAGTTCGACATAGTCTCCTTTGTCTAGCTTACGGATAGCGTAAGGGGAAGGAAGGATTACTGGTTTTATAGGGACATCCAGTTCAGGAATAGCAGAGTACTTATGCTTATTCTTTTTCTTGTCTTCCTTCCGCGAAGCTTCTTCCTTGTCGAGGTGTTCTTGTTCTTGTCTCTCTTGTTCTTCATCACGGAGTCTCTCCAGATTGTCTTGCCGTTCTCTGTCTGCTTCTACTTGTGCTTGCCATTGGTTTTTGTCGGCAGTGTTTTGCGTCTGCCAAATATTCCTAAGGATTGTAACAGCCTGAGCCTCAGTCATGTTCTCATTGGTGAGTTGGAGTCTAGTGTTAGCAAAATTCTCATCTGCGTAGTTCGGACAGACACTGAGATTCGGATCACTTGTTAAACGAGGCATTGTAGTGTTTTAACGAGAGTGTTTGTATAAGAAAAGCGAAAGAATGGGTGTTAAGGACTACGCGTTGTCGAGTACTGAAGTTTCTCAAGTCATAGTACGAAAAGAAGAAGAGATGTCCCAAAAAGGACATCCGCCGCATAGACAACATTCTACGCTCGTCCTCGTTCCTCGGACTCTCTTAGAACACAACTACTGCAATATTATGGGCAATTGTAAGTAAGACTAGGAAACGAACGAATCTTGAGCTTACCCCAGGGGGGTATGTGGAATGATGTACAACATCGCTACAATTTTGAGGTCACTTTCGGCTCTAGGAATTGACGTCTCCCTCACCCTTTGGATGGGTGCTGACCTAGACGTCATCATAAGCAGCCTCATAAATCAACCCATGGCGGAGATATTGTATGATTCGCTTGGAATGAGGAGAGCCTTAGCTCTCTGGTATTTTGTTATCTTAGCGCAGTACGACTTACCAGCATGTGATGCGTCCACAGACTAATCACAGAGCAGGTATACAACGGGATCCAGTTTTTAAAAAAAAATCCAATTTAGGTCCTTTGCAGAGTGGGACTCTATGTAGGACAGTAATTTCTAGTCTAAGGACCCAGTGTCCTGATTGCACCTCTGGATTCGCGAATGCCCTGGTGTGAGACATAGTCCGCTGTTCCTGCCGGCCGTTTTAGATGCGCAATCCATAGAGGGCGAGATGACTTTTGAGTAACGTGCAAGGCTGTCTTATACATGATTTGAACACGTACTCGGTCACGAGGTGCGAGCGTGTACAGGAATCGGTTGGTATGAGTATAGTAAGGTGATGTGAGCTCGTTGTGACATCTTAGTAATAGTGACCAATTTGGCGGGTGATTCCGAGTGAGTGGTTGTTTGTAAATGTTGAGGAGATGAGAAGGGGTCCGGTTTCCTGGTCGGCTCTCGCTAGACCTTTGCATTTTCTTCTTCCTTTCCACTGCGCAAATGAATGCTCAGGTGATGGTATCACTGCCCACTGCCCAGTATGTGGAGGTGCTAGTTTAACGGACCTGTACCCAACTTTGCACCTGCTATCGAAGGTGAAGATGGAGATACGGATTCGGTGTACGAGAGGAAGGAGATATAAGTCATAATATAAGTTATATTCGCGTGCAGTCGTAAATCACTAGCTGGCATACTACAACAATTATATTTCAACTGAAGACGTGCAGTGGATTCCAAATTTCAAACATATCAAGTTTCAAGCTTGTGGCTCGTCAGTCGTTGGTGCAATCTTCTTCGATTCTGTTACCTCCGTGTTCGTATAGCCATCGGTGTTCCTAGCAGCCTTATGAAGTAACAATCCGCTGAGTGTTGCGAAAAGGACCGCGAACCAGGGAAGGATCGCACAGAGTCGCACTTTGTATCGTTTAGTACGGAGCGGATAACATAATTGGTTCATACGTACGGTACCATTTCTGACTATATTCAGGTGAGACACCGATATTCTGCTCAAATTGCTGAATCACGCTTTGGGATAGTGCGACTCCATCGAAAGTTGCTGTGATTTTGGTTGACCGAGTGGCGAAGAGAACATCACACGCGATGACAGTAGCCAAAAGCCACAGGGCGCCAAACAACATGAGAAAGGCTTGGAGGCGCAAAAGGCGTTGTTGTCTTCCAATTGATGAAATTTGGGAGAAAGCTGAGATGAGGGAGAGGGCTGTCAAAAGTGCGCAGGCCGCCGCGATGACAGAGCAAACCGAGTAGATGTCTGAAGAAGAGCGTCAAAGAAGCCCATTACGTGCGGGTTCACAAGCACCTTACCGTGATAGTTAATATCCACGATGGTGCCAACAGGGGCCTCGCTCTTAACATATGAACTTTCTTGGTTAGACCTTCATTGAGACTCTTCAATTCATTAAATTTTGTGGAAGTTACAGGTCTTGACTCACTTCACTAGAGCATTGATCACAACCGACCACCCAACAACCGAGAACGCAAATGTCAGAAAAAGCGAAACGAGAAGTAAAATCTTGGAGGCCATATGATATGAGAAAATGGCGTGATGGTGGCTACAGTGCGGTTATGAACAAATTCCGGATCCTAAAAAGCAAGGATGTTATATCACTTCTGAACTATGTAGATCCGCTCCTTGGGCGCAAATGAAACGTCACGCTAAGTATCATCGTGACTCGGCATGAGTCCCAAAAAATATCATGTGTTGTTGTCTTCTTGTAAAGATCAGAATCCAGATACCCCTTACAGTAAAAAATAAGATTCGACACATCACTTAAACATGACCGCCCGGTCCCAGTTGAGGGCGAAGATGGTGATTATGCACGTGCCTATCCAAATCCTATACCGGTGTTGAGAACCCACTAAACTGTTTAAAGAACTTAACCTACCTCTCTGCAGTCAAAGGACTGCTGGCATTGGTCGATTATGTCGGCGCCGGTTTTCCATTTGCAAGGATACAGCCCACACTCTTCCTCATCGGCTTCCTCCGGACTAACGTTAACTCCTAAAGCGTCCGACTGGCTCAAGGAGCTGGTGTCTAGTTCTATGATTTCACCTGGTTCAAGCTCGGTGTAGGACAAATGGAAGTCGGGCATCTGATTGTGTTCTCGCAGTTCGGAGTGATTCAAATCTTGAATATTGTCGTGCTCCACAAAAGACTTTTGATTGGTACATCCAAGCTCGATGAGATTAGCATGCAAGGAGTCAACTTGACACTCCAGTTGCCGGCATCGTTCGACAAGCTCAGGGTGTTCGGCAGCACGCCGTCTGATAAGATCATTTGTTCGTCGATCTTTCTCCTGAAGAAGGGCGGAGACACCTCTCCATCGATCGACATCTTCTTTCAGCGCCTTTATCTGACTCTGTCACGACGTTGTCAAAAGAGTGACCAAATACAATAAGAAAGATGAAACTACCTCGAACATGTGCTTGATCAGAGCAACACCATCGCGTGCCTGACCTTCTGCAGTCTTGACTTTCTGCTCCAGCTCGACATTCTCTGATCTAGTAGCGCTCACAAAATTAGAAGCCTGCGTGTATTGATCACGGAAAAAGTCGCGGTCCTTTTCAGCCAGACCCTTGGAGCGAGTCAGGGCATCCAAAGACGAATTTGATCTCGTCACATCCGCAACAAGCGCCTCGTGCGCCTCGATCATCGAGGCGCGCTCCGCAGACCACTTTTCACGCTCGGATTCCCAAAATTCCTTGTTCCGTACCCATTCAGCACGATCGGCTTCCCATTTGGTACTTTGTAGTTCCATGGATTCTCGATGAACGTCCCACAAAGCACGTTCTCGAGCACTTGCTATTTGTTGCTGTGCCCAACCCTCCTGCTCTGTCACCCATGCAGCACGCTCCGCCGTGATAACTGTTTGTTCTTGTTCCCATTGAGCTCGTACCGCTTTAAAGGTGTCACAAGTCTCCGTCAACGACTTGATCTGGGCAGCAAGACGATCACGTTCCTCCACCCATCCGATCCGCTCACCAAGCATTTCGGCTACTTGGAGATTTAAATTCTTGCGTTCATTCTCCCATAGCTCGCGTTCTTGCCGAAAAGTCGCTTGGTCCACATCCCGAGCAGCTCTAAGATCGTTGACAAGGCTCCTGTTGGTTTCAAAGCGATCTCGCTCAGCGGTGAGCCTCACGATTTCCTCTTCCAAATTACGGAGTCTCGCCTCCCAAACTTCGCGCTCTTGGTTCCACTTGACTCTCATGTCGGCAAGCTCGGAAACGGCTGAATTGGTGGGCATTGCGCCTACAGGCTGATCATTTGATGCGATTTCTTCCTGAGTAGTTGTGCTTGGAGACTGCCAGGCTGTCTTTGCCTTTGCCTCGGCTTCGAGCTTTGAAGTTTTCTCGCGCTCAAGTGCCAATGCAATTTGCAACGCTTGAATTTCATCAGACTTTTTGTGGAGGGTGGACAGTGCCTGATTGAGCCGTCTCACAGTCCCGTCGCTCTGTGCAAAGAAGTAAGAGATTTAGTCTATCGGTGAAGTTGGGCGCCAATGCAATACATACATCATGTTGCGGTACCCTACGTGTTGAACTGTCCAAGTTAACGTTTGACGTGTCAAAATCTTCATCATCCCCGCCTTGCTGTTGACCCTGACTCGGGTTGGCGATCATACTGGCAATTTGTAAGTCATCTATATGTGTTGAAGGCTGGTTTGATTCGTGGTTACTCCTGCCTAGCTCGGCAGATACAGGGGATGGCTAAATGAAATGAGGTGGGAGCCAACAAAATATAGTCGGCAACGAACCTGAACATCATCATCATTGCCCAACTCTGTATTGTCGATGGCCAGCTCCTGCTGTCGCGCTTCAATTTTCTCCACAAAATCTACCTTTGTTACGACAAGCGCTGGATTACCACTGAATAAGGCCTCCTGCGTACATTCCTCGTCCTCCTCACGAAGAAGGATACGCTCTTTGTCTTGGGGCCCACTTTGTGTGAAAGTGTCAATAGTCGTGCTATTTCCTCCGCTGAGGTCAACGTACGCATCCTCCATCTGCTGGACGGTCTCGAAGTCTCCCTCGTGAGCTCCATTGTTGGACGCGAATGGGTGAGTGTCTGATCTCGATTGTTTGCCGCTGCTTGTTATAGCCAGAGGCGCACGTGATCGTGCAAGGTCATTGATATTTTTCTTGGGTGGTTTATCGGTAACTTGGAACAATTCCTTCTTGCGCAAAGCCTGCTCATACAGTACTTTCCCTCTAGCTTTCAGTTCCGCATCTGTGACGCCAGGAACAAGCTCTTCACTTGAATATTCTTCAGGACCTGAGCATCGTTGCTTTCCCTTATCTTTCCGTGGAGATGGGAAGCTTTCAATGGAGCTCATCGGAGGCTCGCTATCATGTTCTGTAGTAAGCGATTCAACTGTCTTGCAGAAGGTTTTAGGAGAGATACGTGGAATTGGCTTTGTGGGTGGTTTCCGCGGTCGAAGTGGCACTTCACTGCTTGAAGCGATAGTAGGCAAGGCTGATGTTGACTGGGACTTTCTTGAAGTAATAGATCTCGGGAAGGAAGGTTGTTTGGGTGGTGGAGGCTGATCCGTGTGCTTTCCATTCAGCATGTGGTTGGGAAGCGAAGGCTGGGACTGCGAAGACTCTGTTTCCGGGACAATCCCAGAAAATGGTGAATCACTAGTAGATTTCTTGTGAGCTGCTGTAGTAACAGTCGTGGGTGGGGGTGTTGAAAATTTAGGAGGCGGACTAAGAGGTGCGTCGTAAGGATCTGCAATACCATAGTCTGCATTCTCGCCCATATTCGCATAGGAATCTCCGTCGCCTGTATCCGAACTGATGCCCATCATGCGGTCAAATATCTCCAAGCGAGCTTGGGCAGCAGGAGACAATGATGGTTGGCGTAACAAAATTGGAGGGGGAGAGATTGAAGATGACTTCCTGGTATGAAGTGTCGCGGGAGTAGGAATACGCGATCCAATTGAGGATTGAGCCATGACATGTTTGGTGGCAATCTCTTGTGGTGCAATCTTTGAGATTGTCTTCCTGTCAGCGAAGCGAGCTATAGGTGGCCTTTTAGATTTGGGTATCGAATCGGCTTCCTCTGTAGATGACAACTCGATAACAATAACATCGTGTTGGTTCTTCAAAAGAGACCGCCCATTTCTACTTGTGCCACTGGGTTGTTCAGGTTTTGGAATATTCATGGTGGCTATGATGCGAGGACGATCAGTGACGGACGAGAGGGTGTCGTTCTTGGGCTTAGACACGGCACGTTTTCTAGCAGGTGGACCAACTCTGGTGAGAATTTTATCACCTGCTCCGCCTAATTCAACGGCGTTATCATCAGCATCTGACTCGATGAATCGACTGTGGCTAGTGGAAGTGCGCTGTGCAGCCTTGTGCTTCAACTTCGTACGGGTTTGTTCACCAGTGACGAGTTTCTTCTTCTTCCTTGGATGTTCCGGCTCTGAAGGATCCGCCGAGTCGCTTGAATTTGATAGCTCCTTTGCCATATCTGCACGTTTACGCTTCGAAGAGGACTGTGCTTTTGATGTTGACGGTTGAGCACGAGGAGGTTCATCATAGTCTGTTACAATAGGCACACTTTCTTCCACCAGAGAACGTGATTTTCGGGAGGTAGAAGTCGTAGAAGCCTTCGAAAACGTCGAGGCGCGTGAAGCTGTTTTCTGGCCACCTGATAGAATGAATGATAGGATGTGTCGGACTTATTGCTGTTTCAATGGCACTTACCGGTCTTGCTCGATTGACGTCCCTTCGCGGCCTTTTTCCTTTTCCACTCTTCCACAAGGTGATCCGTGCAGTCGTGCTTGGGTACCCAGTCTAACGGCCACGGCCTCCCCGTCTTGGGGTCATTGCCCGCCCACCTAACCCGATATTTCTTACCCCGCTCGGCAACGATTTCTATGACTTCCCATAGAGCATCGTCATCGTTAGAACGAGGCTCAAATTGCGTCTCGAACTCGGATAATTCTCCTGCGGGGAATTCCCCTTCAGTAGACATGATTCAAGCAGGGTACAAAACCATTCAAAATTGTTGAAGATGAGCAAGGGGTAACGCTAAGAAAGTAACTGGTGATTACATAATCGGCACTGTGGTGGCCATTAAACCAAAGTGACTTGCAATCAGTGCGATCAGTACTTAAGTTACGGTACGGGCCTTCATCTTTCGGGTGAGAATTATCGTCTCTAGTTCAAGTCTGACTATCGACGATTCAATTGACATTAAGTAGGAATGGTCCACATATATGTCAATCCAGAAGCATAACCAGCACAAAGGTGTTCACTAGTAGGAGAAGTGACCTCTGTCAGCAAGCTCTCTTAAGATTGGAATGAACTGTACGCGTACCCAATGAACTTCAGGGCAGTGACAGATCCTAAAGCCACATCGGATACCCCCTCTCGAGAATTCATCCGACGAACTTCAACAAACTCCCATTGCGCTTGCATTCCGGCTGGAGTCCCGTCTGCGTTCCATGTCCATAGCGTGATTGAGCCATCGTCATGACCCGTGGCAAGGATATCCAAATGCGAATATTCACGTTCATGGAACGCCAGAGAGGTGATCACCGCGTGTACAGTGTCGAGTCTGGCAATTGGTCTCGCGTTGATTGTGTGCAACGTTAACTGGGAAGCGGAACAAGTAGCGATGTATCCCGTAGACTCGTTGATGGCAGATAGATACACTTCTGCTCTTGAACTTTCATTGTTGTGCCAAATTGAATGGCGGTAAGACCCTCTGTTCAGGTCCCAAACGATAGCGCTCCCGTCCTCGCTGCCACTAACAATAACTGACCATGTACGCGATGCTGCAATACATACCACGCGTCGAGTATGTCCTCTGAGGAGATGGGTCATCGACAGCATTGAAGATGCATGCCTGCGAGACCGTCCCGAAGTTCCAACAAAACCCGGAGGCGTTACTTGAACTCGGTTGACGTGCCAAACTCGTACAATATTATCACCAGAACCCGTTACTAGAGTGTTCTGGTCCGCGAAGGCAGCACACGAAAGTGATACCTGTTCAATGACTTGGGTAACCTGAGAGGACCACGTTAGCACCGGTTCAGATCATCGTCATCAACAAGAAGATTGAATACCTTTCCGTGGGATATCAACCGCAGTGAGCGATCATTCGCGTTCTGATCCCATTCGATTTGTTCATGACTAGTGGAAGGGAGGCCGATCGCTCCGCGAGGAAATGGACGCATACCATTATCAATCAGGTCGACGGAAATACTCGACACAGCAATATCCAGCACGACTACGTCAAACAGTTAAAAGCCTGAAATGAATGGGAAAAAACTAGATACTTGCCTTTGAAAGGCTTCGGATCTCTTGTTAACGCAAGTGCGTCCTCAGGGACACCACGGACTATTGTGACAGGGAGACTCAGTAACCCTTCAAGGTTTCGTGATGGATGTGGCAAGGTGAAAAGCTTCTTGGGGGTCTGCCCGACTGCATTGCTATTAATTGACTGTTTCAGGTGACTCGGACAGGGGCTAACGCACAATTGTGAATGATTCCAACAGTAGCTTGTCGCTCAAGATCGTTGGTAATCTTTTCCAGATCTGTGTACTGCCCATCAACGAAAAGCAAATCCCTGCAGAGAAACCTACCAATTGCGCCTTCGTAACTGAGAGGGTGAAAAACGTTCACCGAATTCACATCTCGTTGCTTGCATCCCCATATGAGATCTATCCAAGCAGGAAGATTCTTGCTGACGTAGTGGCTCTCAAGGACCTGTTTAGACACCAGAATTTAATCGTTTAATCAAAACAACATTCCATCATAAAACTTACACGACGGTGTGTTACGATGAACAGGAGCGGGTCTCCTTTCGCCCACACGGGCAGTTTAACATTGTGAATCCGTTCTCCGGTAGCTTGAGAGATACCGAAGTCGAGATTTGATGAATTCTCGAGGAATCTGAACGTGGTAATCATTGTCAAATCGAACGGGACACAGAAATCAGAAGACTTACTCTGGACAAGTAAAGAATTCGGGTATCAACTCACGCACATCCCCCCGGATGTCATGCGATGCCGAGGAATATGTTCTCCTGATATCACTAAGGTATAAATTATTATACGTTGCCCTGCATACTGGTTCCGACTAAAGACTAACGTGAAAAGCCTATCGGGCAAATCCCAGTCTCCTCCCTGCGGGGATACATAAATGTTTCTCCGCACTAAAAAGAACATACCTGTAGCGTCTTGAACATACTGGTAAATGGCTGCATGCGAATATTGAAGTGACAGACGATCATCGACCTGTACTTGGTGTCAAGAAAAGAAATGGGCATATAAAATAAACTTACGAGCTGAAGTGTGTTCCGTAGTGGAATGGTTCCTCGTCAACACTGCTCAGGTTAGCATAGCGAGTTTCTGCAGCCTCACGACGCTCGGCCGTCAACGCTCCCATAGGCTTTGTGAGGCTAAAATACTGTGTCAACTCAGTCTATGATCTGAGGTAGCATACGAACTCACTCTCTGAACACGTCAGAAGATGAAAGATCCAGCACCTCTGAAACATAATCATTGAGAACCCAAGCTAAAAGTCGCCATCAGGGTCCTTGCGAAGAAGTAATCAAAAATCACTGACGAAAAACGGGGTATTGAGTTGCATCATTTGGGGTACGTCCCGATAGTTGATTGAGAATACTCAAATAACCAAACTAGTTCAAAGTGAGCGTTGAAATAAGAAATGCAAAAATCACACACATTGCTTAGCTCTCTATTCTGCCACTGCTGTTGCGCCAATTGGAGTTCTTTTTCTACTGCGCTAGTGGATGATCTACTTCTCAAAAGCGATCTAGGTATAATATGTCCAGCTGTTGAACTGGAGTCGGACGTCCTCATTTTCAAGGCTATTGACGAGAGCATCTGGGAAGCCGCTTGGCGACGTGACTTATCAAGGAAAATAACCAGCAGTGTGCGGCTATCTTTGAAGAAGATCTCGAACCTGACGATCGGGTTAGTAAAGTGACATGCTGTGAGTGACGCATCTCACCCTACATCCTGGAACAGGAACATCCGGTCAGAGAAGCCTGATACTTGTTCTAATGACCTATCACGGAAGATATTAAGTGTCACAAAAGCTAGAATAGAAAAATGTTCTTCATGTACCATCGTTGAGCCCGCTGCGAGTTCCGAACGTCCACGGCACTTCCGGATATAAGGAACAATCCTTCCGGCGCGTTACCTGCGTCGATAACTTCGCCTTCACTATTTTCTACGAGGCCTTCTAACATGTACAGGTGGGTGCGCCCAAAGATCAACATGCCAACTAAGGATCAATGATTGAGACACGCAGTGAGCAAGTCAGCAGTTCGACCGCTTACGAAAAGAATCGACGCCTGATATTCGGCAGACAGTGCTCACAGCCTCAATGACATCTCCAGGCTCGAGTTGATGCCTCACTCTCCTGAGTTTGTCCTCAGTGATCTCTTCAGCGAGCTGATGATCGCCTGGAAATAATGTAAGTCAAAATTGATAAAGCGTTGAAAGTAAAGAACAACCGTCTTCGCCTGTCCATGATGGAACCAAGGTATTTGAAGAAGTAAGTTCTGACTGGGACAGCGACAAATCTGAATCGAAAGCTGACGAAGCTTCTTCGCGACCAGTAGACTTCGAGTCCTGCACAAGCAATTCCAGGAGGCTCTCCATCTTTGTCCTGGCTGATATCATTGTTTTGCCTCTAACAACGAAAAGCTGACTGACCTGACTCTGTGCGGTCCTTCGGTCTCGTCCAATTTCCACACGCGTTTCCCAGCCATATGGGGCCAAATATCGCGTTCGGTCGTTGATGCAGATACATTTTCTTCAAAAGATGCGACTCTACGTCGCTTTTCCTGTCTATATCAACAGTCAATACATCTCAAGACCGCTGAGAATATGGATAGTCAGGTACAAGTCTAATAGAGTTTGCCTGAAGCGTTTGCGCTCCGAAACAAGAATCGTCTTTCGCCATTCTTCAAGACGCGCAGACGCTTTACAGACCGTGTCTGATTGAACAAGCCCGAGTTGTGATCCAGAAGTGTCTACAGGCTCGGCTCGTCCTTTTGACTGAGCATCAGGGCGAACGATATCAAGAATCTGTGCATATAGTCTGAGAGGGCTTCCCATATGACAGAAGGGTGGAATACCTGTTGTTTTTGAGACGTAGATACGTGCTTGCCCATCGCAACAAGTAACCCAAAGTGCGTTAGTTTGACGGATATTTTGGCATCCAACACCCTGGGAGGCTGTGTCATGGGAGAGAATATATTGAGGCCATCAACAAGTAACTGAGCAGTGCTTTGGGACCTGAAGACGCGGCGAAACGATGAACTCGACTCGTGAAGCTTTGTTAAGTCGTCGAGAATCCAGATGATCGCCTCTTTTGAAGGAGCTGCACGAAGAGTAAAATGTAATATCAAGACGGTAGACGGCGGGCCCACCTTCATCAGGCTCAGCATTATTGTTCCCGACTGACAGCCCTTGATATAACGCAAAGAGAAACACGGACAACATTTGAAGGGATCCTGAGTCATCACTGGATCTGTCTCCATTACGTCCAGGCAAAATGTCCAAAGCTGCGTCATGTACACTGCGATCCCAGACTCGAGGTAGCACGGTCTTGAGAATGCTCCAACCACTGGCCAACTCGAAGTTTTTGCTAGATGACATCGAGGCTTTTAGAATGAGTCCAAGTATGCTAATCACTTGGCAGGCAGTATGCGCGGAAGGATGGCTCCCGAGCAACAGTAAACAGATCCGTGGCATAGGGAGGGTACTAGAAAGCCTGGAGCGAAGCGAAGGGATGCGCATCATGGAAACAAGGGCTTCAAGGACTTGCTCGGCTTTATCCCTGGTACTGGATCGTAGCAAGTCTCCACGGGATGTTGTTGATCGAGGTGACGATGAAGACGATCGGGACTCTGGAAAATATTTATTGGATGAAAAAGGTTTGGAGATGAGACAGCCCACCTTCAGAAAGGGTGGCAGCTACATATGAAACGATTGGTTTGATCGCTTCCTCCGCTGTAAATGATGATTGTGCAACAAGCACCAACGTGTTGACAACAAGTGGTATAAATTCTTGTGGGTACCAGGCTGACTGAATGGTGAATAATAACTTGCGCACGATGCCTAGCTTCGACAATCGCATTTTGATGGTGAACTGCCTATACCGGCTGGCACGCAACAGGAAGGCAAAATGTTCGAGATGAGCCCGTTGAATGTCGGCACTGGTTTTTGACCACAGTTCAAAGTCAAGTGCCACGGCCTTGTATGCGATGGTGTTGACAACAGTGGATAAACTGATGGAATGTCAGTGCCTTGCATGTTAAGATAGAGGGCAAGCATACTCTGGAGAACGGAAATTTAGACCGAGGAATTCAAACAATGTTTCAAAGCTGGTCATGTTTATGAGATGATTTCGAGCTCTCAGCGTGCTCGCAAGAATATCATAACCATCTATACAAAAATCAACTACAAGCAAAATTTCACATATTCTGTACTCACGTAACCTTTCCATGTCATCAGAGTTTTGCCAACTGTTGCGAAGACAGTCAGAAAAGACGCTCAGTGCTCTGGAAAGTTCATGCGGCGTTTGAGCAAGCGCTACTAGGCGCAGCAATAGTGCCGCCCCGCCAATCTTCCACACAGCAAGATCCAGCGATTGACAGCATACTGTAAATACATTGCCTCGAGTTACAATCTGGTCCTTTTTATCGTGTGGTCGAGGGACGATACGAAATATAATCGATGAATCGCTAATAATCGGGTCTCCGCGAATGGCCTTCTTCAGTTGCGAATTCTCAGGTAGCGATGCACCTTGAGCTGTGATATGCATGTTAAGCGAAGTCGACGCTTCGTACGTTAGGAACCTGATGAGAGTCTGATCTTGGAATGACTCAGAATATCGGGGGCCCAGGTGGTGTATAAATCTCGGGAAGTCGTCATCTACATGCATTGAAGAAATTAAAGTCATTTGCTGATAGAAAATGCTTACCGAGCGCGACCGAAAGCAGGTAGGCAGAAGCCACGCACCAACTAGATCCAACTCCAGCAACATCATCGCCTACTATGAAAGTTGCAGGCGGCGTCTCATCAAACTTTGGATATGCCCATTGCAATGAGTCAGTTGGAACGCCATCAACGAACAAACCTGAAAGACGACAGGTCAAAAAATGACAGGAGCATGTCTGTCTGAAGCACGTACATACGGAAGGATGCGATGATCTATGGTTATGATACACAAGGGTGACGTGAGTCCATCGAGAAGTTGTCAGCTTCGACTTTGGAAGCACTTCAACTTTTTGAACAACGCGTGATCGGAAGGCTAACGCCCCGTTGCTGCCGACAGAGAGAGCCACGGCATCGCTGGACCCAAAAGATATGCTGAACAACTTGTGTGGCTCCGAAGGCATCCTTTCAAGCCAAATCCAGGCCTACCCACGATTCAGACGCGATCGCAATCTTGCAGATCAAATAGCCTACCATGAATGTGAACCCATGGGCAGGGAAAGTCTTCATTTCGGTGGATGATATAGCCAGTGCCGAACAGCCATCAAGTGAAAAGTGTTGTGGCCACCTCGACTTCGCACTTGAACGCAGAAGTTCAAGCATATCTTCGTCTACAGTTCCATCTTGCTTCGCAATACACTGCAGCAAATCTCTCGAGTCCTGGGTACTAGCACCCATTTCAAAAAGACGGCGAAGAATTTTTGCTAGGATATGGTGCTCCTTATCGTCATCTCCAGCGCTGCTCGTATTAGCCTTCCACGATTTGAAAAGATGCGGCAAGATGTTTTGCATGCTCAGGACAGCGAGGTTTCTATGCGTGCTATGTGTCAGATGTTCTAGAAGCCGGTAAACAATGAGCCTTAAGGCGCGATCCGTGTTCATGGTTCGCAGAATGAAGTTCCAAAGAATATTGAATGCTCCTGGGAGCTTAATACTGGCTAGACCGGGTGCAAATTCCAGAAAGTGGATATGCATCGCTTCGGTCTCAGGTAATTTTGTTCGTAACGAGCTGAAAAATTCCACAAGGATGAAATCACCGAATGAAAGTGCGAGAAAGCACCCGAGCGTCACATCCGCTGTCACTGCATTCAAGACCAGTGGATCCACAGCATCCGACAGCGAAGAGTAACCGATGAATTCCTTGGTTTTTGAGATTAAGATAGTGTTACAATCAGGTACAAAGAAACGCACCTCAAAGAACTCAAGATTCACTACATGCCCCTTCAAAGTCTCGGAGGCTAACGTAAAAACTGACTTGATACAAGCAACAACATCACGCGTCGATTGGGATTCTCGTCGTCCGATCTTTGTCGACAGTGTAGAGAGCACATGAACCAGCAAGATAAATCCGTCTGAATCGCGAAACGCGTCTTTCGTTTCGGGTACGTCACGAACAAGAATAGCAATTCGCTGCAGGAGCTACAGGATGCGATTATGGGTATCCCATGACCACTGAACATAAAACGATACGGGACTCACAGTTGTCTTCACGACTACTTCCTCAGTTACTTTCAAGGCCTCTATCGTATCTCGCATGGTTTGTTTTGCCACATGTTCACCACTGTTGCTGGGATCTGGAGCACCGCCACTAGTGATGTTAATTGCAGGCAAAGTGGGTGCGAGGTCTTCGTGACTTTGCCAGGGTGCAAGAAGGGACCGAAACATCCCGACAGGTTGAACCTTGCTCGATCAGATTCAAATCTCAATCAGTTAGAACGCGACCTAGAGAATAACGATGGGGAGATGTCGATTAGTGTTGAAGTATGTACATACGAAAGCCAACTTGGCTGGGAAATTGTTATTACATCATTACAGCGGTTGCAATATCATCATAGAAATTCGTTCCGACCAAGTACCAGTGCCAGTATGTGAGACCTATCGATATCTCTGAATATTCATGCACAATGCATGCATAATGATCCTTATATTTCTTTCGAAGGTCTACGTTGCTAAATCGGCGAGTTCGTCTGAATATCAAACGGTATCATCGTACACTACCGCACTGCCAGATCTAGGCATCACTGAGATTAGTATCTATCTCAAATCACAACATCACCGATGTGCTAACATCCATCGTGTCATTTTGAACAGCAAGTCCCTAAATATTGTGATCTGACACGATTCTCTTGCAAATCCAGGTAGCAGATCATGACGCCTCCACATACGATAAGCAAGAACACCCTCCGAGTAGGCTGTACCGGCGAAAATTGAACCAGCTTGTCTTCTGTAGTGATCTGCAGATCGTCAAGCCGTCACGTTCATCGCAAGTCCCGCATATCATCAAAATCCCTAAATTTCACAGACTGCTCTCGTAGATCGAGTGTACAGAAACCGCAGAAAACATTACATATTCAATCATAAACGACGACCGCTTGATTCCTCTAGATTTCATGGCTGAACCACACCTACAAAGTGACCAAAATCACCTAATCACGATTCCTTAGTTTGTGGGTTCCCACTGGGATTTGATTATTCGATAATTTATGGACTTACGTTAAGACAGCATCAAACCACCATCAACGGAAATCTGCGTGATCAGTTCTTCATATCAGTCGATGTACCCATGGCTTGAATGAACTTACGCATTGTCCTGACACACCAAATACAGCTTAGTTCAGATACAACCCTTGCGGAAAGGGAAACTTGCCTGTGACGAAATGGGCCTCCTTGGAAGCGAGGTATGCAACAACGCTGGCAACATCTTCCGGCTGTCCGACATATCCGACTGCAGAGGTGTCAATCGTCTGCACTGCAATTTAGCAAAGACATGTTATGGTAGTAAACACGAATCTCCTGGTTGCACCTTTTGGAAGTAGTCGACCTTGTCGCCTCGCTTTACAATTTGAGACTTCGACGCAACGACTGTCTGTGATTCAACAGGGACAGAAGGCAAAAACCTGCTTGAAGCACTTACCCATGGGCGTTGCTATAATTCCTGGAGCATAGGAGTTGACCGTAATTTTGTATTGTCCAAGTTGCAGAGCTTGATGCGGAGGTCAGTACGAATGCATGTGCATAAGGTAGTGGCCTTACCAGCCGCTTGCGTTATGCCTCTGACAGCAAATTTACTTGCACTGTACGACATCAAGGGGGACGTGGCTTCATAGTAGTATACACAATATTTTTAGGCGCCACGCTTGACTCAGGGACAACCCCTTACCTTGTATTCCTACCATGGAGCTGGCACCGATAATGCGACCGCCACGTCCCTGTTTCACCATCTGGATTGCGGCGTATTTATAGCACAGGAATGCAGAGGTGGCATTGATTCTCATCATGCGGTCCCAGCCTTCTAGAGTTTCTGTATGAAAGGTGAGTACTAAGCCAGGTGTGGTTCACGATCGATCTACGCACCATTTAAGATATCTACCATGGCACTGATTCCAGCATTTGCGACCATCTGCAGGAGTATGTCGTGAGTCCAACGATCACATATCCCGTGTCGCCACTTACAACGTCCAAGCTCCCTAGAACGTCAACTGCAGTATCAATCATGTTCGTCACCTCGTCCTCTTTACTGACATCGCAAGTCACAATGCATGTTCTAGGACGATAGGAGCTCTCTGAGCCTTCGCCTCGCCGAAGTTCGGTTGCGAAGTCTTCCAGTACCTCTTTCTTCCCGGGGAGATCATTGAGCGCTAAGTCAAAGCCGTCTTGGGCTAATCTGACCGCTATCGCACGACCAATGCCTTGTGCTGCACCGGTTATGAGGGCGACGCCTTTGGATTGAGACATTGCGGATATCGATGAGCAGTCCCATAAGCCATGGTCATTAAATACCTTTGGTAAGTTTCAAGTTCTTATCATAATATCCAGAAACAGCAGAATAAGGTGACGTCGTAATATAACGCATTTGCAAGCGTTCAACGCCACTGTCAGTCAATGATGTTGGGCCCAGCCTGACTCGGAGGCCGAGCCCTCATCATAGGGCCTTGCGCTGGATTATGGTTGGGTAAGGCCCGAGCCCACTGATGACGCCGGTAACCGGGCTCGCTCACTGGCAGGCCAGGTAGTATGGACACACCAGGAAAACTGAGAGATAGCCAGACCGACTTCTATCAGTGCTATGCATGATGGTGGAATGTCAATGATGATACGCTGGGCTTCCCAAGTTGGCAGCGGTGCTGTCAGTATGTTACATATACAGTATCGTGACCTACAACCGATCATTGCAGGGTGTCCATCACAAGCTGCTCAAATATTAGGTGACAATGTACACGTGAGCCTCATGGCCAGGGCCCAGGCTAGTGGTATGCTGACTAATCTACAACGAATATCGGAATATCAGTACTAGTGTTTGACTCTCGTACAACATTTGCCGCGCTATATATGATGTATTGGGGTATTGCAACTTGAACTTAAGGCCGACGTGAAGAGACATGATCCCGCCTTCAAGTTACGGATAATATTCCTTGAATACGTCGCTTATCTATGAGATTTGCAAATTCCCCTCGACCTCCGAGTCATCATTCGGGTGCCTCTCAAAACGTACAGTATTATCAGTTGTTTTGGCTCAACTAGACTGCTTTTGTGCAGTTCTTCCCGACAGGACAGCGCACTCCCTGGACAGAGCATCCCTGACTTCGTTATCAATTGGTAGTCCGCACTCGTTCGTTTTCCCTTGGTTTATTCGGCTCTCATTCCAGTATGTTTGATCCAACTTCATCATTTTTAATTTACCTTCAGTTCTTAATCAGTCAAAGACTGTCAACCCCTACTACATAGGCATGTGATGTTTGCAGCAGAAACTATGCCTTGGGTCTCAATTACTTAGGTTGATCACTGACCGAGTGTACACAACATTTAGAATCCTTATGTCTTACAGTTGGAGCAAGGAAAAGAGGACGTCCGGCATACTCCAAGATGGCACTCTAGGAACACTGTTCTCTGGATCTTTGACGTGCGGACTTGCAAAATACTAACGCACTGGGGCATGTCAGCAGGACTTTCGAACAGAAGAAGGATAATGACATGAGACGCCGTGATGGGCTCAGACCTAGCCCCATTTGTTTCTTCGTTTAGTACTAGTACATCGTGTTCGTAAGGCGTCCAACTTGCTAAGATAAGACAACGCCTTCGTCGATAGAAATCCAGTGCAGCACAGTGAATTCCTGTTAGGTGGCCACCGGTGTGCAATTACGAATTGCCCCGCCGTCAAACAACCTGCGTGTAGTAAACGACAAAATAAGAGTTCACCTGTAATGAAATGAGCCTCCTTTGATGCCAAATAACTGACAATGTTTGCAATATCTCGGCTAGCCATGATGTTTCGGCCGATTCCCAATCATACACACGAGTATGAAGGGAACCATAAGTAATCACCGATCTTTCCGGCAATAAAATTAGCGCCAGTAATCCTGCTATGGTGGCCCCGAAATATCATCTGTTCTGCGGCATGTTTGTAACAAAGAAAGTCTCTGTGGGCGTTAACGATGAGCATGCGCTCCCAGTCTTCAACAGTGGCTACACCAAGTCATGAGATTGCAGCGCGTACTCAAACACAAACTCTGAGCTTACTTATCAAGGCAGTGTTGGCTCCTGGAATGCCAGAGTTGGCAACCATCTGTGGAAGCATCATAAGCAAGCTTCCTGGAATGAAAGCTTAGGGTCCCACCACATCCAATCCACTCAGTTCTTTCAAGTTTACGGTGTCAGTGATCGTGTTCTTCACTTGTCACATCCGCGATCACGATACACGCTTTGCATCCCAATGCCTCGACTTCACTAGCAACAGCAGTCAGCTACTCACTTTTCGTAGGGAGCCTGTCGTTCAAGACAATGTCGAAGCTATCCCTCGCAAGCCGCAGAGCAGATCCTGTAAAGAGTGCGATCCCTTTTGTAAACAACATGGTTATGGTAGAAGGTGATGGGCTCTGTCGTTCAGCGCAACTCCATGCTACCGCTCCTGTACTTCACGGATCCCTTGTATACTGTCGCTGCTCGCGCGGCAGTGTCGCAGTGTCGTGTGTCGGAGTCGTATACTGATCTATCGCTCAATATTCTACTGATGCCATAGTAGTTCGCCTTCACCCTCGAAGTAGTGGTTGGGTAGGAGCCAGAAGCATTAGGATAGCTAGGTGAAGTACCCTCACCGTCAGGCATTCAACTTGAAGTCAGGGCAGCACCTGTATCAGTCCCGGTTTGGTAGTACGTACCCATATAGTTGTTGGCATCCGAAGCGCCAGAGTCGAAGAAGACCAAGAGACCCGATGGACAGGCACGAGATGATGAGTAGGAAATGACAAGTAGCAGGTACGAGCGCAAGTCATTGGTCGAGGGAGGTCGGGAACGGAAGGAACAGGGAGTACCTGTTGACGTCGGGACCGAAATGGTCCAAAGTAAATTTTCACCTTCAAAATAATCGAGAGCGCTTACCGTATTAATACCAGCGCCCAAACGTTACGAGCGTCTCAGTTCTTTCCAGAAACTGAGACGTGAGTCTATACCTTTATCGTTATTGTTACACCTAACTGACTCAGCGTAGTTATTCTTACCTGTTAGGTACACGCTTCGTCAATAAGAGTTCTTTCCAGAAACTGAGACTTATTCTTACCTGTTAGATCGTTTCTATCCCGCTCTACCTCTAATCTCTAGAATAGTAATACCCAATAACTTGAAACAAACTTGAAAGCTATTATCGTAGCGTCAACCACTTTCTCATAAACACTAGTGCTACTAGTACTGCCGTCAGATCATGGACACGTCGCTCGATAAATAGAATTCGTACTCGCAACCATGAACGGGTTCGAGGTTGAACTTGCGTTCATTGGTGCTCGAAGTGGAGAACCAATGATAAATTTGGGGTTGTGATGATTGGAACACATAGTAAGAATTTCTCGCATTATTAGCTTAGTTGCGGGAGCGGGACATTTACAACTTCTACAGTCAGCATAGGGGCATAGTAGTAATAATACATCGAAAACCAGGCAACAAATCACTATCGAATATGCAGGGAGGGAGGTCGTGCCTCGATCATCATAGCTCAAGATTTCAGTTGTCTTTCTGCATCAGCAAAATCCACCTTTTCCGTCGAATTTCCAGACCATTTGTGCCAAAGTACCTCTCGCTCTCGAAGCTCCATTCATAATTGGCGCGCACCCAGTTTCCCAAGCCATCACAGTACTCCCTAACTTGCGAGTCGATGGGCTCTCCCCATTTTGGAATGGCTGCCGCAGCCTCGAAGTACTTCTTCTCGAGTTTTATATGGCGATCCATCACCCATAACATGGCACCGTTGACATCCGTATCAAGGTCGTGCATGACAATTGTTACTATATTGTGACCGTCATCCCCACGTGCTTGCTCTACATTGTAGGACGTGATATCCTGTAAGATGATGAGTGACATCCGCTATATGTCTGTAGAAAGACACTGACATTGGCGAGAGCGATCATTTCAGTGGATGCCACAACTATATCCTTGATTGTTGGATGCGAAATTACTTCATCTGGGATATCGAGACCCAGCTCCAAGAGGGCGAACATAGGCTGTGCTCCGACCGATCTGCAGCGCACATCGATATGACTTTGGATGTCACGAATGTGATGCTTGTTTCGGTCAATGGCCTGCTGCATTATGCCCTCTAGACATTCATCCAATGCCGCAATCAAGTGCTTCTGCGTTTGACCACTAGCGTAACATATAGTATGTTCCCAGAATCTGCCAATGTGGTACCTAGGTCCTGATGTTGAATATGAGATAGTAAATCACTCACTGGCGAGCAACTTCTCCACCGACCCATTCCCCTTTTGGACGTGGCTTATGAGGGTGACGCATAGCATCCATTATGACGTCCTTTTGTTGACGGACCTCGTCCTCTTTCAAGCCATCTGTATATTCGTCTATGGCAAATGCAAGATTCATGAAATCGCAAGCGATGCGAACGTGTTCTGTATGTGATCCGACTCCTCAGTAAGTCATTGACTGGTATACTTATAGAGATCATCTTCACACGCGTTTAGGTTGGATAAACATGTAAGAAGGCCTGACAAAAGCGTGAGTACATCAACAGGCTTATTATAAATAAACCATGTCTTACTGAAATTGCTGCGATCGAAGGCTTGTTGTGCTTTGGGGCTGAATGCCTCAAAGCTTGCAAACCAAGCAGATGATTCAGCACGGACTTGGAAATAGTACTGATTGAGATGACGGGGAAACGGCCATCTTGCGAGTATGTCAGGTATGAAGATTTTCTTCTGAGGTTTATCACATCCATTACTAGCATTGATGGACAACAACCCCCCAGCAATGGGACGATCAAAGGCAGCCATATTGCGCTTATCCATGACCAACTGTGCTCCTAGACCTGACACTAGATGTGCGACCCAGGCAGGGACAGTGTTGAGGATAAAAGTCGCCATGCTGAAAGAACTGTGGTTTGCATCCATGCATGACTAGATTTTATATCTGCATGAGCACTGCTATTCCGGTGAATACGCCTTCGTGCTATCCCTGAAGTGTATCCTCAATTCTCTATCACTAAAAATATCAATGCGAGTATTGTGTCTAAGATCTTATCAGTCGAGATGCGATAGCCGTGCTCAACTCTTTGTACCATTACGCGATCATATTTCGGTTCCCAGAAAGGTTTGGACCCGATATGCCAATGATCCGGAATGATCAATGACAGACACCTGCGATCTTTAATGTTTGAAGCTTGAAGTTTCAGACGTCCGGGTCTTTGTAGACACTTTGTTGACAGTAGTCTGCTGACCAGTGATGAGCTACCCAGCGCAGAACTCACTATACAACACTATTCATTCTTCACATAGCGTCTATAATGTTTTGCAAGATACTAATTCATTGAATCTCTCTACGCGCCGACCATGCATGCTTCGAAAACGGAGACGCTCGAACGAAGTCGAAGTTGTCCACGTGACTCATTGATGCGGGATAATTCCAGGCACCTTGCCGTGCCGGGTAACATAGCCTGCCGGAGTTACCCGGCACCACACTTTCAGCTGAGCCGGGCCCGCAACGCTAGATATCTCTCTATATTGTACTGTGATCTACAATTATGTAAGGAAGGACTTCTCATGTGATCCAGTCGGGGTACAATATACCCCACGCAGATCTAGGGAAAGGGGACACCCATATCCCCCACCATGTCTCCTACTCTGAAACTTAAAATGCCCCGATGGAGGGTTGTCCATCGGGCAGCTGTTCCCACCGGCCGTTTCAGATGCATGAGTTTGCTACTCCAGTCCTTGCGCCGCGGCCTTGCTGATATACGCAAGAGCCTGGAAGTCGTATGATGTAGGATATACATTGTACTCGGAATCTTGAATCACCGAAGCGGTGTTCTCAGTTGAACGTATTAGTACTGAATAATCAAAGCTGGGGCAGCAAGGTCCCGGGTCACAGAAATCACCAAAGCGGTATCCTCAGTTGGATGTACCGAATAATCAAAGATAGAGCAGCAGGGTTCCAGATCACAAGAGCTCTCTCCACATCCCTGGATCCGTTATCAATTGTGGTCCGCACTTGTTCGGTTTCCCTTGGATCATATCGTTCCAATAGACTTACTCCAACTTTATCATCGATTTGCCATCGGAAGGAAGTTCTTGATCAATCAAAGACTGTCGGACCCTGATCCACCAACATGTAGCGTTTGCAACAGAAATTATGCGTCGAATCTCAATGCCTTGGGTTGCTCACTGACTGAGTTTACGCAGCATTTGGAATCACCTATTGAAGATACATTTCGTTTGTTTCTTCTTCTAGTGCACTATGCTAGGAATACGTCCAACTTGCTAAGATAAGACGACGCCTCCGTCGACAGAAATCTGCAGAACAGTGAATACATTGAAAGTTAGGTAGCCAGCACTGTGCACTTACGCATTGCCCTGTTGCAGCATCAAACAAGCTGCATGGAATCATGATGAACGGCAACATAAGAGCTCACCTGTAATGAAATGCGCCTCTTTTGATGCCAAATAATTGACAATGCTTGCAATATCTTCTGGTTGGCCATTATGTTTGATCGGCCGGTTCCCGAATAGCTGCGTGGTGTGAGCCAACGGTGCAGATACACGTGAGTATGATGGGAACAGCAACAGACCTGAATAAGGTAATTCGTCGAATCTTCGTCTGCCAGCTTGACGTTCCCTGATTGGTCGGAAATGCTATCCACTAAGTTTATGAAAGTGATCAGCTTGGAGATACATAACACGTTCACATGAAACCGTACGTATTTGGGTTTGTATGACACCCGGCGCATAGGCGTTAACCGTGATATTATATTTTCCAAGTTCAAGAGCTTGGCCAGATTCAGTGATCATTCACAGTCAAACTGTCAAAGACGTTTCTACTTACCAGCTGTCTGCGTCAATCCGCGGACAGCGAACTTGCTAGCGCAGTATGCAGCAGCTGATGGAAATCCTGCGGACAGCGCTCATATCAGCTCTTCAAGCTTGATTGCATGCAAAATAATAGTCACCGATCTTTCCAGCAATGGAACTCGCGCCAATAATCCTACCACCGCGACCCTGAGATATCATCTGTACTGCGGCATGTTTATAACAAAGGAAGACTCCGCGGGCGTTAACGGTGAACGTGCGCTCCCAGTCTTCAACAGTGGCTATACCAAGTCATGAGATTGCAACGCGTACTCAAACACAGCCTCCGGGCTTACTTTCCAAGACAGTGTTGGCTCCTGGAATGCCAGCGTTGGCAACCATCTGTGGAGACGTCATAAGCAAGCTTCCAGGAATGAAAGCTCAGGGTCCCACCACATCCAATCCACTCAGCTCTTTTACGGTGTCGGTGATCATGTTCTTCACTTCCTCTTCGATTGTCACATCCGCGGTTACGATACACGCTTTGCATCCCAATGCCTCGATTTCACTAGCAACAGCAACCAGCTGCTCACTTTTTGTAGGTAGGTCGTTCAAGGCAATGTCGAAGCCGTCCCTCGCAAGTCGCAGAGCGATACTGCGACCAATGCCCTGAGCAGATCCTGTGATAAGTGCGGTTCCTTGTTGAGGTGACATGGTTATGGTAGAAGATATGCGCGTGCCAGCTCGACAAAAATGGTACCATCGATTATATATGATGCCACAGGAATCTAGCGCTCTTTTGATATCGCTTGGAGGTGGAAGACACTAACTACTCTTGGAATATCTTCCGCGTAGCCTGGAAGCTAATCGCGGCGACAATTGACGGCAACGATTACGACACCAGCCCGTGTGGACCACCGCATAAATGGTCGGAACTCGAGAAACAGTGCTCAGTCGCTGTTAAGTATGCTTCCGAGTCCATGTGGCAACTTGCATGCTACTTGTGATTTCGGACTGTTCCGGGTGGTTATGACCAGAAGGTCGGCTAGAGACACCGACGGCGACGGATGCATCGAAGAAGCTTTGATAAAGGTAAGCCTCGTCTGAAAGGTTTTTGGTAGTAAATGGTTGTAATACCATCTAGCGCAAGTATATCACCCCCGAGTCCATTACGACCAATTACCGAGAATTGCAGCTTTTGTTATTCCTGCTTAAAAATAGGCTGAACCGTAGCTGTTGTGGACTCACAGTCAATTCAACGTGTGTAGAATCTGTCAGAAAGGGTCTCATAGTATAAGGAACTATTCACATAATTCAATTGACAAATAGTGACTCGCCTCGTGATGAATTCGAACCACTGAATATGATGACAAGAATCTAAAAGATCGAATCAGCTTCTTCCTAAAGTATTCAATTGACAGTGAATAATGTGGACGAATGATACGTAGTGCTGTGTCGTAGTGACCAATGTAATATGCGAAGGCGCAAGGGATTCGATGATCCGCGCTACATCGAGTTTGTTCCCTATTGCTACTAGTCCGAGTCGCCCTTAGGATTGGTCCTCCACGAATTCAATCACCCACCCGAAGAAGCTTCATGTAAGATTGTCTACCCACCACTGCGGCTCCCACTTGATAAGTTCATCTGAGTGGGGCGCCGAGGATAATTGTCAGGTTGGTTGTTGAAGATGTATGACACAATAACGAGTTCGTCATCGGTACATTCCGCTGGAACTATCTGTCCGGGAGGCAGAATGACCGCACTAGTACCCATCGAAGAGATGCCGAATAGTCTGTTCAGCGTGACTGAACTAAGCTCGAAGCTTCTATGCGAATCATTTATGTCACAATGATTGAAGGTGGTGAGCAGTCGTGCTTGTCGAGCGGCGCGGCATGGAGCCTTCACGATAAATTGCCTGCAAAAGTTTCAAAACGCAAAGAACAAACACAGATACGCTGACCTCACATGGTAGGGGGCGAGAATGCAGAAACGTCAAATAGTACAAGCAAGCGCTGAAAGGGGAGCTGCCGTACATAGCAAGAGGATTGAGGTTTTGTACCAACGAGCGAAAGACCTTTAATGGTGTAAAATTTATTCAATACATCGGAACGAATCGTGAAAATACAAGTAAAAGCTGATTCGTGGCAATGCAAAGTTGCACACGTTTGCAGAGAAATGGTCATTTGAGGTCTACAGAATCCCTCTCCACACTTCGTGGGAGTCGGGGATAAATCAAAGTTTATGCCTAATTTCTTTCTTGGCGATCTTGCTGAAGCGTTCAGCAGGTATTCCACTACTAAACATGTCCGCTTGTGCGTAACTCTCCCGCAAATTTACAGCGTGGAAATCGTTCTTATCATTCAAACCAGTTTTGATGAGGGCTTTGATGACGAAAATAGAGGCAGGAACTAGACCATCGAGTTCCTTCTTGAGATGTTGGTGAACTGCAGAGTGGAATTCTTCTGTTGATTTCGATAGAAAAATCTTGCTAAAGCATTATTAGCATGGGGTAGGAATAGTCGGATGCAGGAACGCGCACTTGACGAATCCACATTCAAGCATCTTTGATGCGCTAATCTTCTTGTTAAGAATAAGAACCTCGTTTGCCTTGGTGATTCCCACTTGACGATATTATGAGAAAAGGTCATGCAACTATGAGCTCGCTTACTGCGGTTGACAAACGAAACACTAGCTCCTCCTTCCGCCGCAATGCCTGAGAGGGTGCAAGTCTTTAGCGTGTATCAAAGAAAAAAATAAAACGCACGTACCCATGAATGGGAAGCCGACATTCAACCAGGCCTCTGGCACAGCGTATATGAAATCAAAGTTACCAAGGAAAGCTATTGAGACCTATTAGAGATGACGCGCATAACATTTATTGGTGAACGCACCAGCTGCCAAGCCTATCATCGAGGTCGTCACTTAACTCGATTACGAGACATGTAGAAAGGAAGTTCCATACCCATCACCGGCCCATTTAGTGCTGCAACAAGAATCTTGCTGTGGCTATAGATCTTTCATAATAGGAATAATCGGTCGGCGACACTATGAAAAAGTAATTTTTGCAACGTACGGCGTGTGTGCAATCCGTGTTTGCAGCCACTACCTCATGGAGGCAATCCCTCATCGAGGATTGAGTCGGAGTGTTCGGAACGTCAGGGTTCCTGCCTACTGTTACCGCTTGCGCCACGTCCCCGCCACTTTCTGGAACAGTAAGCACTAGAAGTAGCGAAATGCTTGTGGACCGCAGACTCACGCACAGAACCACCTCCCATTTGCTGTGCAAAGATAAGTTCGTGTAAGGAATACGCCATAAATTTGAAAACTTGCTTGCCTTGCCATACAGTTGCTACTATGTCTTCTCTTTTATCGATGGCCCGCAAAGAGTTGGCAAATTCGTCGTAGTCTGCAAGTCAATAGTTGTTCAGTCAACGTGGTTGTCTCAAGCACACAACAAACCTTCCAGTGTCATCGCATTCAGACGGTGAGGTTCATTCAAGGTTATCGTCGCAATGCTCTGATAAATGTCCACCGAGATTTTTCCTGCGGGCATGGTCAAGATGGCGTCTAAGGAAGCGAGAATTATCCAAAGACATGGCTGCGGTATATAGTGTATCGCGAATACACGCGTACGTCACGGTAGAATTATTAATCGGTTCCATTGAGCTGCATAGTTGTGGTGGTTGTCATCTATCATTCGAGATCCGCGGATGATGAGCACTACCTGTCACAAGTTTTATTTGCAAGCTTGAAGGGACGACATTTGCATTGCATTGGATACCAGTTTTATGTCGTACATTGAGAACCGAAAGATAAGGAGGCACTGCTGTCCATATTCGCATTTCGTACATTGACAGCCGAAAAATAAGGAGGCACCGCTGTCCATGTGACGAGAGCCAGTGTCAAATCCAGAGATTCGGCTCATCACAAAGCGTCAAACCAGGGTCTACAGAAAATAACGTAGGTATGCGAAAGTAGCACACGATAAGTCAGTAAAGTGCAGGAGCGTACTAATATCGAGTGATGCTGGACGACGGATTACCACGGGATAAGATTATGCCGCTAGTGCAGTGGTCCTAAAAATGCAGTGCATTTATTATCGTTGAAATACTGTTGGGGGGCAACAAATTTGAAGTTTGTTAGGGAGCAGACCATTTATTGGACTAGTGACCAGCCTGGAAATATCTTGTGAAGCTGTAGACAAGGGCTACGCGGGCTTGCTCCTGGCCTTCTGAGCGGGAGGGTCGGGAATCGGGATGCCAAGTCGGAATGATGGAAAGAGCCGCCGATAGACTAACAGGCGGGGTTTGAAAACAGTCGACCCCCCCAGCTCGCCGTCTCCTTCACATTGGTCCTAAACAGTCTAAACTCCTACTATGATGTCTTCGTCACGAACTACAGAAGATACCTATGAAGCACAGAATGATCAGCGACTAGATGAATTACATTCAAAGATACGCACACTGCGTGGAGTACGATTCATATCACCTCATTCCCACATACCTCTGAACGGTCTTCCAGGTTACCACAGACATCTACGACGATGCCGAGAGACAACATCTGACTCTGGATGATACAGTACCTTAGTGAATTCTCCTCTTCACTTTGAAATATTAATATTTGCATGTAGGGAAACGCTTTCTCTAGCATTTCAACGTCCTTGTCTCAGTCCTCTCGACGAGCTGCACAAGCATTCGGCCTCTCTGGCGCAGGCGGCGTCAGACAGATGCGGATAATAATGTATATTGTTGGCTCTTTTCTGGCACTCTGGCTAGTCTGGAAAACGAAGGAGGTCTGGTGGGTTGGCGACAGTACATGAGCCGCTATAGCTGCTTGTGAGTACTTATCCATGATTGACACTATTCCCGGCGCTAAATCGAACAAGCATTGGCTCGTATATATATAGGATTAATGCGTGTAATATCTATACCCTCGCATGGACTAACGGTAAAAGCAAGATGGATATTGAAGAGGGACTCCTCCCGCTATGTAAGTGCGTCTTCCGTGATACACGCAGAGATTTGTCACGCAGACCTTTCAATACGGTTTCCATGTACAGATGCCTGGACATGTCGCCCATAAGGTGATAACCCCGACACCCAATTTACTTGCTCTTTGAGCTCGTACAACTGACTGCGTGAGGCTTACCAGCGTCGACTTCATGAACTTCCAGTGCTGTTAAGAAGTCCTGTCCTTCTCGACATACTACGCACGCTGTGGCGTGGGGATCGAAATGATTGACTGATTTGTGTGCATTGTAGTTTTTTCGAGCTCTCCTCACGCTGATCACCTTCCTGGATTACATTATACTCGACATACTGATTATATATTCAGTATTATATTACTTATTAATCCGTTGCTTGAATCTCGAAGAAAGAAGGTAACGACTAGACTTGCACGATTTGGATATGAAAACGTACATGATTTTCAGACACTACTGCAGAACCTCGAAGCTTGACTCGACGAAGTTCAGGTGATTAGACCTGCGCTGCAGCAGAGAAGTTGCACACTTGAACACGAGCTAGCCTTGCGTAGTCTGCCATGCAAGCACTATGGTCGTGTGGGGCTGCTACGCGTGAGACATACGATGCGGGCTTCGCACGTGTTTTCTGATTACCATACGAGGGCTGAGATCCTTTTTAGCCCCAGGTTAAAACCTACATTCGATGATGAGAGTCCAATGTCAATGAATGAGAGCTAGAGGTCTGAACGGACGTCGGTAAGCACCGACTAGATGTATATTCTCGCCCCGAGTTTCTTATAGTCGGTATGTATGGACAAACAACGCCACTCACAAATACTCAAAGTGTTCTGATCCTCAAGCTCGAGGCCTTCCTAGTAAATCGATCAGCACCACCACTGACCGGCCCAGGGAAAGAAATCCTCAATTCGATATCGTAATCACACCATAGCATCTGCAAAGAACATAGCAGTTTACAAGGCCTTCTCAGTCCATACTGAGGCCTCCATCGACAGAGATCTGAAAGAAAGATCAGATAAGCTGTATGAAGCAAACTAAATCTACCTACGCATTGACCTAGGTGACATGACATGCTACGTGAGCAAGAGACAGGCGCAATAAAAGGCATGAACTGACCGGTAATGAAGTGCGCTTCCTTCGATGCAAGATAGCTTACAATGCTAGCTATATCTTCAGGCTGTCCAATGTGCTTGATAGGAACATTCTCGAGTGTCTTATTGAGGTTCGTGAAGAAAATAGGTACTCAGCATATAAACCAGGTTTGCCATCGCGCTCTGCTCACCGACACAAACCACTTTCTCGAACAAGGATCGTCTATAAGTCGTGCATAATCCACCTTCCCAGACTCATCCAACGCGATCTTGTCTAACTGAAAGTTAGCTGGGAAATGAGATATTAGTTTGACCTTACTCATAGGAGTTTCTATCGCGCCAGGAGCATATGCATTTACGGTAATGCCATACTGACCGAGCTCAATAGCTGTAAAGCGGTCTTTATTAAGGTGGTCTATGTGGGCATCTCAGCAATTACCTGCAGATTGGGTTAGCCCTCGAATCGCAAATTTGCTAGCTGTGTACGAGGACTGGTAGGGGAAGCCTGTTTGGTCATCTATATAAAATACTCGAGCAAATTCATATCTGTATGACACACCCATTTTGCCTAGGACCGAGCTCGCACCGATGATTCGACCGCCGCGTCCTTGTTCGATCATCCGCATGGCAGTATATTTATAACACAGATAAGCTCCACGGGCGTTTACTGAGAGGGTATGGTCCCATGATTCTACAGTCGCTAGTGAAGGACATGAAACAATGTCAATCGTAGACTTCGATAGAGATGATCGTACATGACACAAGCGAGGCAAACGTCACCACTCCAGCATTGGCGACCATCTACATGCGATAGAAATTCACAAAACAGTCTAGTGAGACAAGAAGTGCGACTAACGACATCTAGTCCACCAAGTTTTGTGACAGCACCATCGACCATCTCTTTGACTTGTTTGTCGACGGTCACGTCGGCGGGAACGATGCAGGCTTGTCTCCCAAGACTTTCAATTTCAGTCGCCACCAGCCCCAGCTTGGCATCCTTGTGGGGTAAATCATTAAGAGCAACGTCAAAGCCATCCCGTGCGAGCCGAAGAGCGACGCTGCGACCGATTCCCTGGGCAGACCCAGTTATTAATGCTATACCCTTGGAGATAGACATGAACGTTAAGATTCGGCGTAGCCTGGCCTTGCGCACCTAGTATTAGTAACCTATCACAATGCTTCTATCACATGCTCGATGGGAATTAGACGGAGATGATCATAGCTGAGCGCTAGAGCACTAATCCTTGAGGTTCCACTCGGAGTGTCGACGTCGGAAGTCATGTCACTGTCTTGTCAGATATATGCAATTGATACAGCTTGATGCATGCTACTGTATCACTGCAGATGATTTGCTTCCCATTGATAGACGTAGAGCCATCGCCGCCATATGTACTTATGGTCATGGTGGATAGGTTCGACTTATTTATTTATTTATTTAAAAGTCCGATCAATATATGCCCATGTCACAAGTAGTACTTACTCTCAACACCGTGACATTCCTTTGTGTAGACCGAGACTCGAGTAGCAGAGTCATGGGCTGACCCTGGTCTGAGGGTAAACATCAGGTATGCCTGATCTGTATACCAGCATGTCAAATAATGTCATCGGGGTTATGTCTTTCGTGCAGCTTGAATACTGACACCGTCAGAATATCATAATATTATCTCGCTGACCAGATGGCGTGTCTCTCGGATTTCCAGGGTGAATCAATTCAATTTCGATGACGAAATCGGAAAATAGCGTAGCAGGGTGTCAACGTTTTCAGTCCGAACAGGATATCATCGAGCGTAATTGTAGGTGGATTTAGAAAACTAGTTATAATCGATATCTTGGAAAGTGGCGTGATGACAAACGCTAGCTTCCGGAACATGTGTCATGAGATTTTTGAAAGATGTACATCGTATGTGTAGCTAATGGAAGCCATATTTTAAAAACTGACGCGACCCTCTCGAATTTTCCGTCGCGCTGCCGCGACAGCAAAAATGTTGTCCAAGGCGAACTATCACCAAAAAATAATTCAGACGCAAGTCGCGAGTGAGAATTCTCATAAACAGGTTCATTCAGCTGGCAAGTCGACCAATACCACTACTGAGTCCTGACTAGCTAGTCCAGGGAAAGAAATCCTCATTTTGAAATCATAATTACACCATAGCATCTGCAAGAAACAAAACTATTTACAAAACCTTTTCAAATACTACTGCAGAACCTCGAAACCAGTGCTTTGTCTCGACGAAGTTCAGGTGATTAGACCTGCGCTGCAGGAGAGAAGTTGCACACTCGAACGCGAGCTAGCCTTGTGTAGTCTGCCATGCAAGCACTATGGTCGTGTGGGTCTGTTGCGCGTGAGGCATACAATGCGGGCTTCGTCGTGTTTTCTGATTACCATACGAGGGCTGAGATCCTTTTTAGCTCCAGGTTAAAACCTACATTCGACAATGAGAATCCATGAATGAATGATGACGACTCGGTGGTGAAGTTGGGCGAGTTTATGAATTTGTCAAGGCCAATGAGAGATCCGAAAAACAAACTGACAGTTCCGATCCTCAAACTTGAAGCCTTCCTGGTAAGTCGATCAGCACCACTACTGACAGTCAATTCGATATCGTAATCAGACTATAGCATTTGTAAAAAACATAACTGTTTACAAGGCCTTCTCAGCTCATATTGATTCCCCCATCGACAGCAATCTGGGAGAACGATCAGATAAGCTGTATCAAGTAAACTAAAGCCACCTACACATTGACCTAGGAGACATCACATGCTACGTGAGCAAAAAACAGGCGCGACAAAACGCATGAACTGACCGGTAATGAAGTGCGCTTGCTTCGATGCGAGATAGCTTACAATGCTAGCTATATCTTCAGGCTGTCCAATGTGCTTGATAGGAACATTCTCGAGTGTCTTATTGAGGTCCGTGAAGAAAGTAGGTATTCAGTATATAAACCAGGTTTGCCATCGCGCTCTGCTCACCGACTCATACCACCTTATCAAGCAAGGATCGTCCATAATTCGTGCATAATCCATCTTCCCAGACTCATCCAATGCGAGCTTGGCTAAGTAGGAGTTAGCTGGGAAATGAGATATTAGTTTGACCTTACTCATAGGAGTTTCTATCGCGCCAGGAGCATATGCATTTACGGTAATGCCATACTGACCGAGCTCAATAGCTGTAAAGCGGTCTTTATTAAGGTGGTCTATGTGGGCATCTCGGCAATCACTACCTGCAGCTTGAGTTAGTCCTCGAATCGCAAATTTGCTAGCTGTGTACGATGAGTTGTAGGGGAAGCCTGTTTGGTCATCTGAATGAATATACTCAAGCAAATTCATATCTGTATGACGCACCCATTTTGCCCGCGATCGAGCTCGCACCGATGATGCGACCGCCGCGCCCCTGTTCGATCATCTGCATGGCGGCATACTTATAACATAGATAAGCTCCACGAGCGTTTACTGAGAGGGTATGGTCCCATGACTCAACAGTCGCTAGTGGAGGACATGAAACAATGTCAATCTTAATCGTAGACTTTGATCGAGATGGTCGTACATGACACCAGCGAGGCAAACGCTACCACTCCAGCATTGGCAACCATCTATACACAATAGCTGTCCATGAAACACATCTAGCGAGAGAGAGAAAGCGACTAACGACATCCAGTCCTCCAAGTTTTGTAACAGCACCATCAACCATCTCTTTGACTTGATTATTGTCGGCCACGTTGGCGGGAACGATGCAGACTTGTCTCCCAAGGCTCTTTATTTCAGTCGCTACCGACTCCAGCTTGGCATCCTTGTTGGGTAAATCATTGAGAGCAACGTCAAAGCCATCCCGTGCGAGCCGAAGAGCGACGCTGCGACCGATTCCCTGGGCAGACCCAGTTATTAATGCTATACCCTTGGAGATAGACATGAACGTTACGATTCGGCGTAGCCTGGCCTTGCGCACCTAGTAACCTATCACAAGGCTTCTATCACATGGTCGATGGGAATTAGACGGAGATGATCGATGATGGCTGAGCGCCAGTAAGCCTTGAGGTTCCACTCGGAGTCATCGGAAGTTATGACACTGTCTTGTCAGATATATGCAATCGATACAGCTTGATGCATGCTACTATATCGTTGCATATATCGCCGCCATACTTAGTAGGTCATGTGGACGATCATGATAGGTTCAGTTTACCGCAACTTTATTCATTTAAAAGTCCGATCAATGTTCTCATACCCTCAACACTTGTGACATTCCTTTGTGTAGACAGAGACTCGAGTCGTGTGTCATGTCTTTCGTGCAACTTAATATTTGAATGCTGCCACGCGTCAGAACATCATAGTATGCCAACATGTCATGAAATATCTCGCAGCATAACTAATATCATCTCGCTGACCAAATGGCGAGTCTCTCGGATTTCCAGGGTGAGTCAATTCAATTTCGATGACGAAAATAGCGTAATACTAACAGCGTTTTAAAGTTTTTCAGTCTGAACAGGATACGCATCAAGCGTAATATGTAGGTGGATAAAATGCACCGAAAGGCTGTCCAAGGCGAACTATCAAACTCAAGTCGAGCTCCACAAAAAAATAAATTCAAACGCAAGTCGCGAGTGAGAATTCTCACAAACAAGTCGATCAGCACCACTACCAGTGACTAGCTAGTCCAGGGAAAGAAATCCTCATTTTGATATCATAATTACACCATAGCATCGGCAAGAAACATAACTATTTACAAAACCTTTTCAGCTCATATTGATTCCGCCATCGACAGAAATCTGAGAAAAAAATCAGACCAGTCGTATGCAGCAAACTAGATCAACCTACACATTGACCTAGGAGACATCGCATGCTAAGTAAGCAAGGGACAGGCGTAATAAAGGCATGAACTGACCGGTAATGAAGCGCGCTTCCTTCGATGCGAGATAGCTTACGATGCTAGCTATATCTTCAGGCTGTCCAATATGCTTGATAGGAACGTTCTCGAGTATCTTATCAAAGTTTGTGAAGAAAGCAGGTATTCAGTATATGGACAGGTTTTGCCATCGCGCTCTGCTCACCGATGTGATGTACTTCCTCGAGCGAGGATCGTCGACAATTGGTGCATAATCCACCTCTCCAGACTTGTTTATCATGACATTGGCTGAATAAGAGTTAGCTGGTAAATCAGAGATTAGTTTGATCTTACACATAGCAGTCTTTATCGCGCCCGGAGCATATGCATTTACAGTAATGCCATACTGACCGAGCTCAACAGCTGTCAAGCGGTCTTTATTAAATATTGTCCATGTGAGTATCTTAGCAATTACCTGCAGATTGGGTTAGCCCTCGAATTGCAAATTTGCTCGCTGTATACGCGGAGTTGTAGGGAAAGCCTGTTTGGTCATCTAGATAAGATACTCGAGCAAATTCATGTCTGTATGACGCACCTATTTTGCCTAGGGCCGAGCTCGCACCGATGATTCTACCGCCACGTCCCTGTTCAATCATCTGCATGGCGGCGTACTTATAACATAGATAAGCTCCACGGGCGTTGACTGAAAGGATATGGTCCCATGCTTCTGCAGTCGCTAGTGGAGAACATGAGAAAGCGTCGATCGTAGACTTTGAGCAAGATAATCGTACACGATGCGAGCGATGCAAGCGTTATTACCCCAGCATTGGCAACCATCTAAACACAATAGCTGTCCATGAAACACGTCTAGCGAGAGAGAGAAAGCGACTAACGACATCCAGTCCTCCAAGTTTTGTAACAGCACCATCAACCATTTCTTTGACTTGATTATTGTCGGCCACGTTGGCGGGAACGATGCAGACTTGTCTCCCAAGGCTCTTTATTTCAGTCGCTACCGACTCCAGCTTGGCATCCTTGTTGGGTACATCATTGAGAGCAACGTCAAAGCCATCCCGTGCGAGACGAAGAGCGACGCTGCGACCAATTCCCTGGGCAGACCCAGTTATCAATGCTATGCCCTTTGAGATAGACATGCTACGTTGCGAGTTGGGGTGAACCTGGCGGACTAACGCAGCTCTCGCGCACGTATTATAAAGCTTCTATCTCATGTTCTATGAGAATTCGACGGAGATGAAGGCTGAGCAATAGAAAGCCTTGTCCGAGCCACCCGAAACCATGTGTTGTTATATGATACAGCTTGAAACTAACACATTTTCATCCCGGCCGTTAGCGTCCGAATCCTCCTCGGGAGGCCTAGGTCTGGTCTGAGGGCACTTGTAATGACATCGACAGGAGTTTGAAATTGCCGAAGTACTTCATTTCGACCTCAATACTTCTGGCGCATGACCGTGACGAACTTTTAATATGCATAGGCTATGTCGATGATAGTTTACTGCGCAACATGCACCGTGCGGGTTGCACGTCCGTATCAGTCGTTGACACTGTCAGGCCTTGTCCAAATTCCTCTTAGCTCTCTGTGCTGCCAGTACCGTCTGCTTGTTTGAAAATGCGGCAGCCCGCGGAACAAGGACTCGGATATAGCCGGGGAAAGATCAAGGTACTTGGGTCTGACTCGGAGATCACGCCTAAGGCTGTGACAGTCTAAGGTGCGATATTCGAGAACACCAGGTGACGACTCGAGGAAGAAAGTGATGAGGCACGTATTGGAACGTCTTTCATCAACAAAAAATAGGTTCCTGCAGGCCACCGTATCGCTGCAGACGGTATGCTTCTGATTGACCGTCGCCACCTATTGGAATAAGATAAGATGATAATAAGAAAGAACACAACAAAGCCTCACCGGTGCACCGGCCGCGGTGGAGGAATGCGAAGTTAATTTAGATCCATCGATGGCTACGGTGCAAACTGGTTGATTAGTTTGGAAGCAAAGTTTGTATTGTTCCAAAGTTCCCACGGCCACAAGATCAAGAACTCTTCATTTCGCTGTTGATTGCTACATTCGACTGCGGGTAAGGTGCTAAAAAAACTAGATGCAAATATTAAACTACTGACATAATATAGAGAAAACATCATTGAAGGCAACGTCGTCAGTCGGTACAGGGTCCAGCCCAATGAATGGTATGTAGTGCGTATTGTCATGAAGAGAAAGCGATTGACGGCATAGACAGGCAACATAAAGGCATACCCAGACTCATAGATCCGCATACAGAAACCGCAAGATCACCAAGGCATACAGTTGCTCCACGCGAGAGGACTGCATATGCATATCTCCATGTGGTCATGGTGGAGGCGTAAGATCCTAGAGTAAGGCCTAAAAGCCGCCCATGAAACCAACCATCTCTACTTCACCGAAACCCTCTCGTTTGGCGCGTCTTGCGGCCTTGAATTCTGCACCGCCAATTTTAGAGCCTGCCGCTGCCTTTGCCCTTATGCCCAATAGGCCCGCTTCGTCCGAGATGTGGTGAAGCTTGGACTTGGGCAACGGTGGTAGGCCAGTCATAGGCAATGGCGGCGGGCGGTGTGCGGATTTGTGCGAATGGCGGGAACGATGAGGATGAGGTGAGTGAGGTTGATTAGCTCGTGTGGAGGTTTTGAGGACGACGGTGTGTTGATCTATCGAGAATGTGACAGTGTCGTCATGTGAAGGGTGTACAGACCGCGAGCGGCTATGATTACGCGAGCGTTCGGGCATCGCGGTATGTGGGACGGGTGTCCTCAGGCCAGGGGTGGATGGGAAAACGGCTTCCATCGGAACTTCTTCACCTAGCTTCCTTCGTAGCCGTTCGATTTTGCTGCGCCGGTGTGCGGCCTCCTTGGATGGAGTGAGAAGGTGTTCTTGGATAGAAGATTTGTTAGAGGAAGTTGATACGATGCTAGCGCATCGTGTGGGTGCAGTACGTAAGGGCATGGGTGGGGAGCTTGAGTCCATGGCAATACCACCAGAGAGCTTCATAAGTGGGGGGAGGTGAGTCGGTTTACGACTCCTCCACGCGTCTTCTTTGGAGGGTCCAACTGGGGTGGGTGGTCTTGGGGGCGTTACCATGACGAACTCTGTACCTGACGTCAGTTTTATGCAGGCGAGTGAAAGACATGATGAACTGACGATCTTCAATATCATCGACAAAGCGTGGGATATCGCCGAGCATACGTCCTATCTTCTTGGTTGAGCGTACTAGTGCGGAGCGCTCCTTCGACGAGAGGGTGTTGTTGGTTGGGGGTAGGATAGTGCGAGGATCAGGGGGAGGGTATGTATGTGAAACCATAACGGATGTATTAAGTATGATGTGTTACAGGTAGTCTGCGATGGTCGTAGGTGCCAGACGCTACAGAAAGATAAGTACAAAGTACTTGCAGGTAAGTCCAGTGTCTGTCGGACAAAGGGGCTCCAGGACCCAATGGATGGGGGGAAGAGTCACTGTGGGCGTTGGATATTCATACGGCTCTTAAACAAAAAGGGTGAGCGAAGGATGTGCTCTCCCATCTCTTGGGTCGATGTAGCGAATCCGGGAGTACGTTTATTGTATATTTGGTATAGCGGCCAAGACAATAAAGACCTAACCATTATTGGATGAAAAGAAGGTTGCTCGGCAGTCACTTCTGCTCCTTCTTATCCCCAATGGAGGTCTGTACTTGTGCTGCATTAAGACTCGCAGCAAGTTTTAACCACGACCCTTGGGTAACGTGCAGATGAAAACCAAGGAGTGGGAGGTTAATTGTCTAATTATAACCTGCAGCTGTGAGACTTGGTCCCAGTCAGCTGAGCTCGGCGCTCTCATCACGACGATTGTCCAAACCATCTTCCGTAACTTTCTTCCAGATCTCACGTACACAGCGCATCGATGTCGATCCGGTGGACATGCATATCATCTCTCTCAACCAAAGCACGATCATCCCACTGCGCTTCTATCGCGAATAAAGGCACCTTACTCCTATATGGTGGCGAGTTCCAGCCACGCAAGCCTGTCGATGGAGACGTTCACGTATTAGATCTGAACAACGCTAGCCAACAAGCCGTAGCGGACAACGCGGCTGGCTCGTGGCGTACCTTGTCCGCATCGTCGAAGCCAGGGCCCCGAGTGGGCGCAACAACAGTATTCGACGGCGGAAATTTGTACATGTGGGGCGGAAGAGGAGGCGTCGATATGATGCCTCTAGAATCCAAGCAATCAGGCATATGGAAGGGACAGATATTACAAAATGAGGTCATATGGGAGAAGCTGGAAGGCAAGGGCGACGAGCCTGTCTCGAGAAGCTTCCACGCTTCAGTATTGGCTAATGTATGTATCCGAAAATGTGCTTTATATCCCGAGCGTTTCCATCAATTCTCTTCCTGAAGCTCATCCTCGTGTTAATCGGAATTTGTGTATAGGGAAAATTGTACATCCATGCAGGTTGTCCTGCCTCTGGGCGCCTCTCTACTCTTCATTCTTATGATCTGCAGTCCTCTCGGTGGTCTCTCTGCGCAGATGCTCCCGATCCTGCGCGCGGTGGAACCGCCATCGCTTCCGTAAAATTTCCAACCTCTTCCTCCGATGAGGAAGTAATCATTAGATTCGGTGGTATGTTGTTCTTCCATGTCTGATATGCGCCCTACCTACGCCATTCGTGATCCCCGCTTCGTAACATTATCAAATGGACGAAGTCTGATAGTCTTCATGCTCTTTTGTTTTTTCCTTTCATATAACGCCCAACTTCTGCCTTGTTTATCGTGGTTAACTTCATCATCATTTCAGCCTTCCCTATTCCTAAATTAATTAATATCTCACTATTTTCAGGTTTTGCTGGGTACCAACTCCCCACTTCAACACCACCACCCTTGGATATTTACACACCAAGTACTAACTCCTGGGCAACCGTTGTACCGTCTGGCGACCCACAATACGGATATCCCGGAGCGCGCTCCGTCCACGGTCTCGTTCCTCTTTCCACGCCTGATGGCACCGGAGTCGCATTACTATACCACGGCGAGTATGACGCCTCCAGCTTAGGCCATGCCGGCGCAGGGAAATTCTGGGATGACACTTGGGCGCTGTTGTGGCACGAGGGTGCGCTAAGATGGAAGAAGTTAATTATAGAAGGTAACCTGAATAATACTTCGCGATTCATCGCGCCTGCGCCACAGCCAGCTGATTTCATTTCGCAGGTGATCCAACCCCGGAGGGCCGTGGTTGGTTCCCTTCAACGTCCTATACCACTCCTGGAGGTAATACTCGAGTAGTTCTCTCGGGTGGTCTCCTCAGTTCAAACGAGCGCAGTGGAGAAGTGTGGGTTGGCGATGTCCAACTCTGAGCTCGGCTCCGAGTTGCAATTAGTATCAAAGACAAGCGTAAAGCAGCTGCTCGTGCCACAGCTGCAAGGCTGTTGGCCGTGAAAAATCGATGATGTGAAAGGACGGTGGAGGCATACCAGTTAGGTTTGGCTTCAACAGAAGCTTCGAATCCAGGTGACCCAAGACATTTAGTTCTCTCAAGAACAAGTCACACAGGTGTATTCCAGATACCGTGGCACGTAAACAGAAATGGTTAGACAAACGTGATGAAATCTAGAGTATTGGTATGAAAGTAGCTGGTAAGAAAAGGACTGTAGTTTGTCGCAAATTGCCAAGATCGAGGCGCTGATGACTCGGGGTCAAAAACTGTATGCAATTCAAAATGTAGGAACCTCATAGCTACATGAAAATTTAACCCAGAGTACTTCGTAATTGGAGGTTTTCCGCCAGCAAACGGTCAATTACCGCCTGTTGTTGAGCAAGACCATGAGCTACACCATCCATCCATATCTGCAAGGATCGCAATGTGAACATGATGCCTCTAGTCCATGAAAGACTAACCTGTTGTGTTCTGGCTTGCTCGGCTTGCCTCTTCAGCTCTGCCTCATTTTCGAGGCGCCTCTGCTCGTTAGCATACTCCTCGCACACGACTTTAACGCTGTCTATCTTATCCACTTCAAAACCATAACAGCGAGAGCGGATTCCTTGCCAGGTTGACTCGAGATAGCCTGGGAAGAGGTGTTTTATGGCCTCCCAGATAGTACTGGCGAACCAGTAACATTGAAATTGATAGAGGTGGTAGTTGGGAGCATGCGTGCTTATAACAGATAAGAGGACCGATATCTGGGCTGCAGAGGGAGGTGTGGATGCGGGAGAGAATGTGAGGGTACAAAGATGTTTGTATGGGCCGTATCTTGATTCTAGGTACTGATGAGTGCTAGTACCTGTGTTTGGGGTAGTGGAAACGGAGTCAAGGGCAGGAGTTTGTTTGACTGAAGGGGAAGCGATGCCCGACGAATGAGTAATAGGTGTGGAGGAGCCACTGTCGTTCGGAGTTGACTTTGGAGCACGGTCTACGACCACACGGGCGGTCGCAGGCACTGAAGGATCCCAGTGACGAAAATACAATACAAGAAATTCATGCTTCTTGCGTTTGGAAGCTTTGCAAAACCAGACTTTTTCAAGGACACACTGCGAGGAAAGATTGCTATCCAAGAGCATTCTTCGCCATGCCGCGACGTCAAGTCGAGTCTCGCCGAGTGTAAATAATCCCGGGACATCAGTAGGAAATTCCATGAAGCGAGAGAAAATTGTAGCAAGGAGTCTGCGAAAACTGAATTGGTGCTTTGAGAGCATCGCAAGTTGAAAAGGGTTGATGAGGGTTTGAACATGGACATGAGGCTCAGAAGACAGAGATTTTGCAGAACGTGTTAAGACATGATTATCGCTGGGGCCAAATTATTTACAGGCAATTGTGTGGAGTGTGCATGAGGCAGATAAAGCTTAAGATTTAAGGCGCAGCCAGGAGAGTAAATTGTAGGGCGTGCGTAAGCTGGGCGGCGGAGAATGAAAGATGATTGGGAGATGGGTATAAATCCTTTGCATCAGGCATATGTGGGACACTGAGGACTATGAGGACTATCGCAACTGGGAGGAGGACTTTGACGACTTTGAGGATGTGTTTGTTCGCCGACAGACTTAAGAGACATTAGGTAATATTGGGAATATACTCCACAGCAACAGGGTGACTCCGACTCAAGTACACCGCTCATCGTCTGTCATCAGGCAAGGCGAACGGGTTGGGATGGCATCAGATTTCAACCAACTTGTCTTCAAGAGCTCGTCCCACAATTGAGTCTATGAGACGAGCAAGATCAACGAGGGCGTGTGGTGGGTATTGGTCTGTCAGAAGCGATCAGTGTAGTACGAGCTGTGTCACGGTCAGTGACATGTCTGTTGTTAATAGTTTGTTTATCGATACGTCGAGAATCAGCTTACCTAATCACGCAAGTACATACAGGCACATTAGAGTTACACACCTCAGTCCGTTACACTACGAGTACGAGACTGAGGTGAGACATTCATTTAATATTCTAATACTCTTATTGACTCTCGTAGTATACACTCGTTTATTCTAGGTTAGTTTAAAGTCCGTTACACTACAAGTACGAGACTGAGTATACACTCGTTTATTCTAGTTTAGTCCATCCGTTCGCTCCCGCACGTCCTACTACTGAAACAAAAGGTTATGAGCCCTGACTGAAGCTCAGTCAACAAATAGCCTAGTAGTGACTCTATCCTACTCCTCGCACAATGTCCAACAATCCATCAATCTCGCAAGCTCAAAGTTCAAACTCGCAACCAACTGCCTCGTCAGCATCTAACTCCAGGAAAGCCACACAAGGCTCGAACCGCCTCTATGATATCCCGTCGTTAGAGAACGATGGTTCAAATTTTCAGAACTGGAAATTTAGAGCTAGGAAAGTACTCATCGTACGAAAGCTCTGGGGTATTGTTGAAGGCTCAGAAGTCCAGCCATCTGCTTCTGACCCTGACGCGGTCCAAGATTGGCTAGAGAAGAACGATGAAGCACATGCACAGATCACGCTCACGCTAAAGGACGAACCTCTAAACGGAGTCCTACACACGGTGTTAGCATCTGATGCATGGACAAAATTGTGCGAGCGATATGAAGGGAAAGGAAAGCAGAGTATAGCCTACCTTATAGGCGAATTATTCCGCGGAACACTCTCGGACGAATCTCCTATGGAACCGCAACTTAACGCTATGCGACAGAAAGCTCTAGTGTTGAACTCACTTGGTCAAGCTCTAGACGACTCCCTGGTGGCCATAGCTATGGTCATATCCCTCCCATCTTCATACTCGACTCTCCGAACAATACTCATGTCGACGAGCGACAAGATCACAATCGAAGGCACCATTAGCCAAATTCTAGTCGAAGAAAAGTTGCGGCGAGGTCCTGAATCACAAATGGCCCTCGTAGCCAAGACTTCGGACAAGTCAAAGGAGAACTCGAGGACGGACAAGAAGAAGAAACCTGGCAACTGCAACTATTGCAAGAAGCCAGGTCATTGGGAGAGAGATTGTCGAAAGAAGAAAGCCGATAAGGCTAAGAGCAGTGACAAGGACAAGGATGACGAAAAGGACAAATCCAAGGCCGAGTTGTCAGCAAAAGTGGCACATGTAGTCGGAGATGACACACCATCACTACAGCTGTTCGTTGCACATGGACCGAAACACGAGTCACATCCAGCGGAGTGGATTGTGGACTCCGGTGCATCAGCGAGTATGTCGTGTCAACTGAGACTGGTTCAAGACATTTCGCATGCTAGTTCCCACACAGCGTGTCATAGTTGGGGATGGCCGGTCAATCAAAGCTACGGGGATTGGAAACATAGAGTTAGAAGTCGAAATCGGAGATGCGCAAACTCGATGAACCGTTTTGCAAGACACATACTATGTTCCCGACCTAGATGGCAACCTGTTGTCAATCCCACGCTTAGCAAGCAAAGGATATGAAGCAATCTTTGGACAATGTACCTGCACAATAACTCGCAATGGCTCGATAGCAGCACTAGCAAAACGGCAACAGTCCCTATACATATTAAAGGGATGCACTTGCGTTAGCGAAAGTGCTTACATTGTCGAAGGCCCAAGCCCACTGCTGAATGCGGAAGAACCAATCACGGCTCTCGCAGCATGCACATACTTGTCGAAGGCAACGTTCGAGACCTGGCATAGACGCCTTGCCCATATCGCCCCCGAATCCGTGAAGAAACTGTTCGAAAAAGACATGGTCAGAGGGATGGAAGTCTTGGGATCAATCACTCACGAAAAGCAAGTTTGCAAGCCCTGCCTCGAAGGCAAGCAGGCACGCAAGCCCATCCCAGACGAATCCATGATTGAAAATCCCCGGGTCTTACACAGGACATATTCTGATGTTTGTGGACCCATGGAGACCACTTTAGGAACGGGACACCGATACTTCGTTACATTCATCGATGCCTGCTCGCATCACGTCATGGTCAAACTTCTCAAAACGAAGGACGAAGCACTTGGACTCACGAAAGTATACTTCGAGCGAGCAGAGGCAGAAACGGGCGAACACGCAAACTATTTTCGCAGTGATGGAGGCGGGGAATATGGCTCTGGTGACTTCCTAAAGTACCTCGAGTCAAAGGGCATTCATCATGAAAAAACGAATGCTTACACTCCACAAGAAAACGGAGTCGCCGAACGAATGAATCGAACCCTCGTCGAATCAGTGCGAGCCATGTTAAACGATGCTGGACTTCCGAAGAAGTACTGGGGTGATGCCATACTCTACACGGCCCACATACTCAACAGAGTGCCAACTCGTGCCCTGAAGAAGAATATAACACTGCATGAGGCCTTTACTGGCAACAAACCGTCAATAGCGCACTTGAGAATCTTTGGCTGCAAGGCACACGTGCACGTACCTGATGAGCGCCGTCAAAAGCTCGATGCAAAATCCTTCGAGTGCATCCATTTGGGGTATGCCAAACACCGTAAAGCCTATGTCTGTTTGCAGAGGTCCAGTGGGCGAGTAATAGAGTCGAGGGACATCGTGTTTGTTGAAGGGGATGATGAAGAGTCAAGCCGAGTGAAGATAAGTGTTGAAAACACTGAAATTTGTCAAGTCGATAAGCAACAAGACCAAACGAAATCACACAACTCACTGGCAAACCCAGGTCCAAGCGAAAACGGACAAGTGCACATCGAAGAGGTCACAAGCGAAGATGAGAACGAAGACTCGGATCCTGAGCAAACAGAACAGGAATTCCCTGTACTATCTGTAGGTCAACACGAAGTTAGCTCTCAAACCTCGCAACGAACCTCCACAAGGCGTCGCGCACAGCCAGAAGGTCCTCCGGCACCATACCCACGTCCAATTCCTCCACGCGAAATCAGACGCTCAACCCGCATATGAAAGACACCAGTTCCTGACGACGATCCCCGTTATTTCGTCAATGTGTATGATAGATCAACACTCAAGACTCACCAGGAAGCTACTGTGGAGACAGAGGAAATTCCCAGTATGAGGGGAGAAGAGAGAGCTGAAAACGTCGAAGATGAGAGTGAGGAAGAAGCTGAGGGAGAAGAACGAGCTTACCATGCGGAAATGGCCGAAGAACCTAGGACGTTTGAAGAAGCAGCAAATTGGCCAGATGTGGACCTATGGCAAGCTGCCATGCTGGAGGAGCTGAAAGTATTTGAGAAGATTGGCCTATATGAGGCAGTGGAGCGGCCGAAGGACCGGAAAGTCATCAAGTCGAAATGGGTGTACAAGATTAAGCGCGGCCCTACTGGGGAGATTGATAAGTACAAGGCACACCTAGTGGCAAAAGGATTTACCCAAGTCGAAGGTATCGACTACACCGAAACGTTCGCGCCCGTGACTGAAATTCTCCACGATCCGAATACTCCTTGCAATCGCAGCAAGATTCGACCTAGAAATCCATCAGATGGACGTGAAGTCAGCGTTTCTGAATGGTGAGCTAGAAGAAGAGATTTACCTCGAATTACCCCCAGGATTCGATGACTCGGACAATCTAGTGTGGAAGTTGAAGCGACCACTGTATGGCCTTAAGCAGGCACACAAAGCTTGGTATAAGCGGCTCTGTACCATCTTCAAAGGCTTAGGTTTCTCGCGCTGCGAAACTGAGCACAGTGTGTTCTACAAGATCGTGAATGGGACCCACCTGATTGTTGCAGTCTATGTTGATGACAAGATGATCTTCTCGAAGTCACTGAAATTGATCAATCAGCTGAAGAAGCAATTAGAGGCCTGAGTATGAATTAACGGACCTGGGAGAGGCCCGTTGGATCCTCGGGATGGAGATAATCAGGGACCGGGAGAAGAAGACAATCGAGTTGTCGCAACAGCGATACATCGAGATGATTCTCGAACATTTCGGCATGCAGGATGCGAGACCTGTCACTACACCTATGGACTCAAACACCAGGTTGGTCAAACGAGATAGCGCAGAGGTAGACACCAAACCTTATCAGAGTGCGCTCGGCGCATTGATGTACGCGATGCTCGCAACTCGCCCAGACCTCGCATTTGCAGTGGGCGCATTGAGCAAGCACTCTGCTACCCCAGGAAATGAACACTGGAACGCATTGAAGCGTGCATACCGTTATCTATGCAAAATGTCTAACAAACGACTCACCTTCAGAGGAAATGGAGAGACGAGCCCGCGCAGTTTTGTGGATGCAGACTGGGCATCAGACGTCAACAATCGACATTCAATAACGGGCTATGTCTTCTTGATGGCGGGCAGCACTGTAAGCTGGCAGTCAAAGAAGCAAGACTCTGTGGCACTATCCAGCACCGAGGCTGAATATATGGCGGCGGCATCAGCAACGAAGGAAGCAATATGGATAAATACCTTTCTGGACGAGCTACAATTTCCCCAGTCCCAGAAAACACTCCTTCTCATTGACAATCAGTCCGCAATTTCTCTCGCGAAGAACACCATATTCCACAGCCGCACAAAACATATCGCGATCCATTATCATTTCATCCGCGAGAAAGTTGATGCCGGCGAAATCGAACTCGAATATGTCCCTACGAACGCCCAGATCGCAGATGTTTTGACGAAGCCGTTAGGAAGAGTGAAGCATGAGCGTTTCATCGAGGGAATGGGAGTAAGTTGATAGCTGATAACTCGCCGAGTGGGCATGTTGTTAATAGTTTGTTTATCGATACGTCGAGAATCAGCTTACCTAATCACGCAAGTACATACAGGCACGTTAGAGTTACACACCTCAGTCCGTTACACTACGAGTACGAGACTGAGGTGAGACATTCATTTAATATTCTAATACTCTTATTGACTCTCGTAGTATACACTCGTTTATTCTAGGTTAGTTTAAAGTCCGTTACACTACAAGTACGAGACTGAGTATACACTCGTTTATTCTAGTTTAGTCCATCCGTTCGCTCCCGCACGTCCTACTACGAAACAAAAATGTCCCCCAATGGGTCACCTTTAGGGATCTGCAAGGGTATGGGTAACCCGCGTGGGTCACGAGTACAGGTACTACTGGGGTACGGGTATAGGTCGAGATTCTAAGACCTGCACTCTTACCCGTACCCCAGCTATACCCGTGCCTTACATAAACGTCCTACTTCCCGCATGCACGCTACAACTGGCACCACCACCAAGCACTCAGACTTCCTGCCGGCAATGCATCAAGCTTGGGAAAATGATAACTCTCAATGCAATCCGTTTGAGAGCTGTTTTGCTTGTGAGTCGTGTCCTTTTGTTCTACAGTTCACAAACTAATTTATGGTAGCCATTACACAGGCTGCCGTACATCTACAGCTCGCGAACTTCAGGCTGGGATCAACATGTCTCTGCACACCGACATCTCTCCAAGCAGGCTAATCACCAGTGGTGTTGATCTACAGGACCAATAGTAAGTTTGCTAATTAGTCTAAGAAAACTATGCTAATCAGAAAACTCGACAGGCAGCGCCTCAAGGTGGACATCACCAACATGTCTCTTCAGAAGCACCTGCCACCACATCGCTACCAACACCTTCGCATTTGGCAGTACTCGCCATGTCCCCCACGCCACGTTCGACAACACCCACTACGTCGCTGTGCAGCACGCTGACGGATGCCACCAGCAAGCACCATCCAGCACCTACGCGACATGCTTACATGACATCAGTAAATTCCCACATTTCTTGACTTCCTTTTTCGAGACTTGCCGCTGGTCAAAATCCCAAAAAGGAGTGGAAAAGTCACTCGCAAAAATGGCAACACCAACTTGCCATCAACTTGCCACAAGGCATATAAGTTGGATAAGTAGATGCCTCCTCTTGAATTTTACTTTTTCTACCTTTATTTTTGCTTTTTGAGCAATTATTTTCAATTATTCCTACAATACAAGCAGTGCAAGCAGTGCAAATTGGAGCAACTTATTTCACTTATTGTGTACTTGTTCCAGACAAAAATAGCCGTATATCATTGCATTTCCAGTGACAAGTATATTAAGCGAGACAAAAAGGAGAGAAAGCAATATGAAAGTACTGGTAAGTAGCGAAAACGAGACATTTAACATGCAGCAACAAAGCGAATAGCAACACATAGTATATGCAAGTGGCGGTGGGAATGACTCGGTGGGCAACAGTGAACAAACAAGCAGGGAACAGAGATGATGGTATGGACCGTGAATGACGAGAGGAAGGGGCAGTAAAGTACCTCACTCTATAAAACAGAAAGTAGCACCGAAATCCATCAGTTGGGACACTAGAAAGTGACAGAAAAGGACAGTACCAGGTATCAAAGATGAGCGCGCGCTCATCCTCAGAATCATCTTCCACAGTGGGGGGCGCACCACACCTCCTCGCAGTGATTTCCTTCGTGCAGCACCAGACGTCCTGGAGGATCGACTCATCGAGGCGGTTGATGGACTTCATATAGCCCCTGGTTGCCGCACCAAAGTTGGTGTTGGAAAAGGCCTTTCGAGAGTTGCTGATCTTGCCTGAGGCTTTGTTCATACTGTGGGGGACTTTGACAGCATTGCCTTTACTGTTGACTTCCAATTCACTGATGAGCGTCTTGTCACGGCCGATAATCTTGAGGGCACGTTCCATCTGAGAAATATGTCAGTCACGATATGATAAGAGGGTAAATGTACATGCTGCCACAGTGGCGAGGCTAAGAGCACCCTTCGCGTGCATGACCTTCCTGTGGCTCTCAATGGCGCCCCAGGTAGCACACCTGTGCTGTACAAGGACTTGAACAAGGAGTTCCGACTGAAAGGGTTTCTTGAATTGTCCGTCCTCCATGATGCTACCATACAAGAACCCTAGCTTAAAAAGTAAGTTGTTTGCAAAATCTTCGTGGTCTTCGTCAGTCTCGACATCATCCTGTAATGACATGAAGTGTGTGAGTGCGGTGACAGCGGTAGTGCCCATGCCATTGCGCCATTCTGATAGCCGCTGGGTGGCCTAAGAAAAAAAAAGAATGATCAGATATGAATTACATCAAAGATCACTTACTAATGCCATGACAGGCCCATCAGTAGTCACCTTGTGCGGTATGTCCTTGTATACCGCATCCCAGGTGTCCTGCACAGTAGTGCAGAGAACTGCCTCCAACTTGGGAAGAGCCCACGCCCAGACCTCATCTTGATCTCCGATTGCGAAAATGAGAGTGGGGATGAATACCACACTCCATCTAGCCACTGCCCGAGCACCTCCAGGAAGGTTTTTGATCCGGTAAGCAGAACGGGGGAGAATCTCCACCTCAACAGAGTTCAACACGGCGCGAGAAGTAGCACTCGCGATACTGGAAAGACTGCGAGTATGTGCGATGGAAGACTTTGTCCGATTAGCCACAGGAGCTTTGTGTTTGATGCCAACATTAGTCTACATGATTCGTAGTTAGTATGATTTGAATATAAATAACCGAAGCTTACTACCGCAGAAGTGACCCGCAAGGACCCTGGTTCGGATTTGGTCTTGACCACCATAGGCTTGCTGTGCCCCACAAATTCAACATTGGATGAAGGTGTATCTTCCTCAATGATGAAGTCATCATCGGCCATGAAGTCATCCCCAATCTGGTCATCCTCAATCACGTCGTCCTTGAGCAGGTCATCCTCAGGCAGGCCATCCTCAATCGCGTCATCATCGGTTAGACCATCCTCCATATTTCCGAGTTTGCGCTTGACACTCATCGCCAGAATGGTAGAGTGGGATGTTGGAGTTCGAGCGAGAGCTGCAGCTTGACGGATATCAGTGTTGTAATATCCTCAGGGGACCTGTGTAGAAGGAGGAGGCTCGAGATCAGATTCCATATCAGTGTCGGATCCATAGTTAACGAGGGAAGCTACTACTGGGGGGGCCGCCTCAGCATTCATTTCATCGTCGGAAACGTCGGGCTGAATGGTGTTGAGCTGTCGAGGAGTCAGATTGGCATTGCGATGGGATTGATTTGTTTGTACTGAAGTATTGGGGACCTTAGAATAAATCTTGACGCCCTGGTGATGCGGTTAATACATTAGAAAGAACTAGATAATTAAACTCACCTGAGCAGCTCTTGGTTTGGACATACGGGCAAGGGCTTGAGAGCGCTCGACTGATTCAGCCAGATCATCGTCTGCAAATAGGGTCGTAAAACGATCTGCCACGTTGTCAGCCCCAGCATCAGCGATAGTATTGATGGGCGTGAGTAGGGTCACCACCACTACTGATAGTACTCCCCATAGTAAGTTTGGAAGAGGGAGCAGTACTAGAGAAGTCGGAAGGCATGGTAGATGGTCTTTTCCTGAATGCATTGGAGGATGGCTTAGAACCAACACTGGCAGCAGGAACTTCCGTCCTCCAACCCGGGATATGCTCGACAGCAAAGCCAAATTTTTGAGGACCTGATGTAGAGCTAACATCATCATGCACCATTAAATTGAAAAAGAAAAGAGCTGTTTCAGTGAGATGGTGCAACATAGTTGAGAAGCAATAAACATCTTACACATCAGCAGACTTCTTATCGTCATCACGTGCCATCGTTGATTCATCGATAAGACCCACTGCTTCGATTGCATCTCTCACTGGCGTCTTCACTGGTAACACTTTCCTCTTCTCCTTCTTCTTGCGTGACCCTGGCACTTGCACCTCTTCCTCTACATCACTCCCAGGATGGTCGATGTTAGCACTGGCTGCTAATTTACCTCTAGCCCCACCACCCTTGCCATTAGCGCTAATGGCCTTATCTTTGGCCATAGTCAAGTTGGAGGTCTCCATGACTTTTACAGCCTTTTTTATGGGGCGTGGGCGTGGGCAGGGACGAGTAGGCTTTGGCGCATCAACATGTGTAGCTGCTTGGTCAGTCTCCATTTGTTTCTGAAATACAGCAATGCGGTTATGTCCTTCTTGAACAGCCATTTCACTTGCCCTGTTTTCCTCTTCTTCATGTTGATCATCAGCGGCCTTTTGAGCTTTGGTACGTCTCTTGGTGGGGCCTTCGCCCCTGGTCAGGATATATCCTGGATGCTGAGTTGCATTTTTAGCTCGAGTTGCCACACACCTCGGAACTGCGCTGGCGGGCTGAGACATGGTATCAATGGAGGGCCTGGGGGGCTGAAGAACTAAGAAAATCCAACCAGTGGTGGCTGACAACAAGGTAAGTTTTGTCACAATTCTCCAAAAATTGTAACCTAAGCTGACTCTGAATTCATACATATGACCCTACTTTGCTCTGACGTACCCACTAATATACTAGCTCGATTTTTTTGCAGTCTCCGTTCATATTGGGAGTCTCTAACATCTTTCAGGCACTCCGGATACTATCAATCCGACACTATTAATCCGACACTTTGCCTGTGAGACATCAATGGTATGGTTCACTAACACCTTTCTGACGAGGAGATAGTCTACTAACACTCCCCGCACCGTTAGTACTAGTTTTCATTTGTTGGCGCAGTGAAACTGAGGTTCACCACCGCTTTTTCGGTACAGTTTACTCGTGTCCGAGTGCCAAATCTGGCCTTCATTATCAAATTTGTCACATTGGTGCTGGTGATTACGGACGGTTGCAACCCAAACCTTGAAGTGTTAGCCTTCGAAACTGTCGTCAACATCCAGTGTAGCACACATGCCTCCCCGTCGTGCTCACCACCTGCCGCAGCTTCCATGCCCAGTTCCAGGATGCTTGCGCTGGTTTCGAAATCAGTCAGGTCTTACACAACACATGTGCTCGCTTCACCCAACTTTACCTGTTTCAGGACCATCCCCTCAGGATCATCTCCGGCCATCTCGTTCACCCTCCCGCCCTCGAGATTTCTCACTGGCCCATCCGGATTTTTCACCTCACCCCGGCCATCATCTCCCATACTCCCTGATCCAATTCAAGAGGATTCAAACAATGATGCAGAATTCACTGATGTGAGCGAGTGTTGCTATCGCACATACCACTCAATGTTAAATGGTAAGTTTCTTTCAAGTTTGAGTACTCCGTTTTTGACTCAGGTATACACTTAGGATAACCATGCACGGCTGATGGGACATTTCTGCCGTATGGCACCCCTCCGACTCCTGTGCCATTGAAGGATCCTGATGATTGGAGCCCATATCGCAATAGGATCGAATTTGAGGCAGCAGAGTTCGCTTTCAAACAATGTCATATGTCGGCGAGAAATTTGGATTTCTTGTGTGACCTAATGGCCGCGACTCTCACGAAACACCACGACACCCCTCCATTTGCTGACCACAAAGATCTGCACAACGTCATAGATGCAACGCAGCTTGGTGACGTCCCTTGGCAGTGCTTCTCTGTTCAATACTCAGGAGAATGACCTGAGGTTGTCCCTCCATGGATGGACGATGAATTCGAGGTCTGGTATAGGGACCCCCGTGCAATGGCGCACAACATCATCGCTAACCCTAGCTACAAGGACGAAATTGACTATGCTCCATTTTGTGAATACGATGCATCAGACAACACACGCCAATGGAAAGATTTCATGTCCAGAGACTGGGCATGGCAACAAGCAGTATGTCTTGCATCTGTTTCTGGTATCGCTTGTAATATAGCTAATATTTCATTAAGGACACCATATCGCAAGATCCAGAAACACAAGGATCCACGTTGGTCCCAATCATTCTCAGTAGTGACAAAACTACTGTCTCTGTGGGCACTGGTAACAATGAATATTATCCCCTCTACGCTTCGATCGGTAACGTACACAACAACATGCGACGCGCACACCGTGATGCTCTTGTCATCATTGGTTTCCTCGCCATACCCAAAAGTACATATATTCATATTTTTATTTTTATTTTGTGTCATCTGATCTGTGTTACAGCTGACAGGAGTCATTCTAAAGATGACTCATTTCAGATATTTCGCCACCAGCTATTCCACAGTTCGCTATCTGCAATTCTCTCCAGCCTCAAACCTTTTATGACCACTCATGAGGTCGTGCGCTGTGGAGATGGTCATTTCTGATGCATTATATATAGTCTAGGACCCTACATAGCGGATTACGAGGAACAACTTGTGCTATCCTGTGTTGTCAAACATTGGTGCCTGAAGTGAGTATTGGCACTTGCAGTCAGTAACCATTCATGCTAACAACTCGTATAGATGCATTGCAGTTCACACAAACCTTGATGGTGGTGGCATCTACCACAGCCACGAGCATATCGATTTCTTGATCAATGAGCTACACGCGGATATATTGTGGGATGAATTTGGTCTCATTGGTGATCTTGTTGTGAGTGGAACAAGCTGCTCTTTAATACCAGACTAATCTATTTTGTGTAGCCATTCACTAATGACTTCCCCCGAGCTGACATTCATGAGTTGCTGTCGTTTGACCTTCTCCACCAGCTAATTAAAGGGGCTTTCAAAGACCATCTCGTTGATTGGGTAGCAAAGTACCTCAAGGCCGTGCATGGGACCAAATGGTCAGAGGAGATCATGAGCGATATAGATCGCAGGTATGTCAACTTACCCATTTACTCTACAATTTTATCTAACAATAAGTCAGAATTTCTGGTGTAGCATCATTCTCTGGTCTACGACGATTTCCTCAAGGCCGCGATTTCAACAGTGGATGGGCGATGATTCCAAAGCGCTCATGAAGGTATTTCTTCTGGCTATCGAAGGTCACGTGCCTCAAGACATGGTGCGCGCATTTCACGCATTATTAGAATTCTGCTACCTCATCTGGTGCAATGTCATCACCGAAGATACCATGATTCAGATTCAAGACGCACTCTATCATTTTCACCATTATCGCAAGATATTCGATACCGTCGTTCCCACCTTCTCACTCCCCCCTCAGCACTCGATGACTCATTATGTGGACATGATCAGATTATTTGGCACCCCTAACGGACTGTGCTCATCAATCACAGAATTAAAGCACATCAAGGCGGTAAAGGAGCCTTGGCGGTGGTCAAATAGGCACAATGCTCTTGGTCAGATGCTTGTGACCAATCAGCGCCTTGATAAACTCGCAGCATCACGCGTGGATTTTGATGTGTGAGGGATGCTCACTGGCACTATTTTGTCAAGTGCTTTAGCTGCTCTTGGTAAGTCTGTTTAAGGTTTCTTTCTCGAATTTATTGCATGCTTAACAGTAATGTACAATGACAGATGAAAACAAACATGCTGCCCCTGGTATTGCACCACAACCCGATGCCCCAGACATTGAACTGCAACCAGATGCCCCCGTCATTAAACCGCAACCAGATGTTGATGATGGTGAAATAGTTGACGGTCCAACGGTGCTTGCTTATGTAGCACTCGCCAAAACCCCTTGTAAGTAATCTCATGCAATGTCCAATCTCAACGCTCACCACTGTATCACACAGAACAAAAACAGGCACAGACAGTAGCAGCATTGGCACATGAAGTCGCTGTTCCAGATCTACGACGCCTCATTCAGTACTTTCTGTTCTCTCAGCTCAACCCGGATGATGCCCACAACCCAGAAGATATCCCAGCTGCTGGCTTGCCTCAACATAAAGGCAAGCTTTAGGTCTTCAACTCTGCTGCCACAACATTTTATGCTCCCAGTGATCTGAGTGGCATTGGGGGCATGCAACACGAACATATCCGTGCATGTCCACTCTGGTGGAACGAGTACCCGCGCAATGATTGCATGTTCATTAACACTGATTCAGATGCTGAAGGGATGCGAGGACTCAAAGTTGCGAGAGTCATATGCTTCTTTTCTTTCAAGCACGACTGGGAAGTATATCCATGCACTCTCATACAATGGTTTGAGAAGATTGGTGACTGTCCTGATGAAAATACTGGCATGTGGATGGTCGCTCCAAGTTTTCATGAGGACGGCTCAAGGGACCTTGCTGTCATTCATATCTAGACGGTCTTCCGTGCAGCCCACTTGATACCTATCTACGGTTCTGAGTACATTCCTCCCTCCCTCAAGTTTTATCAGTCTCTTGATACTTTCAGCTCATTCTACGTCAACAAATACGCTGATCACCATGTGTTCGAGATAGCGTCCTGACTGGATGACATAGGTGGGTCCTCAATTCAATTTTCGGTCCGTTGCTAATAGTCAGGTCCTAGGACATTGCATGACAACGATATCCAGTCACCATTCCAGAAGGTCTCCCACTGGCTGTAACTCTCGCTCTGGCATTCGCCACCAAGAGGATGACGAAAGAAAACCTCCTGGTGCGCATCTTGGGCTCCTGTGAGACGATGGCCAACTCTTCTGTCATCTGCACCGACAAGACCGGTACTCTCACCCGCAACGTCATGTCTGTGGTCGCAGGCTCCATCAGCATCCATGCCAAATTCATGCGCAAACTCAAAGACAACCAAGCCCGCACCAACACGAATAGAAGCTGAAGCCCACACAGGAGCTCTGGTTCGAATACCCCGCGTGACAATTTCAGCATGGATCAATCAATGCTCAACACCGTTCTGAGCTGGCCACTTCTTTCGCTGTTTAATGCGGCCATCGCTGTTAACTCTACTGCATATGAGGACAAGGAGAAGGAGACTGGGAAGCGTGTGTTTGTGGGAAGCAAGACAAAGACGGCACTTTTGAACTTTGCGAAAGAACTTGGGTGCGTTTCTACGTCAAGGGTGCTAGCGAGATTCTGACAAAGTTGTGCAGCAGCCACATTGTCATAGAACAGCATGGGAGCTCTCGCCCGAGTACCGAGTCCGACGATGTCGAGGTGGCAGATATTGATGGTGTCTCGGAAGAGAACATGACAAGGACTATCATTTTCTACACGAATCAGACTCTGCGGACTATCGCCCTGTGCTATAGGGATTTTCCGTCTTGGCCACCACCAGGGATGCAAGGCACTGCGATTGACGATGTAGGTATATTTTCAGTGATATTTCGACATACTCATTTAGTTCTAGGTGCCCTATGACGTCATCGCTCAGAACTTAACATTGATCGGAATCGACAAGCAGATCTTGATCCAGTCTGTCTACCAGATCACCGTCATCCTATTATTCCACTTCCTTGGCATCACAATTTTGGGCTATGCAGACACGTCAGGGAATGCCACCATTGTCCAGACTCTCGTCTTCAATGTGTTTGTCTTCGCTCAGATATTCAACTCAGTGAACTCACGAAGGCTGGACCGGAAGCTCAACATTTTTGAAGGCATGCTTAACAATTGGTACTTCATGGCCATTACTCTCATCAGTGAGTCGAGTCATGTTATACCTGGACTACCCTCACAGCTGGTTTGCAGAGATTGCTGTTCAAGTGGTCATCGTGTTCATCGGTGGCACCACATTCCAGGTGACACGTATTGCTGGTCGTGAATGGGGCATCTCACTTGCCCTTGGCTTCGTATCCATCCCCTTGGGCACGCTCATCCGCCTACTGCCCAATGGACCCTTTGAACGCCTCTTCATCATGATGCGCTTACTCCCCAAACACGAAGGCGGTCTTCTCAAAGTTCGCCCAGATGTTGAATGGAACTCTGAGATTGAACTTGTGCATGACAATCTTGCCACATTCGCTAACCTGCGGGGCGGGCGACTTTGCTCGTCTTCATTTGTTGTGAAGAGCTGTCAGGCTAGACTGCATGAAGATAAATGTGTTCCTCTGTATGTGTTAATGTTTGGTTTGTGAGATGGTATCCTTAATTTTTTCTAGCCCCTTGTTGATGACTATGGTACCTACGCTTATTGCATCTTCCATTGGAGCTGGCTGGGCACCACAATCACATGGTACACTGTCTGACCCTGCTCGTTATGATCCCCAAAGTCCTCTGCTGCTTTCTGGGAAGGCAGGCTCCAAATTCATCCCGATACCAAGCCAGATGATGCACTGTATCGCACAAAATGGGGTGATGTCATCATGTGCGTTGTCTGTTGCGGTCGAGTTGTTCTCTATGCTGACGTGTAGGTTTGCAGCTTTGATAGTGACTGGTGAATAAGCTTCTGGTTATCGTTTGGAAAGATGTACTGATGATAATGTCTCAGGAATCCCCATGCTGATCTTTAGGCTCAAGATTGTGCTCACCGTATCAGCCAGACAAAGGCTGTCCGAATCCTCCATTTCATCACAGAGAAGAGTGTCGAAGAAGCTATGTATGCTCGTGCGCGGTACAAGCTCGATATTGACGACAAGGTCATCCAAGCCGGTCGTTTCAACAACAAATCAACGCAGGAAGAGCAGGAAGAATTCCTGGTAGGTGTTGCAGCAGCTCTCTCGCATAACAAATAGCTAAATGAGTGGTATGCAGTGGTCTGAAGAGCTGCCTGAATGCTATCAGACGGATGAACCGTTTGAGCCGAAGGAGATTAATGATGCTTTCCAGGGCCGTGGTCAGCGTCGTCATAATGTCGTCAATTATAACAACGGTCTTAGCGATGAGCAGTGGGCGATGGTACGTCCAGTAGGATGTCGCGATGCATGCATGCTGATTGGGATGTTAGGCTGTGTAGGACAGTGAAGATTTGCAGGAACTCGTCAATCATGCCCGTGGCAAGAAAGAACGACGCGCTGCCAACAAGCTTCTCAAGGAAACCGATACACCTGGTCATAGTACTCCAGCGTCAGACTTGGGTGTCGAGGTCGAGATTTCACACTGGGGTATGCGAAGGTGCAGTGTTTATTCTACATACTATACATTGATACAATGCTGACGGTGAATATTTGCGGGTCAATGTCGCGAAAACGACACTATCAGGACCAGGTAAGTCTTCATTGATTAACAGACATCCTAGGACTCACTTTAGGCTGGAATCACAAGCGACTCGTTCCATCTCGATTCCTGTCGCCGATCCACCCCTTCACCCTTTCCCAAAGGCCCTTTGGCACCTCCACATTCGCCTCTGCCTCCTCTGCTTCCGCCTCAGCCCGAAGTGCCTCATTTGCCCTGATCACAACATCGATCCATTGGCGCTTCCTCCCTCGCACACTATCACTGGCAAAAGACTTTGAAGCTGCCATTTACTTAATATGATCTCGTCAATACGTCATACTTATGAGTACACTTGCACCACTTACTGTAGTTTTGTGCCTTGAAATAAATGTGTGTCCTTGTGATGCTTATCTGCGCATTATCACGCTTGTTTGTCACACGCTTTCTTTCAACTAACACGCTCAATCAAATAAATGTAAATAAGTGGTAAATAAGATTTATTGACCGGCGGCAAGTCTCGAAAAAGGAAGTCAAGAAATGTGGGAATTTACTGATGATGCTCAGACCACGCCAGCATTCGCTGGCGTGGCTCAAATGCACACGGAAGACACCAGGATGAAGAGAGAAGGACAAGAGGAGGAATGAGAGGAGGAAGGAAGGATCTTGTCAGTAAGTCACCGTCCTGACTCTGCCCCCATTTTCTGCAACAAGGACGCGACACCCGACATGTCACACTCTCGCGCCACCACACCACCATCTCCCATTTCGACACGCTCACCTTCGACTTCAATCGTACGTGCAAACGCCCAGCGCGTGCCAGCAAATTTGCCCGTGCCTCCACTCCTTCCTGTGCCAACCACATATGTTCGAGTCACATCAGCATTTGCTGACGTGTGCTGGACATATGTGCTAAGCACTGGCAGTGATACCTATGGTACCCGCAGGTAAACCCTGCACAGGTGCAGGTACGGGTCTGAGCTTGTTGTACCCGCCAAAAACCCGTACCCATCAGAGCGGGTACGGGTTTTTGCCGGGTGCGGGTATGGCCTCCAATACCCGGGGGTTTACCTGTGCAGTTCCCTAATTGCGGATTATTTGAGTTGTTCTGAAAAACAGGGTGGTTGATGATGATGTTGACGAGATGCGCAAAGACTGGGGGATCCACGTGAAGTTTACGACGAAATTTCTCAGGGTGGTCCAATGCCCACTCCTCAAGAAGATGCAGCTCTGGTGCACGGCTCAACTTAGGATGTGCAAATAGAACACGACTCCTCTCAACTTCATCCTGCAAGGCTTCAATTGTGTCAGAAAATTCGGTGAATGCACATGAACTTGTTAGTATTTCAGTTGCTGACGACATCGACATGGAGAAGAGCGAGTTGAGTGAGGAATCAGATGACATGGATGAGAGGGATGATATGGACTTGACCATCGAGTCTCCAGATGCAGACGAAGATGAAGAACTATCTGAGTCATCGTCCCATTCATCAAGTCCTTTGATGGCAACCTTTGCAAGTTCAAGGTACCACACAAACTGTAGTTACATAGCACTGCCAGGATATCTGCACGGGCTGATGTGCGAGGCATAGTTCATTGTTATCGATCAGGAGATCAATGATATGTTATCATTCACCTAATATTATTTCTGGCGGAGCTTAAAATGTCATAGCTGTCTTGTGTGCCGTCTTTGTTCTTTGCTTTTGACATGTCAGCTTTGAGGCCCATTAATGATGTGAAAGGACGGTGTAGGCGTACCAATCAGGTTTGGCTTCAACAGAAGCTCGATTGCAGATGACCCAAGATATTTAGTTCTCTCAAGAACAAGTCACACAGGTGTATTCCAGATACCGTGGCACGCAAACGAAAATGGTTAAACGAAAATGGTAAAATCTAGGGTATTGGTATGAAAGTAGCTGGTAAGAAAAGGATCGTAGATTGTCGCAAATGGCCAAGATCGAGGCGCTCATGGCTCGGGATCAAAAACTGCATGTAATTCAAAATGTATGAACTTCATAGCTACATGAAAAATTAACCCAGAGTACTTCGTAATTGGAGGTTTTCCGCTAGCAAACGGTCAATTAACGCCTGACGGCTGTCAAGCTCTGCCTGATGACTGTCAAGCTGCACCTGGTGGCTGTCAAGTTCCGCCTGGCGCTGAGCAAGACCATGAGCTACACCATCCATCCATATCTGCAAGGATCGCAATGTGAACATGATGCCTCTAGTCCATGAAAGACTAACCTGTTGTGTTCTGGCTTGCTCGGCTTGCCTCTTCAGCTCTGCCTCATTTTCGAGGCGCCTCTGCTCGTTAGCATACTCCTCGCACACGACTTTAACGCTGTCTATCTTATCCACTTCAAAACCATAACAGCGAGAGCGGATTCCTTGCCAGGTTGACTCGAGATAGCCTGGGAAGAGGTGTTTTATGGCCTCCCAGATAGTACTGGCGAACCAGTAACATTGAAATTGATAGAGGTGGTAGTTGGGAGCATGCGTGCTTGTAACAGATAAGAGAACCGATATCTGGGCTGCAGAGGGAGGTGTGGATGCGGGAGAGAATGTGAGGGTACAAAGATGTTTGTATGGGCCGTATCTTGATTCTAGGTACTGATGAGTGCTAGTACCTGTGTTTGGGGTAGTGGAAACGGAGTCAAGGGCAGGAGTTTGTTTGACTGAAGGGGAAGCGATGCCCGACGAATGAGTAATAGGTGTGGAGGAGCCACTGTCGTTCGGAGTTGACTTTGGAGCACGGTCTACGACCACACGGGCGGTCGCAGGCACTGAAGGATCCCAGTGACGAAAATACAATACAAGAAATTCATGCTTCTTGCGTTTGGAAGCTTTGCAAAACCAGACTTTTTCAAGGACACACTGCGAGGAAAGATTGCTATCCAAGAGCATTCTTCGCCATGCCGCGACGTCAAGTCGAGTCTCGCCGAGTGTAAATAATCCCGGGACATCAGTAGGAAATTCCATGAAGCGAGAGAAAATTGTAGCAAGGAGTCTGCGAAAACTGAATTGGTGCTTTGAGAGCATCGCAAGTTGAAAAGGGTTGATGAGGGTTTGAACATGGACATGAGGCTCAGAAGACAGAGATTTTGCAGAACGTGTTAAGACATGATTATCGCTGGGGCCAAATTATTTACAGGCAATTGTGTGGAGTGTGCATGAGGCAGATAAAGCTTAAGCTTTACGGCGCAGCCAGGAGAGTAAATTGTAGGGCGTGCGTAAGCTGGGCGGCGGAGAATGAAAGATGATTGGGAGATGGGTATAAATTTTTTGCATCAGGCATATGTGGGACACTGAGGACTATGAGGACTATCGCAACTGGGAGGAGGACTTTGACGACTTTGAGGATGTGTTTGTTCGCCGACAGACTTAAGAGACATTAGGTAATATTGGGAATATACTCCACAGCAACAGGGTGACTCCGACTCAAGTACACCGCTCATCGTCTGGCCGAACGGGTTGGGATGGCATCAGATTTCAACCAACTTGTCTTCAAGAGCTCGTCCCACAATTGAGTCTATGAGACGAGCAAGATCAACGAGGGCGCGTGGTGGGTATTGGTCTGCCAGAAGCGATCAGTGTAGTACGAGCCGCGTCACGGTCAGTGAAGTGTCCTCCAATGGGTCACCTTAAGTCTCAGTAAGCGAAGCTAGTCAGAAGTGACACCAGGTCAGAGAATGAAACAACTGTTCTTCATTAGCAGTATGCAAATAGCATAAGTGGAGAAATTTGGATTTCTAGATTGTAAAGAATTAAGCGCTGCGAAGAGATCGCATCATGGTATATCATTTAGCCCCAAAAAATTACCTTGCCTAATCATTTCAGAGCGTTGTTAAGTTTGCTTGTCCGTATACCCTACGACCCCAGTAACGACGCAAGGGCCACAGTTGATTACGCTTCCGCAAGTTCTATCTGCCAAATCGATCAGGATCGTGCCTATGTATATAGTATGCAGGACATAAAGGCTGGTCGTTATCCTATAGTGTTCCCACATCCTCAGAGATATCATTCGAGATCCACCTCAAAAGATTCCATATCGCCTCACACAAAATGCGTTCCTCCTTCCTCACCGTCGTGGTTATGTTGACAGCATATCTGTTCTGTTGCATTGTGCGGCACTGACTCAGTGCCGCAAAATGCAACAGAACAGTGCAAGACAACTTATGACTGCTGCGTAGGCACTGTTTGTCCTAAGGTAAGCCAAGGAGCAGATCGCTGTACAGCCAGGATTCAACCACATGACTCACCTGCTCGTCTTAGGGCAAAGGAGACCATAAGATCTGTCAGCCGGGAAGCAAGTGAGCCGGCAGCCCGAGCGGTACATCGCAACAGCATGTCATGTTTCCATTTTCGTTTTGGTATCATGGTTGATGGTGTGATACCTAGTTCGAAGTCAATCAGTAAAGTTGTTCATGGACAAATTTTCGTGCTGTGCTTTGGTATCATGGTTGATCGTACAATACCGTGACCTAATTCGGACTCCGGAGTCAATCAGTACAGTTATTTGTGGACAATTTTTCGTGTAGTGCGGGTGCTTGCACTCATCTGAACGTCATAGACAGTGCCTACGGTAGGCTGGCTTGTCGTCCACTAAGCTGAAAGACAATTTTGATACCATCTATCTCCAAAGCAAGTATTCCTTTTTGCGTCTCCGTACAGTGGTAGTACATGTTGCAACAAGCGAGTCATTGCGTGTGTTAGCTTGTTTCGTGAGTTGATCTTGCGCATCTATTGCGCCTGATATCATGATTGAGATTATGCCTTGATGACGACGCCCCTCTATTGAGTCAGTGATGGATATCTTCACTGTTCAGTTCAGGTTCAGTTACATACTACTACGATGAATTAATGACCTCTAAACTCATCCGAGTCAGACAAGGTCAGGGTTTGCTAGATTCGAGGTACTGAGCTTCAAGTCTGTTGGTTGACTCGGATGTACAACATCGACACCGTTTGGACACTGTATTCCTTTCTTCCTTTTTCGTCACGGACTCCGTACCGTACCTCATCGTTTTGCATTGTTTATACCTCAGCGACTCTTTCCACAACGCTGAGACGTGTATCTTAGTCTCTACTTTCTACAAAATCAATAAGGTCGCAGGTAGAACATATCTCTGTCGACAGTTTTGAGAGCGGTCGCGCGAGATTGGTCGTGCTGCAAGAGGTTGATGGTACCACCAGATCAGTGTTGAGCCTTCTGGCGATGGGGAGGCTAATGGGGGAGTCACGAATCTCAACAGGCGATGCCGTGATGGACAAGGCTAGGAGGAGAATCGTCAGCAGGGATGCAGCTGGGAACATGATGAAAGGTAATGATCATACTACATTTCAAAGCCCATTATATATATCATGATGCTAGCAAACGTTAAAACACTGTAAGCACGTGGTTAGTCTCATCCTCAGAGGACTGAACCGTATGGAACGCACCCCCTCAGGTGAAGAAAGAGAAAACAGTAATGACTAAATAATCGACTCGTTGTGCGCACATCGGAGCGACAGTGCAGGACAGGTAAACTGTTTTTGGCCGTGAGGAACAGGAACGGCATCCATGAGGATGCATTGTTCCACCAGTTTATTCATGGATCAATAGTTAGGGAGTGCTTACCATACATGGTGAAACTCGCGAATGACTCGTACAAGGGACTCCCCCACTCGGACTCAAGGATGCGCTGTTCTACCAGTTCATATAGTTAGGAAGAATTTACCTCATGCGATAAAGCTGCGCGCATGACGAGTCTACCTTGCGACAGCACATCAAGGGACTGGTGAGCCGCAGATGATTCAAGTTGTACCAAAAGCCCCAAGCTATTGAACTCGGCCAACTTAACTTGTGGGCCCAGACAAGGTGTCGTCTTATCCGAACTGTAGGCATTCGCATCATACTAGTTTATTCGGTTGACTCTATTTGCAGAGTTATGCCTATTCACTACATCGAAAAATGTGTAGAATAAGATCTAGGGGCCTGCGTGAGCTTAAGCGACAGCCAACACTCACGAGGCTCGATATCACACACCTGTGTTTGCTATGAACCTCTCGAGCACACATGGTCCCCAAGGGAATAACGCTCCCTCACCAAGTCCGAACTGTCGAGGCAATCCAAACTCCGACTCAACTTTGCTTAGATTCGGACTTAGTGGTCTAGGTCATTATGCATGCCCTAACATTACTGGTACTACTTTGATATCTCATTCGTTACTTGTCTGCGATTTGGCTAGGCCAGTGACCCTGCCAGTGATCGACAACGAAGTGACGTCATGTTGGTTTATACTCGTCCGGCCTCCTACTAATATCAACTTGTTGAATTGTTGCTCATTTCGACAGGCTCTCGAACTCCAGCTTAGTGGACCACGAGCAAGACTAGGCATGACTTGAGCAGGACGAGAATATGTCCAAAACCAACTATACTAATTAGCTCCATCGCCGCATCATGATCTACCCATTGTCATGACGTGCCGTTCAGGCTGCCGGATCAATCTTGAACCAGCTCCGACTGGCAGGTGAAACCTGCGACACTCTACTAACATTGGCGAGCTCACTACAGCCAAGACCATGCGAGCCTGCGTTTGCTTATCTTACATTCCACTTCAGTGTTCAAGAGTGTCATGTTAGTGTCGATCGCAAACCTAATCCTCGGCCCAACCCTTTCGCCGAACGAACTAACTAATACATCGAGAAGTTACCGGAATTAGCTCATGTCGCTGAAGATAATGGATCATTAGATGCATATAAATGGGTACCCTTCATCTCAGCTTGAGTCGACTGCAATCTAGAACTCGTGCGTGACTCGCGCTCTCCTCCCCTCAGTCTTTCATCGTTTTGTTTTCGTCTCTCATTGTTTATCCAGCGCGCTCGTGTACTAAATATTCTCCTCCTTTCATCGTCCAGCGTGCGTTTCTCTAGATCTCTTCAAAATTGTTTCGTTTATCATTCTGTCGATAGCATCTTCACCTTGTCTTGCTCCTCGTCCGCCGTGTCCGACCGCTACCTCGTATAGAGTACCGACTACATTTCGGCCTGGTCATGACTCACTTGTATCATCCCAGGCCCCTGTTGTATACTGTTTCGCTTCTCATCTTACTGTCGCGAGTTTCTTACACAGTTACACTCTTCCACTCGGTGATATATTTTTTCCAGACAATGCCGCTTACTGCTTACTGTTTTCTCAGTCTTGCGATATGCGCTTCCGTACCTTCCCTCTGTTAATTCATGAGGTTGACCTACTACTAGCTCTGCCCTCTGTGTCAAAGGGTGCTCCAATGAAAAGAATCGTTGTCAGCAGGTTTTAAGCCCCGTCAATCCAAGAGAAACTTTGCTGTGTACATCACTTTCGCCATGAATGCACATCCGACAAACATCTGTACGTGAGTAAATGTCCAGGTGTTATAAAAGGTAAAAAATTAGCTGTTGGTAGGTTTCAAGCCGCAATCCAAGAGAGCGGATGTCTCATCTGTTCTGGTACTGTACGTTGGTCATGTTGACTATTGAAAACATATGTTGGAGGATCCGAGTCCGTGTATGAGTGAATGCTACTAAATCGAATCAATTTCAAAATTTCTCCGATGAGTCCTACTGAACATGATCTCGTTCGGATGGTAAATAAACTTCGTTACATAAATCATATCCATATCCATAGGTATCATATACGAGTAGATAAACTAGCGCCAAACTTCTCTTCACAAAACAAACTTTGGTGTCCATAAAATCACTACTCTCCACTCCGCTCATCCCAATCAGATCCAGTCTCCGAAACGATGTCCATCGGGTCATGCGCGTCAACGATACGGCGGTAACGGCCACCTGCGCGTACATCCAAGGGACGGCCTTGGGCCAATGCCTCATTGATGTAGAATTGAAGTGCCTTTTTGGGACACCCGAGCTGCGGCTCGTCCATGTCAAAATGCATGGGATGCATATGTTCTAGGTAGGGTTCGCTGCAAACAGGCGACAAGGGATGATCATTGATCATTCTACGGAGTACAGTCAGGTCCTGCTCCTGCAAAATCTCATCGTACTTGGGATGGGCTGGCGCCAGAGTCTGGACGGCGACGTGGGACGCAACTTCACTAATGTTTACGAGTGATTTGTATGCGGAGCGCGAGAGTACTCGATGAAGGTAGCGGTGGTTGGGAAGAGGGGGAGCAGGAGCGGATGGAGGAGGGATGTTTAAGCGACCAGCATTGGACTTGGTGCGAATACGTTCTGCCAGTCTGACAATGAAAGTATGGTCGTTAGGTATCTGCAGTACATCTGCTGAAGCTTGATTAACATACCTCTGCTTTACAGGCACTTGAGGCCTGAAGCTCTTTGAGTTTAAAGAAAGCGCTCTGAAACCACGTCGAGGGACGCGCTCAGTTGGTTCAGGGGAATAGGAAGACTTGTCCAGCAAGTCTGTGCATGAGTCGACGTTTGCGTCAGTCGGCCCATGGTAGTGTGTGTGTTGTGAGTATATCATTGATTTGGAGTGCTTCAGCGACGCCTTCCGGTCATCGTTGGACCTGAGGTGTATTAATTAGTATGATGACGACGAGTAGAGCACGAGAACGGTAGACTCACTTTTGGAAAATGTTCCTGAACAAATTCATAGTTGATATAGAGAAGATGCAACGTTGCAAATACTGTAAGGTGGTGGTGGTGGTGGTGTGTCTGGTGGTGAAGCTTATCTGCATGTCAGAATTTAAATGCTGGGCTACTGTGGACGTACCATAACATCCACAATCACGTCCACAACCACAAAGTAATTGCCCATATCCGGAGGCAATACAAGTGTAAATGCTCTTGCGAATACTCCGATTGCTCACCTAGGATCAAATCAATGCCACCAATGTCGCTGCATTTGCATCGCAAAGGTATAATATACAATTACCAACCAATTATAGAGTACAGCTGATACATGCGGGGCCAAATGAATGCATCACGCGTCTTCCTCGTTAACCTCTCGACCTCATAGCTTGAACACGCGATAAAAATGACCTGCGACGACCATCAGCACGATGAATTTGATGCATGTAATACGAAGATGGGGCATGGTATGTACAGGGACGCTGAACAAAACAGTTAGCATCCTCCTTCGACCGTCTCACTTAATAAGACTACTCAGCGTACCTTTAAAGCGCAGATCTGACCGACTGTATTTTATTAAACCAAGCTGCCCAACACCAATCAAGACGCCGCATCGCAAGCAATCTAAAGGTGATATAAAAAGTCAAGCAGGTATTGCTATCAATTCTATCAGAATTACGCACATGGTGACTATGACTCGGAGAGCCTCTGGTAGATCATCGACAATGAGCGCGATGGCAATTTTTCACTACGGGATGAAATCGTAAGCTCTACATGTTGCCGCCTGTAGCAACGCGCGTATGCAGTTACTTGAAGGTTCATGGAAATCTACTCAATTGGCATTATGTTAGCAATACACCATGCACGGGCTAGTTCGGAAAATGTTTCACCATGAAGTATGTTTGGCTTTGTTAGGGACGGAAGCTCGAGCATCCTCATTAGGGATTGCCATGTCGATCACTCAAATTCAGTATGTAGTTAACAGAGTGATATCGATGAGTAGATGTTGAATACAAAGTACCAGCGATGCTAAAATCAAGGGTTGAGACTCTATTTGCTTATTCACTGGATCGTAAAACGTGTATATTAATAAGATCTAGGAGCCTGCGTGAGCTTAGGCCGAACACTCGCGAGGCTCGATATGACATACCTATGTTGCTATCAACCTCGAGCACAGATGCTCTGAGGAGGGGAATATCGCAGAATACAACATATTTGATTGTGAATAAAAACTACAGGAAAAATAATGGATGAAAAGAAAAAGAACAGATACAAAATTGTCCATAGTTAATGTGCGTCCAGAGCAATACACTTTCAAGTTTAAACATAGACAATGCTCATCTTCATCATCGATGTTCAAGGTCACTAACATACCTCCCCTGTCCATATCCCCCACTCTGTTGGGCCTGCGCGCCCCCCGGCTCGTCTCTTCCGGTGTATGCTGATACGTAATCGAATTCGTCTTCATCGAGTTGGACTGGGTCTGGATTGACTACAGACAGCCTTCGCATTGCCCCTGACTTCCGTATCGAAGATGCAGGCGACGCAGAAGGGCGGAGGGATAGAGGCGAGGTATCTGCCGGCCCACCGTACCCTGCAGGACTCAACGACGACCCAGACTCGCTTCCACTACGACCAGGTCTGCGGAACGCGGCAGCGGAGATCATTCGCGGGGCACCACCGGGAGCACCCAAGGTCAGCGAAGACGTGGACTTCGTCATGAGAGGAGACGAGAACGGCGGCGGGCGGGAATATTCCGTTGGTAACCTGTAGGAGGCAGAAGCAGGTGATTGCACTGAGGACAGAGAGGATGGCGGGAGTCGAGGCGATATGGGACGAGGTGAACTACTCTTCGAAGTAGCTATGATCGGTAGAGGACGTGATTCGCCTGGGTCAACACCAATATGAGGATGAGGCGAAACGGAACGGTGAGCGAACGGTGCATGAGGTGGTGCAAGGGGTGATGGTGGTCGAGAGGTCTGATTGGGTTGAGGAGCATGAAATTGCAACTGTTGCTGTTGGTGTGGCTGAGGCGGGTAAGTCTGCCCTGACATGTAAGAACCTTGCGGTGGGGCTCGGGATTGAGTTGGATGAGTGGAGTATGTCACTGGTGCAGGTGTGCTGAATGCTAGCGCATCTAGTTCACGAGAGACCTCGCGTGCAGCTGCTGCATTGCGTGCGTTCTCGTCATCTTCGTCGCTATCTTCTGAACGACCTTTTGCCTGAGTCTGCAGAGGGGAAGTAGACTGCAGTGAAAGCGGAGACACAACCCTGGTATGTTCTGGTGGAGTTGGTGCCTCAGTATCCACGGGGGGCGGAGGCACACGCGGGATACGTCTCTGACTCTCCATCGTCTCGGGCGGCGAAGGTCTGCTATGTTCTGCCTCTGTTTCATCTTCCTCCGTCCCAAGCCCCACTCTTCGATCCATTTTTTGCAGTACATTTTCATTCGACTGGTAATCTTCGGCCTCCTCATCACGGTCATACGGCATACCAACCACCGACTCCTGTGATGCCCGTCTGTCGCTCCGCCCAGTCATGCTCGTTGATTGTTCATTTCCACTCATGACGCTCATCGCATTATCATTGCTTTCGCTCACTGTACGCCGTTCCTCAATTTCAGGGCCCAAACCTCCGTCCCAAGCCTGAATTGCCGCAGGAGCTGCTCCTGGTGGCAAACTTGGACTTTTACTTCTGCGCGTGTCTCCAAAACCAGTGTATGGAGCACCTGATCCGGGCACGAACGGCTCGTACTTTGGTGCGGGATCATCAAGCGAGGGATGATTTAGGCTGAATGAGTTGGAATCGCTACGAGCGAGGGCGTCGGCAATAGTGCTGGTCAAAGAGTCCGAAGTATCATGCACCGGAAGCCCCGAGGGACCACCAGCCATCGTATCTGCTTGCTGCAAGTAGGAGAGGGAAGGCTTTGAGGGAGTCGGTCCGTCGTGTGACAGGACCCCTAAGCTCGGACCCCTCGCAGGAAAAGAGGCAAAATGACTGGCGTGTGTCGAGGTCAGTGTGGAGATGCCAAGTTCATCTGCAGATGCTGTGCGCTGGTTTGGAGGTGGAGGAGGCTATGAATGTCAAAATAATAAATAAGATAATTTGGTGCAGGTTGATGTCATTAAGTCCCACCAGAGATTCGCTCCCAAAGCTGCCCAAGTGAAGCCCGCTTCCCACCCGTGGAACAGGTAAATATGGAGAACCCGACACCATTGACTGTTGTGCTTGCATCTGTGGCGAAGTCTGAGTCGACGATGTATGCTCATACTCTCCTTGGCTGACGCGGCCAGACGCAACAACCGTAAAGGCTACTTGCGCAATACTACGTTGCGCCTCAGATACAAGGGCGCTGACACGTGGCTGAGCGTTATAATACGCTCGAGGAAGTCCTGGTTGCGTCACATCCTCAAGAATTTCCTACAAATCAAGGTCATGATGAGACCTGCGAGCCTACACCAGGACATACCGCAACGATGGCTTTGCCTATGTCGCCAACAATCTGAAAAAAAAAACTGAGGTGGACTGTGAGCGAAAAAAAGAAACGACTTACCACACCCTTCTCACAGCACTCTGTAAGACCTCCAAACTTGGCCTGCATCCAGCTCTTCGCACATTTTCTCTTGAAATCGCCTAACTCAGCTTCTTCGCGAACAATCTCACCATCCATTGTGCGCATCTCTTCACGCAGTCGATTAAGAGCGTCAGTCTGCGCAGAGAGATTTTTGTGTTCGGGGCTCATCTTATTGAGCTTCTTTTCGGCACCATCTGCAGAGGCTGCAATACGCCGTCGTCGGCGCCGTAGATCATCGAGTGCTTCCTCACGTGTCCGTACAGATTTCATGGTGTCGCGGATTCCATGATGTGTGCTGGCGTACGCACTCAGCGCCGCAGCAAAGTTAACGAGTAGGGTAGTGGATGCACCGAGGATATCCTACAATTTCTTTGTCAGAAGGTGGATAATAAATCATGGCGGGTGCACATAGAGCCATTGGTCTTGGATGAAATACTCCGTCTAGTCATGTAAGGCATATACAGTATTTGGCTCCACATGGCAAGATGAGGAACTCGTCTACGCGTCATTGAGCATCGCAAAACATATGAGGCATCCCATGAAACCTCGCGTGAACGTTATGGAATGAAGTGCAACTGCACCACGTACACCCAGACAAAAGCAGCACTCACAGCGAGGTCATCACCCTCACCAACTCCCCACGCCCTGAGGGACTCAGCAGCCTTGGTTATATCAACACCTAGTCTCTGAATTCTGTATGATAATGCGAAAAGAACATTAACAACGTATTGAAGTGTCTAAAGCACACTCACGAGACTAGAACAACCTTCTCCGCGTTAATGAGATCCTGAAACTGTCTAAGGTCGCTATTACCCGCAAGCGCCGGAATCGTCGAATTATGGGCAATTTTTGCTGCCGCCGTCTTGAACATGGTTCGTCGTAGCAATTAGGTTAGGTAGGTGTTACGAGTAGACCGTGGCGGCCTTGAGGAAGAGAGGGGGGCAATTGTGTGTGAAGTGGTGTATAGGATAGCCACGACTCGCATAGCCACACTTTGCTGCACATATGGAAAGGCTGTACAGTCTCAGGAGTAAACACAACCGCAGCTTGACTGCGCGCAGCCAAAGACACAAATCTCACCAAGCCTATCGACAACTAACTTTTAAAAGATAATCAAGAAAGCTCCATGAATGTTGTACAACGTGAATAAGTTATGTATATGAGAGGGTATCTCGGCATGCATGTCGAGCATCTGAGTCCTTTGATCATGGTTTCACGTCCACGGATTCTGTTCGTCCTCCCCTAGACTCTTGGTTCCATAGGTCCAAGCCCGAGCATGTGGAGGCGGCGTCTGAGCGCGTACTACTTCCTCTGGCTCGTGCCCCTCCGGAACAATAGGCTCCTCTGTCTGTATATCATGTTCCTCATCAACTTCACTTAAGACGACGCGACGGTCATTAGACCACCTGTCATTTTCTTCTAATCCAACCGAGGATTCAACACGGAAATCCCCATTCTGATCCCAGATACGTTTTAAGCCTGGGGTGCGCATAGAAGTATGGACAGCATGCGAGCTTGAGGGCACCGGGAGCGTATCGGTGGACACAACAAGGTCTACAGCGTCTGGCTCCGCGAGTGGAGAACGAGGAGAAGGGGACAGGTGGGAATGCAATCCAGAAGAAAGTAAGCGGGGTGATGGAGTACCAAGGTTCGATCGCGAGTGTGAAGGCGAAGAGTGGAGATATGGAGACGACGCGCGAACGTTAACATTACTTCCAGACAGCAGTCTCGGACGTGATTCATGAGATATCTGTGAGTTATGTCGCGATGATGACCCTGAGGAGCGCAGATGATTGCCTGAACTCGCAGATGAGCTTAACGAGCCAGGGATTGATGGTGATGGAGCTCCATTACTTCTGGCATTTGACCACCTCAACTTCCTCGATGCATTGGATTCTGCCCTCCGTCCGCCTTCCTCAAGATCTTCTGAAGCGAACACTTCGTCCTTACCATCCTCATACTTGTGTATTTGACCAGCCCGAGTACCCGTTGCACCATAGCCTCCACCACTGCTCGCACCAATGACATTTCTGTGAACATTGACGTGAACCCCTTCTCTAACAACTCTCTCTTCCGCAGCCCACATCGCGTAACGCGCTTCTTCGGAGCTAACATCCACAACAGGGTACGCGTAGTCACCGAAGACATAATTCTTCGCATGGTCATAAAGTGAATCATCCGCGGTGGCTAGACCATCATCGAAGTGTAGTGCATATTCATCGTCGTCCTCCACGTCCACGTCGTCGCCGGGAATTCGTATGGTTTGCCGTTGTCTCTGATATTGTATGTCGGGCGCGGGATGAACAATATTCCCTGCGTGTTCCGCGAGTAGTGGAGCAGTAACGTCTCCATTGTTGCCAAACCAATTCCTGTGGTCACCTTCGGCACTTCCGTCACCTAGACCCGTCACCTCCGGAAGCCAATACTTCCGTTTTCCGCCCGCGGAATAGCGCAAGCCGGCACGTATCCTTCGCTCCCTCGCTGCCCCAACGTGCATTCCGCCCTCGCTTGGCTCAAACGCACGATAATTGATGCCTTCTCCACGCAGTGTTGCCTTGGTGTCCTCAGCCAGGTCCTTCAGGCCAAATGCATCCCGAATGGCATACCCTATGCGCATCCGTGCCACATGGACTTTGGCAGATGGTGATGATTTAACGAAGTCTCTATAGGAAAATGCATACATATGTGCGATAGCGAAGAATGGCATCTCAATGCAAATTAAAGTGTCGGTGAGTCCGAGGGAGATGTGTTCACTGTCCGTGTATGGTCCAAGTTTGGATATGACGCCAGCCGCGACGAGAGTTGAGACCGCAATAGATTGCCAGAACGAAAAGAAGAGAATTCCTTTAACACAAAGGAATTTTGGTACAGGGCTGAAAACCGGAACAATGAATATTAGATAGCCAAGCAAACGTCTGCTGACCTACCGAAATGGCTTCAAATCATTGCTTACACACATCCAAAAGACTGCAAGGCAATACAATGCAAGGCAAATGGACACGTTATACACAATTGAAACATACAGATACCCGGACCGGGCCCGGAAATCACCCTCATGATATGTTCCGGTTGCTTTCATGACGAGGCTGGCAATTGCTAATAAAGGTTTGACTTGTACATACTCTGTCAGCGGAAACGTGTCAGCATGACCATTAAAAAGACGACAAGTACTGACGCAGAATGCCTCGTTTGATGAAGAGAAACGTATATGGATCACTAACATCCACTTCGTGTCGCCAAAGACTGACAGGAAATATGGCGGGGATAGGTGGTCGTCCGTGGAGTCGAATGAGAAGTGAACGCTCGCCGCCCAAATAATCAAGGAGAAGAACGAAAAAGCAATAAATGACGAAAGCCTGAATTGAACGCACAAAGTTCACAAGAACGATACTCGTGGATAGGTAGTACATACCTCGTATACATCTCGTATCACATCGATGAAGAACGCTGCGTCTAGCGAGAAAAGCGAAATTAGGGATGACAAGGCGTAGATTGGAACCATGAGCATAATTCGGATGACCATCCTGCAAACATCGTGGGTCAGCAAATAATCGTTAGGAATTAAGCCCTTATGAGTGAAATTACCTTTGCAGGAGGGGCTTCCTATAATTTCTTAGCTGCAGCCATATCGACAGTCCACTGACAGTCACTGCTACTAGGGTCGATACTCCGGCAAGGAGAAGAACAGGAAGTGGCAAACTGGAGCCCGCGCCGCCATGGTTCAAGTCCGGGAGAAGTCCCATATTACTTGCAGCATGCAGCAAACTATTGACAAACGTCGTTGCAGTATCGACCCGCAGTGAGCACTGGAATCCAGGAATTCATTACGTAACGTCATACAAAATCTAAAATATTAAGTAATAATTCTTTTAGGATACATCATGTACATACACTACCCCTCGCGCCACTTTCGAACTTACTATAACTTTCAAGTGCTATAGAAAAATCGCCAATAGGCAGGGAGTAAGTGCGCCAAGGAAAACCAAAGCTAATAAAAAATTACGAGTTAGCAAGGAGAAAATCATAACTCTTTGAGATCACTGACACTGTACAATCTGCAGGACTGTTTATCAGCACTCGCGGTCCTATAGACCATGAATCTCCCCCCTACAACTGCTCCATACGCTACAAAAGCAACAGAACAGATAAAATCCACATTCCATAGCCTGCTGAGGAAGAAAGACCAAAGGGGGACGCCGATCAACATTGAAATACGCGCAAAGGTAGGGAACAGAGTGACAAGAGTGCGTCTTCCTATAAAGCGATCCCCCTCCTCGTCTTTGAAATCTTGTGCATGAAGCGTCGTTACGAATACTGCACAACTAAAAGCAACTGCTCGCGCGCTGATATTATCGAGGCGCGCACTGGACCCTAGTTATTAAGACATACATCTCAGCCAACGACTTGCTGTAGGTGGAACAGCCCACATACCTGCAATAATCGTTGCACCTGCTTCCAGGCACGTATACCCGACTGCTGTTAATAGATTTTTTGAAATCCCAGCTTTGTGGCCTCCAAACTCGTTATACCAGATACTGAGGGCTTCAAAGCAAGCGCTAGACGCGAGAGTCTGTCTGCCATGCATCGCAGAAAAGATCAGACAGACAGGAACTAGCAGCCAGCGCACGTCCGCCGCATTCTGAGCGGTAATACGACCAGCGGGGAGTGGGCGATCAGGTTTGTTCCTTTTGTCCTCCTCTGGATCCTGGATCTGATTGGATATATCAAATTTTAGGAGGTGGATCCATATCCAAATTATAATTTCCAGAATGCGGGTTGCGTGGGGATGGGGAGTATTCGCTAAGGCAAACAAAGTCTAATGCACAAGGTTATGTCAAAGAACATGCGAGCAATCTGTGGGACACTCACGACAGGCAACAGAGTGGTCAAGAAGTCAGACTTCGTGAACAAAAAAAGTGTCAAGATATGCCCGCTGATACGGCGACCACTATCTATGGCTTGGGACAACATGGCTTGGTTTTTTGGTCATTTGGAACCGCTTAAATAGCCTGATACCGACTTCACCATTTCAAAATGGTTATGCAAACAGGTAGTCCATGGTGTCGCTGTGTCGGTAACTCATGAAGCGAATAGGCGAGCAAGGTACACCGGCCCATGAGCGCTTGAGCTTGGTACTTGATTGGATGATCTCATGAATAGAAGATAAAAGATATGTCATGTGTTCTCCGGCTAATAGAAGACGCACCTGTCCGTTACGAGGGCTGCTCATTGGGAGATCATCGGTCAGATCAGAAGGCGAATAAGACACCGTGTTAATTTTGGCCAAGCAGAGCGTGAGCGCGTCAGAATTGCGCTGAAAATGCCAACGTAAACGCGGAACTGGAACGTTCTGAACGTGTATAATTGCCAACCACCGTATATGGATAGGCGCTCTCTTTCCTCAGACCATTATAATATCTGGGACGAAGGGTACTGTTTCCACCCGCCCACGCGCGTACCTCAGTCCGATCATAGCCTTTGGTTTCGACAGCTTTTTATTTCAATTTCTGTCCTTTGCACAGACATATTCCATGTAGGACAATACATGATCTACGTTGAACAGCCACGAGCCCTGATGCATGATGCGTCGGTGACAGCGATTGGCCGCCCAATTCGAAATCCCTAAAACTGACTAGTGATCATCAAATATTGAGATGCGATTTACTCCAAGGACACACGTCAAATGAGGTTTGCTAAGTTGTACCAACTTGACTTAGAGCGTAGCTAATAAAGGGATGATTCAAACTGGAAACTGTTTCCGCGGAGAGAACAGGAGGCGTACCTCCTCTCTTGCATTACGTCACAGTAGGATAAAAGAATCTCTACAGGAACTGCCTAGACCGTCTAAGACGGGCTGCGAGTCTAGGAACTGCCCTGCATATGTACGAAGGTGGCTGACAAATCTAGCGCGTGCGCGAAACGTGGTAAGAGCTCATAGATGTGGGCTTTGCTGCGATGCTTTCTTGGAATGGGTAAATAAAATCCAAGCATCGCCATTACGGTGCAAGACCGATGTAAGAGGTGTTCGAGACTTTTCCTATTCCAGAAACAATGATATGAAGGCGGCCGCCTCAAACTCGCATAGAGCAACAAATAAAAACGGTATGGTCAGAATTTTTCCTGTTGTAATGAAATTTACCCACACATCATTCCAAGGGAGCGAAATGGACCTTCAGATGACAGTTCAAACGTTGAAGTTACGTCGCACTTTTCACAAATGGACTCGGACGTTGTTGTCCGTACGTGTCGGACTACTACCTGGACATGAAATCGAAACTTTATCAGGAAGTGGTTCACGACCCAAGACTGTGCGAAATACCTTGATCTAGTCTCCTACAAGCCACATCCCGTTCTAAGAACGAAACAACGCTGCAGGCCGAAATGAACGTCGTGCAAATAAGACTTAGCGTGATCATATCGGGAAGTCATGAGGACGACTGGCATGTGAAAGTCAGTACTTACTATGGAAAATCCAAGGTACAGATTCAAGTTGTAATAGAATTCTATGGATTGTATCCAGGACCAGTACTTCTGAGTGTCATCCGCTCGTCTCGCTTAAACGCATCCGTGAGTCGGCTGACGGTCCACAGTCGCTGGCGAGGCCACACCCAAGTCTCTCCGAGTCGTCGTCATATGCAGCACTTCGATCTTTCCCGTTAACATTGCTGGAACGAAAGACAACACAAAAAAGAGAAAAGGGACTACATACTTGAAACTTGGTGTCAGCAAGCCTTTCGACACCGTTTCAGGCCTCATGTTCAAAAAATCGACGAATGCACGACAACCGCAACAACCATCAGTGATGTCTCTTACGCCTACATTTGGCTTCCATGTACTTTTCCTTCGATGTGGCGGCGTTTCGTTTCGTTGATACTCATTCCCGGCGAGTGGGGGCTCCGCCAAGGCAGGGCAGTTGGTCTGGTACTTCCGCACTTGCATGCTCGTTTTTGTTCTTGTTACTCTGCATAGACATCGTGATCATCGGCTAGGCCAATAGTATGGACAACTGGTGACATTTATATCAACATAGGATTAAGTTTTGTACTACTAACCTTACTAGATGACGGCTCACTCGACGGACCTATGTATTCCTTTGGCAGTACTGAGTGAACCGTGCACATCTGAAAACCAAAAATCCACAAACGAGCCTTTGAGGCGCTTTCTGGGAGCCATAAATAGCAACCGTCGGCTCGCGCACCATTTTAGTACTTATTGCATCAAAGTAGACTCGGCTCTTTGCAATCACGAAAAAATGCGTTAAAACATATAATCTCGTTGTAAATATTTCATTGTAAAATTACAGATAGCAGATATGATCTCGAGATTGTACTATTAGATAAATCTGCATAATCTAAAGCCCAATATCTGCCTCTCCACGCCTGATGATCAATTTACACAAAGATTTGTACCTCTCCCTCAGCGCATCATCAAGCCTTGTCCTGTTGATCAACGCTATAATCGAACTGTAAGTGTCGTAGAATTGTTCAGCGGATGCATCGACATTTTCGTATGTGCCCTCACAATATGCCTTGAGGGCGTTGTGAACTGCTGCCTGCGGCTCCTGCAAGGCCGAACACGCAGTCGAGTCTCTCAGTGTCGATGTCGACAATCATGTCGATAAGGTAGTTGGCCTCCAGAAAATGCGTGACTTCAATTCCGTCAACCTGTTGGCGCGATTATTAATTGCACAAATATTGTAGAATGAGATACCTACCATTTCAACTTTGTGCAGGAAGTTCAGTCTGGAGAGATAGCCTTGTACTACGTTAGCCCTTTCTGCAGGTGGGAGGCGCAGATTGAGGGCATTGAGAATGTTGTGGGAGGCATATGTTTTGAAGAGTCTCCGAGTATGTGACATCAACGTCACCATTTCTTCGTGTACCTTCGGTGTCTCAAATTTTTCGTACGGAACTACAAAAAAAAATTATCGATGCGCATCGGTACAATTGCGACTTACCATCGCCGATCAAATCAATCCTTGCGTCCCGCAAGGCATTTGAAATGTGCGCATTTTGTTGTTTGCACGTTGCCGAAACACCCTCCATTTGCAGCATTGTGCGACGGAGGTTCGTCCTTGCCCTAGTCTTGATTGTCTTGATTTCCTTTTTTTTGAGCTTGACTAGGGCTGTAATGGCTGGGGGAGTGGCTGCAGGAGTGATGACAGAGGCCGGTATCATTAGTTGTGCTGGTCCAGGAGCTGGGGTAGGAGGGAGATGGCGGTCGATGGTGTGTTGACGACCGACCGGACACTCCATCTCCAGCGTCTTGGAGTAATTAGTATTGAATAAATATTAACAACAAAGAAAGAAAACACGTACATGTATCACTCCATGGGTAAATTCGCCTCGCTCTCCTTCTCGCTTGCAGGCCAACACCACACCGACGACTGCTGGCCCTGATGTTGGTGCTGGCGCCGGTACTAGTGCTGGTGCTGGTGTATGTGGTGCAGTGGCGGTTCCAAGATCCCACCGCATATAGTGTGGGACGCCGGAGCCTCCAAACGGAAAGAATTTGTCATATTGAAGGTCTTGAAAGAAGTCTGGCGGGTCCTGCTGCTCGTCGGGGAAGACATCAGGTGGAGGCTGCTGTGGGTAGAAGTCGTGCTGCTGATGCTGTTGAGGCTTGTGAAAGAAGTCTGGTGGGTTTTGCTGCTCGTCAGGCAATACATCAGGTTGAGGCTGCTGTGGGTAGAAGTCATCTTGCTGATGCTGTTGGGGCTGCGGGGGGTAATTGATGGGCTGCGGGGGGTAATTGATGGGCTGCAGAGGGTGATTGGGCTGCAGAGGGTGATTGGGCTGCAGAGGGTGATTGAGCTGTGGAGGGTGATCGATGGACTGGTAAAGGTCGGGCTGATGATGCCCTGGAGGCTGGGGGGGGGGGGGGTTGTGGTTGTGTTGCTGAGGGTATTGGAAGTGACTGTGGCCTGCATGTGCAGCCATCAATGCAGACGACGTGCTGCAGAGACATTCGGGAGTTTCTGGCTGATCTTCAGGTAGACCGAGTTGGGTTGCAATGTTGCGACCTGATGCGTTGACATTGGAGTTTTTTTTTCGGTTGCGGTGGTTCCTAAGCAATCGTATTAGTGTCTGTGTCTGAGAGAATATAAATACTTACTTTTTTCTTGTTTGACATGTGTCTTGCTTGTTGGATTGGCTTTCGTGGGGGCATGGATTGAGAACAGCCATCCTATCTGTATGCATGATAAATTGACTAACCAGATTGAAATCACACATAAACGAAGGGTGCTCAAACAAGTATATAGACCGGAAATGATGTACATAAAACGTACAAACGAAAGCAACAACAGATCATGGGGTTGGTCATGTGATCTATAAATTCAATTGATGTAACAAGACAGCAGCACTGTACATGTGTTGTCAATAAATTGATAAAGTTAAATGGAAATAGGGTCTCTCACACTTCCTATTCGTTGATAAGGCTATGCGCCATGTTCCTCATTCATCCGGCTGGTAGACGAGGCTATCATCAGATTCCACATCACTGTGGGAGTCCGAAGGTTCTGTATCACTGCTGTTTGGAAAAGGAATGGCACACTTCTCTGCATGAGTCAAAAATTGGTCGTACTGCTCGCTGGCAATGTCATACTGGTCCAGTTCTTCCAAAAAGACTGCCTCAAGGTAGTCTTTATCGTCTTCTAAGGCCAGGAGTCCCCGGCTAGTGATGAAGCCCCTGAATATCTCCATTTCTGTCTCCACCATCTTGAATTCACCTTCTTGCTCTCACTTGAGAGATTTCAGGAAAGATTTTTCTCTCCTGTTACGTTCGAGCCGCCAGGTAGTATACATGAGCTGGTGGCAGAGGTCTTCCTTAGTGGCCTGTTTAAGTTGAACAGCCTTGCAGAAGGAATTGTTGGACATATGAGATAAACCTCTCTGAAGAAGTTTCCTACCCTACATATCTTATATTAATAGATATTCATTTATAAGAAAAATCTCCCTACCTCGTGCAAGTCTTGGAGGTTGAAAGGTCCATATGAGCCACCGAGAATTTGCTTCTTTGCAAACTGGAGCTCATAGGCGGGGGCCTGATGAACAAGGCAGGGCCTATACTTAGCACACAATTGTTCGCACAAGCAAGACAGATGGTCTTGCTTCATAAAAGGGCCCACTAAGGGGAGGTTGCTGCAGCTGTGGTTGCGGCTATGTTGAGCTAGTTTCTCCTTTGTATTGGAACAGATCGAACGTTCAGAGTCCAAGGCAGAGGTGACACTGTATGATTTACGATAGGGCGGCAACTTGGAACCAGTCTGAGCAAAAGGAGGTGAGGAGAGGTCAATGCGAGTTGAGCTTGTAGTCTCGCAATCGGACAGAGGAGGTGTGGACCGCTCAGTACAAGCATCCATATTGACGCTGCCAGTGGTAACATCAATATCCTGGCTAATATAGATAGGCAACACATACCTTATTTTCTAGCTAATCTACGAGGGGGGGGGGGGGTGTTACAATGTGATCCGGGAGTGAGTGCCAGCAGCAGAGTTTGAAGGACTTGGAGAATTTTTTCTTGTCAATACTGTCAGTGCTGGGTAAGTATAGCGCTGGCATGCAGGTCAATCATCCCACTGTATTGTCCAATTCTCGGCAAGGACAATTTGGGCAATTTGTTCTTGATACAAATTTGTAAGATTTATTTCTTCAGGTTGAAGTACTCACTGTAGTGATGCTTGAATCAACTGGCAGATCATCGCCTGTGCAATGCCCCCAATGTTCAATTGATCTACCTTCCAACGAGGCAGTATTGGACCACTTGCAGCTGTTACAATAACATTTAACCCTACTTATTTTTCTTCTTTTGTAACCATACCGCCAACTCTAGACTCATCTAGACTCGGCTACTCTCTTATCAAGCGGGCTGTCCGCACTCTTCTCTTCTTGATTGTAACATAGCTACTGTTACAATAACATTTACTCCTATTTTCTTTTTCTTTTCTTGTAACCATGCCACCGACTCTAGACTCATCTAGACCCGGCTATTCTCTTATCAAGCGGGCTGTCCGCACTTCTTTTCTTTCTTGATTGTAACATAGATACTATCTTGCGCCGCATGACGGTTTCACCTATCTTTGCTATCTTGATAGGTTGTACTCTTTTTCCTATCTTTGTTACCTTTCTTGTCGCGGCTACGCCGCTTCCTTTTACCTATATAAACCCCATGTACCATAGCTGTATTCCTTAACTTAATCTACTGGGTTTTCCCTTTGAAACCTGATCTACTAAGGTCTCCACCCTTAGTAGCCTGAACTCTGATTCTAAGGCAGTCACTCACTGTCTTAGCCTGAAACCCTTGATTACGGTAGAAGTGCTAAAACCACTCACCGCCTAGGCAGAAGTGCTAAAACCACTCGCCGCTGATCCTGCACAGAAGCCGCGGCTCGTGCAGTAGGAACCACCAGAAACCTTCCTTGTACTAGGAAGGCCGACGAACTGTTTGCCCGACAGGTCTATCTTGACCGGCAACAGCAGAACTATCCCAGTCGTAACAGCTACTATCATGCACCGCATGGTTGTTTCACCTATCTTTGCTATCTTGATAGGTTGTACTATTTTCCTATCTTTGATACCTTTCTTGATGCGGCTGCACCGCTCCCTTTTCACTATATAAACCCCATGTACAACAGTAGTATTCCTTAACTTAATCTACTGGGTTTTCCCCTTGAATCCTGTTATATAAGGTCTCCACCCTTATAGTCTGATATCTGAATCTAAGACAGTCACTCACTGTCTTAGCCTGAACCCTTGATAGGCAGAAGTGCTAAAACCACTCGCTGCTGATCCTAGACAGAAGCCGCCGCGCTCGTCTAGTGGAACCCTTGACCCAGAACCCTCCTTGTACTAGGAGGTCTGAAGAACTGTCAACTTGACTGGTCTATCTTTGACCATTGACAGAAGAACTATCCCAGTCGTAACAGAGCAAGAAAATGGTTGCTGGCCTGGGGCACAAGATTGTTGTATTCCTGTCCCACCCGCATTCCTTCGATCTACCAAGGAAGCAGGCAGAGACCAAATCTTGGGATGGTACCACTCATCTTCTGGCTATATATTTGGAAAAGCGCCAAACATCCTCGAAGCCATGGAAAGTGACCAGTTTGCTTACCGGCGACATCACACTCCGTTTTACCCCTTGAACTAGGAAAATTCCTCTGTGAACGCTTCACACAAAGTGATATTGACCGATTTCTCAAGCTTGAATGGGTTTGTTTGGTGTGAAGCTCCTCTATGTGCACGTAGGACTAACTTCCAGAACACAGGTACACCAAGCTAAACCATCGTTCGGTTCCAAAGACCAGTTACTTGCATGGATGGCTTCTCTTCCCACTGGACCAAAATGGTGCTCAACAATGCTTGAAATCACAGGATACCCAACCGTTCAACCTATACAGCTCATCTGGCGCAATGGCCTAGATGTGGTAGAAGATCTCTTTGCTAACCCCATTTTCATGAATCATATGACATATGACCCACACATTGTGGTTGATGGAGATGAGCATGAGTATAGTGAATATTTTACAGCGAAACAAGCATTCGAGATTCAGGTAAATTTTTATGCACTTATTTGTAATGGTTGATCGATGCTTTTGTACAGGACCAGCTTCCCATAGGTGCCACCATAGTTCCGATAATTATTGCATCTGACAAGACACCTGTGACACAGCACACTGGAGGGCTCGAAAAGCACCCTATCTTTGTCTCGCTCGCCAACATCCAGTCTGACGTATGGATGAGAGCAACAAGCCACGCTTGGCAATGTGTTGGCTTCATGCCGATTCCAAAATTTTCTGACGTCCATAGTGACTATCAAACTATTCTGAGTCAATGGTTATTCCACAAGTGCATGGATATCATCTTCGCAGATGCTAAGGTTGTGGCCATGGTGGGCAAATTTATGCCCAATCCATCTGGCCATGTACAACATTGCTTCACACCTTTGGTTGCTTACACCGCAGATTTACCAGAACAGCAAGCTATAGCATGCGTCTCAAAGGTCGCCTCTCCTATCACATTAGCCACATCTCAATCCTTTGGCGACAGCTATCACCACACACCACGCACAAAGGAGCACACCCTTTCAGTGATATACAACATCTGTCAATGCATTGATCCGTGGAGGTTGCGAGAATTTCAGGAGGAAGCCAAGGCTCACTCGCTAAGTGGTGTTCACCAACCATTTTGGCAGAATTTGCGGTTCGCAGATCCCACTCGCTTCTTAGCAGGGGAAATTCTCCATACCTGCCATAAATTCTTCTTTGATCACCCATTTGAGTGGTCAAAAGAACTGGTGGGTAAAAATGAGCTTGATGCCCGATTCCAAAGCCACCATAAGCGAGTAGGAACGCACCATTTTTCATCTAGAGTACGTCAGATGAAACAAATGACTGGCCGGGAACACCGGGACTTGCAACGCACCTTGGTACCTTCCATTGCCAGGGTTGTGCCTCCCCAGTTCATTCACGCAATTCGCACTTTGATCGACTTTATCTATAAGGCCCAAAGCCCTGTTTACACTGATAGCTCCATTGATTCCATGGTTGCATCTCTCCGAGAGTTCCATGATCATAAGCAAGCAATTTTAGATGCAGGAGCTAGATGAGGCACCAAAGGAATGATAAACAACTTCCTTATCCCAAAACTCAAGCTTTTGCAGAGTTTTGCTGCCTTCACCCAGGATATAGGCGCCCTCATCCAATGGACTGCAGATGTCACCGAACGTCTTCTCATCACTCATTGCAAGCTTCCTTTTGACAGGACATCTCGTCAGTCATGCACCTTTACAGAGCAGATTGTCGATATACTCAACTGCGAGGAATCAATGCGGCGATTTCAGTTGTACCTCTTCCTGCGAATGCACAACACTCCCCTCACCAACACCATAGTCACAGAAGAACAAGAAATCACTGAAACCGACCCTGCTCTTGCATGGATTGCCCGCATTGCACCTGGTGATCCAAATCAACGGTGTTTTGTCGGACCTCGTCCGGTTCAGAACCATTTTCTGAAGGGTATACTGTCTTCCACTGCGACAACTGCCTTCCACATTACCGTTGCTCCTGATCGAGCCAAAATGTCCATCAATGAAGTCCAGCAGCTCTACATGTTACCAGATTTTGGACAAGCGCTCTCTGATTACATCGCAAAGGCTTCTTAACAGCCAACCCACAGCATCATAGAGCTGTGATCGTGGTTGTGTCAAGACATGGAACAAATTTCGACTACAGTTACATTCTGTTTTTCACTTGTGGCTGATTATGCCCAGTCAAGTCATTCAAGCTGCTCCACCATCACAAACATTTCCTCTGGGAAATTATGATGCAGTTATTATGCAGTCAATATATGGCGACCAGACAAGTAAGATTTATTTTATGCCTATGTACATGTCACTCACTGGTTTACATAGCAGATATTGTCATGCAAGTGCGGGCTATCTTCTGTTACGACTGGGATAGTTCTGCTGTTGCCGGTCAAGATAGACCTGTCGGGCGAACAGTTCGTCGGCCTTCCTAATACAAGGAAGGTTTCTGGTGGTTCCTACTGCACGAGTCGCGGGCTTCTATGCAGGATCAGCAGCGAGTGGTTTTAGCACTTCTGCCTAGGCGGTGAGTGGTTTTAGCACTTCTACCGCAATCAAGGGTTTCAGGCTAAGACAGTGAGTGACTGTCTTAGAATCAGAGTTCAGGCTACTAAGGGTGGAGACCTTAGTAGATCAGGTTTCAAAGGGAAAACCCAGTAGATTAAGTTAAAGAATACAGCTATGGTACATGGGGTTTATATAGGTAAAAGGAAGCGGCGTAGCCGTGACAGGAAAGGTAACAGAGATAGGAAAAAGAGTACAACCTATCAAGATAGCAAAGATAGGTGAAGCCGCCATGCGGCGCAAGATAGTATCTATGTTACAATCAAGAAAGAAGAGAAGTGCGGACAGCCCGCTTGATAAGAGAATAGCCGGGTCTAGATGAGTCTAGAGTCGGCGGCATGGTTACGAGAAAAGAAAAATGAAATAGGAGTAAATGTTATTGTAACATCTTCCAGCCCATTCTGCCTCGCCACATCACACTTCCTCATTACCTCGCAGATCAACCACTCATTTATGTTCAATATTATGAGATTGTTGGTCATCCACATGATGATCCTGCCATCAGCATGTCTACGGTGGCTCGACAATATCACTATGGGTCTGATGGTCAGAGGGTGAGATTGGGCGCAGCCATCCCTCTCACAGATGTCACACATGCGGTAGAGCTTATCCCTGTGTATGGCACAGGAGCTGATTGTAGTGTGAGTGCAGCAATGAGTATGGGGGTGTATGAACACTTTTACCTGAACAATTTCTCGGACAAGGAGATATATCATGCATTGCGCTCAGATTTGCACTAGCTACATTTTTTGTTATGGTCTCAGCTTGTAATTCAACATATTGTCTGTTATCTACCTTATCTTTGAGATCAAAAAAGATGTAAAATATTATCGTCAATCAAAACATTTGGTTATCCATCTCTCGCAAATTTATAACGACTAAATAAAATAATAACAGTAAAATACATCTCCACCAATCGCAAGAGTGCGCTACTGAGGTCGTAAACGTTCGTAAGTGTCCGTAATGCACTTAACTTAAGCATTCATTTCAGTGGTTTTGCAGATGCAGTTGGGATCCTTCAAGTGCCGTAATATTATGTAAATGAAAATCGATTATGTATTGTAAATAAGCAGGCGACTCGGTATCAATTTGTCGTCTATTTGCGTGCCTTGTGCCCGCCTTTATCTCCTTTCGCCCTCAACTTAAACAAGACAGATATTTGCGACTTTCAGCTCCGGTTATTCAAATACCGTAGAAGAAACGCCAGTAACCTGGAAGTAAATAACCGAGCGAATACCACAACTAGTATGAGTCCATTGTCAGCTTCACCTCGGTACTCTCAAATGATACTTCGACTCACGCTATAAAATTTGCACGACTGCTTATCGGCGCCTACTGTGTTGTGCATCACGAATCTGATCCCCACAAATGCGCCGTAAACTACAAATGCGGTGGTAGAGAGGGCATCTATCTTCCAGATACGACTCAAGGCATATGACCAAAGGGGAAGACCGAACATCATTGAAAAGCGCGCAGCTTTAGGGAACATCGTAGGCAGCGTGCGCCTGCCAGTGAGGCGATCGCCCTCTTCATCCTTGAAGTCTTGGGCATGAAGCGTAGTTGCAAAGACTGTCGAGCTAAGTGCGACCGCCAAAGCACCAGCCTTGTCGATGCATGAGTTGCGAGAACCTTGACGGTTGATGAGCAAAAGAAAAGGTTTTTTACAAGTGGATATATCTACCAGCAACAGTTCCTCCGACCTCCAGACACCCGTAGAGGATGGCTGTGAGTACATTCTTCGACAATCCCATCTTGTCACCGTGAAGTTCGTTGTACCAGATTGTCAATGCCGCAAAAACGGTGCTGGCCAGCACAGCCTGAGTGCCGTACCACAATGACAGCATCAAACAGACTGGGATCATCACCCAGCGCATATCAGCTGCGCTGTCGACAGAGATGCGACCAGCAGGTATCGGACGGGAGGGCTTATTCTTGCGGTCCTCCTCCGGGTCTTGGATCTGGTTTGCAATATTGAACTGCAGCAAGTGGAACCATATCCACAAAGGAGCATTCCAAGCGTGAGTGGGGTCATGTTTGGGAGCCGCGGATAATGCGAATATAGTCTGAAAAATGAAATTAACAAGGGGATGAGATGCACAATCGTTGTCACATACCACAGGTATCAGAGTGGTTCTGATATCATTTTTTGTGAAAAGGAAGACCGTCTCGAGATGACGAGCGATGCTATCAGTGCGAACAGCGAGAGCTTGAGAGAACATTGTGATTTTTTGGATGCTCAGGTTGTGCCGGGTCCAGGCATTTATACCTCGAATGCGCGCTTGAAAGAAACGTGAACTATCGGGCGATGGCAATGTCCATACCAAGAGTGTAATACAATGGACTGCAAGACTGCCTCAGAGCGCTCTGTAATACAGCAATCAGTCACCTGAATCCCGGATGGGTCGGACATAACTTTAGTCTTTCGAACTTGCAGGTTTCCTTGCGAAATAGATCTGCATTTGTGAGAAACAACCTTCCGGGTACCTTGAACCCGTCATAGCCGGATGCCCCACAGTCGAGAGGGGTCCGCAAGAATAAATATGAACCTATACGAGCGCCTGCCACCTAGGTAACCTGGTAGATATTAGAGCGCCCTCATGTCATTACCATGACTATGGCGAATCCACGATCAGAGTCTCTCATAGCATTAATGCACTCACTATCCAGGGAGGCCACAATTTTCCACTCTGCAGAGCTTGGAGCACTTTCCGGACCACCACGCATTACACTCAGAGACTGCAAATATTGAGTATTGATGCATTTACCATACCTTGGGTGGTTATCAGTTGAACAGGTGCTTGATGCTATAACCCGAAAATGACGGTGGGCTCGAATTAGTTCCAGGCGTCGAGACATCATTGCACGCTTTCCACGTTGGCTTACGAGTCCGACCGGGCGCCGAAACCACGGTTCGAGTTCCGAGGACTTCATATTTCCCGTTTTCCCGGTGCTGTGAAAGTCGATCGCCAAGGCTGCTCATCGAACGTGGTTGTGCTAGCCTCTTTCGATTAGCACGATGGTGATCATGAAGTTTGCTCACCATCGCTGCCTAGTGAATTCTCTCACATTATCATCTAAGAGTTAGGCCTGATGAGGGTTAGAAATATTTGCGAACGACAGGGTTCCGTGAGGTTTGGGATATTTTGAGACTGCTTGTGTTAGTCCTGCACGCCGCCGTACTAAGGTACAGGTACAAGTCCCGTTTAAGACAAGGTTTAGGTACTCAGATACCAAGTAAACTTGGACTTTTAGAATTTAGCAGTCCTTTGCTGTGCGACCGGCAATGTAGCTCCCTGACCCCGGTCACGTACCTTGCACCTAGTACTGCGTGCGTGGCGACCTGTCTGCATCTCGCTGCCACAACATTACATTTAGCATGGATACGTATTACGAATACGAGTAATTCACTACAGACACGAATAATTAACTTTTCACCCGAACAATGAGGCTGTATGCGCCGTACCTCAAACTCATAGACTTGAAAAGGGTGGGCACTGCCCAGGTAATATTTCCTCATAAATGCCGCCGCTCGACGATTAAGTGGTTTCTAGGTTTGCTGTATGCGGGCCGATCGGGCTCAGACAAGACCGTATGTGCCCGATATCACTGGACATAGATGATGGCGAAGGCGAAGGCTCATCGCCTTCCGCGATACTATCAAGTCTGAAGCCGGGAAAGAATCTACTTCGAGCCAAGGCGGAGTATCTTCTATTGTCACAATTCCCTGTCGTCCTTCTGCGGCTAGGAGCTAAAGATAGCTCAGAACATGAGAGAGATAACTCTGGCCGACAGCCGTAGTCTGGCGTGTAAGTCGTCGACGGGCCAATTCCCGAAAGCTATTTAAAAAGGTCACATGAGCTCCTTGTGAGATTGATCATGAGAACATACCACATGAACGGGAGCTGGCATCATATCATGGTCAAGCGATGATCGGTGGCTGTTAGAAGGGAGATGATCGACGGATATCACGGCAGCAAAGGGCTCATCACGAATCTCTGGAAGATCCTTGAAGCAATCCGGACGACTTTGAGAAATCGGTGGGTGTGGAGTCTCGGGTGTCTCGGAACCAGAGGGCGTTCCAGAAAATACAACTTGCACAATGCGATGCTGGGCTTCAGACAGCAATGAGGTCATGTGCTCCTGCCCTACATATGGATGTTTGGGTGACTCCGAAAGTTCCTGATGTCGTCGCTCCTCTTAGAGAACTGAGCACTGGTAAGTAATAGGGCATTACCCACAACAGCCATTCGCTTCCCTGTCTCCCCTATAATCTGTTGAGATATTCAGATATATACCATGAAGTCTTGACCTAGATGGCGTGCAGAACATACCATGCCCTTCTCGCAACACTCTACAAGACCTCCAAACTTTAATGTCAGCCAGTTTTTTGTGCATTTACGTTTGAAAGCGACGATCGTTGATCGTTCGTGCGCGATTTTTGCATCCAAATGTCGCAAGGCTTCGCGTGAAATGTTTAGTGCGTCCATCTGTGCATCGAATGCCTTGGTCTCCTGGGTCATTCGGGCGAGCTTTTTCCTGATACTCTCTACGGAGGCTGCAGTACGCCGCCGGCGCCGTTGAAGGTTGTCAAGGGATTCTTCACGCGTACGCACGGCCTTCATGTTGTCTCGAACGATGTTTTGAATAGAGCTGTAGCAGTTGAGCGCCCCTGAGAAGTGTGCTAGGAGTGTTCTGGATGAATTCAATATATCCTGAAGCCCCGTTCGATGTTCAGTTTATCTTGAGGCAAGGCCAAGACTTACAGAAAGGTCATCTCCTTCAGAAATTGCCCATGTCCTCATGGAGTCAGCAGCTTTCAAAAAGTCTGAGCTCAACCTTTGTAGTCTACCTCGAAGCTTCATTGATAGCTGTGTCAAATGCGAGATGGAGTCTGATGGACTCACGAAGCCAACACCGACTTCTCTGCTGTAATCAAATCTTGGAGAGGCTTAAGTTCCTCATTTCCTATCAGCGCAGGGACAGGGATTGTCGAGCTATGGGCTATCTTCACAGTTGCACCTCTGAACATTGTGGTCAGTCGAGAAGTTCCGATGACAATCGTTATTCGGCAGCCGGTTCTGTGCCCAAATTGTTCGCACTGATTCGCACAGGACATTTTGAAAAGTACTCACAATCCCTACATGTCTTCTGAGATCGAGGTGAGCAATTCTTAAAAAAGGACTTCACCAAATGACCAGTATGAATGTCAACTTTCCATAACATACGGTGCCGACACAAGTTGAATATCAGTGGATGGTGATGATTTTATAACAAAGGAGCTAACAAGCTATAGCACGCGGATTGACCGTAAAATTAATACCAAACGGCATCTAACGTCGCAATCATAACGAAAGAGAACCCACTCATCACGGTTGCATGACTGTAGTGTAAACCTCGCTGAGCGCTTCAATGATTGCCAGTCCAAAGTGTGAAACATAATAGTTAGTACTTGGGAAGATATTGGTAAGGTGTGTGATGATTGATCTTACCAACTTGGCGTGTGTTCCGAACTCCGCTAAATCGTACACTAGATAAGGTGTAGATTGTCTCCTGTCGTCAACCAAAGTGTTTCATCGACTTGTTACCTATTTGCTCCTTCTACTACCAAGCTCGCTCATGGCATCCCCCAAGATCTCCGTCGGTGACACCATTCCCAAGGGCACCTTCGGTACCGTCCCTTTCACCGAAGATCTAGCTGATCATGTGAGTCATATCGCTTCGAATTCTAATATTGTCGTTACTGACATGTCTGGTCACGCATAGTCAGCATGTGGTATTCGTGCGTCTGTTTCCTGCCAGTACTCGTAGAATAAGGCTTATCAGATTGACCACAAGCTATTGAGCTCTCGACTGACAGTTGGAAGGGCAAGAAGGTCGTGCTCTTCTCAGTGCCTGGTGCTTTCACCGTATGTATTCCCAAGGTTCTTCTGATCATCGAACTTACCCCATCCTGTTAGCCAACTTGTCACATCAACCACCTCCCGCCTTACATTGCCAACTACGACAAGTTCAAAGCCAAGGGTGTCGACGTCATCGCTGTCGTCGCTGCTAATGATCCGTTCGTTCTGAGCGGATGGGGACGTGTTGAGGGACTGACAGACAAGGTAAATCCTCCATACCATTAGGTCATCCCAAGAGCAAATGAAAGAGTTTACATGCGTAGATAATCACCCTCTCTGACCCCAACGCCGCGTGGTCAGGTAGCCTTGGATTAAGTGTCGACCTCTCCTCGCGCAAATTTGGAATCCGTACTGCACGATACGCCATGATCATAGACGACTTGGTCGTCAAATACGTCGAGGTTCGTGTATTTCCTGCAAACACAATAATAATGGGGATATTGATGACTGGCCTACGTACTAGGTCGAGCCTGGCCTCGGAGTGACTGTTTCTGGTGCTGACGCCGTATTGGCCAAGCTGTGATCGAGGGTATCGTTTTGTTTTTGTTTGCGTACTTCAAGTTTTGGTGAAACTGTCTCATCGAAATGAGCAGACATTCGAATTTGGTAGGTGCTTTCTTGTAGTGTAGAAGTCAATAAATCAATAGAGTGAAAAAGAATATGTTTTACTGTTTGCTGAGGGGGATTTTCTCAATCGAGCGAACAGAAGGATCTCCGCAACTTAAAGCTAAAAAGAACCGATTACTACGAGTATTCAACTTAAGTAAGGCCGTAAGCTTAAGCTTGCCTCGGTTCGGGACCGTGCGCAAATTAGTGGTTGTTTGTAGCTGTATACGCGCTTTTGGTCAGGTGATCGAGTATTGTTTGTTGATGTCCTAGATAAAGTTCAAAAGTGATAGGGTGTCGCGCGCGTCCACACTCACTTTTCTTCACCCACAATCCATCAATCGTGATGCCCCGCAAAGCCGCTGCGACCGCCGCGCCTGCAGACGACTCCGTGCCCGCTGGCACCACAGCTACTGACGGCGACAATAATCCTGCTCGCCGTTCATCCCGCCTTGCTGGTCGGGACAAGCCCCCAGCGCCCAAGAAGACTCCCGCGAAACCGCGGGGAAGAAAACCTAAACCTACTGCAGATGACGACAAACAAGACAGTGAAGCTGACGCTAAACCCAAGTCTGCCAGGGGAAAGAAACGTACTGCTGCTGATAAAGCTGCGGAAGAGAGCGCTCAGCCAGAGAGCGAAGAGGCTCCCGCCGCCAAAAAGGTCTATTTGCCTCTATTTTTTCTACTGCGTATCTCAGTATACTGAACCAACCATTAGGCTAAACCTGAATCCAAGGCTGCGTCGAAGCCTGCATCCAAAGCCGCTTCAAAGCCAGCCTCCCAGGCAGCCCCCACAAAACCTGCCTCTAAGGCCACGAAACCTGCGTCTCGAGCATCCGCCAAACCACTCTCCACCACTGCCAAGAAACCCGCTTCAAGAGCAGCCTCAAAGAAGCCTGCATCTAGGGTGGGTCATACTTCGTTTGATTTAAAATCATGCTTATCTTGATTGTCAGGCTGAAGCCCCAATAAATGAAAACGAGGACCCAGTCCCCGCTCCGGAGACCATTGTAGAAGAGCTAGAGGAAGAAGCTGCCGCTGCTGAAGCTCCAGTTGCTGAAACCGATGTAAGTTTTTTCTTACTCGGTGCCCAGAATATTTACAATATATTTTAGGTTTAATTATATCGCCCTGTAATCATCCATCCATGATGGTGGATGGATCCAGCTAGATCCGCTGCAGACAAATGTATCTTCTTCCTATCATTATCTGCTATCATCGATTTGTATCCCTGTCTTTTCGCCCCCAACATCGATCACGTCCCTTCGCCGTATTGTCCGTAATCTCCTTGTCGCCGTCTTTCACCCTTATTTTCAACCTGTCCCAATAACTTTCATCTTCAACCTTCTAGACCATGGCCGTGCACTCTTGTCGGATGGAACCGCTATGCGTCAATGGTGCTAGCACCTCTTTTGTTTAGTTCAACTCCGTTACCATTTTATGTATGCGTACGTTGGTTACTCTAGGTTCTGTTGTGTGTATGTGATATCTACATTATGCAGGTATTGCACATTGCAGGGCGACTCCAGTCGGGACTGCAAGAAGCTGCCTATTCTGTCGGTACGTGTTCCATGGAACAGACGAATAAATTGTTTCGGCAGTTGCGCGACGAGTATGCACTCAGCAAAGCCTCTGGCCGGATTTCTTGTGCGCGGTGGTTTCGTGTGGGCAGGCCAGGTTGACTTTTATCGGCCCAGGGTCTGCTAAGTGCTCTTGGTGTTGTGCTATTGTGCGCTGAACTCTTCCAGCTTCCAATGGATGACTCAACTGTTGGCGGGAGCATACGACGGTCGAACAGCTGGAAGTATTTGCTTCACTTCTACCCAGCCTGTTCACATATCGGATCTCTGGGCAAGGAAAGATCAGCGACAGGTCTCCATCCGTGACCGAGCGCTCTCACACATCATTGGGATGCGTTCTCTTCTCATGCGTTGTGGTATACTACATGGGGTTCGCAGTCGACGTCAATGCTTATCTCGGGTCAGACAGACTCGCACGCATACACAAGACAAGACGCCTCATTGCGACGAGCTTCAGTTGCCTCACTATTCAATGTAGCGCAAGCAGGTAGCTCGTCGCAGGTGGGTTTGTCTTCTCCTTGCATGCGATATCCACACAGGCTTGTCATGGCGCGATCGGACATGGTGATCCTCGTTCGCAGCCAGGGCAAGCCACTCTCATGCACTGCCAAAGGGTCGACATCACGTGCAGTTACGTGAGCACAATGTTATTCGTGTAATAGCATCGAGATTCGGATTCGGAGTCGAGTCCTCGATATCTTTTCTCGGTTTGGTCTGTCTAATGGGATGGAGACAGCTTGATAGAGAAGGAACGATTGCCTTCCTTCTATTGAGCCTGCCAACGAAAAACTCTGACTCGAGGGAGACTGTAGCTTATAGTCTTCCAGATCCGCATCTATTGAAATACAACAATTCTCCAGATGATTTAAAGGTCGGATCCATCTGCGTGAACGCCTGGCATCCTCAACCTCATATCAGCAGATGAGCGATGTGAAGGGGACGAGGGGTCCCCTACTAGACTTTGGCGGATAACAACAACACTGGCGCAATTTGGTAGAGGTGGCACATCTCACGGAAAGTCACAAACACGTCTTGCATGCATCACGACCGCGAGCTAATCATATTGAACAGAACGTTCAGAGCGAGCGACATCAGCTGCTTGCGTCTCGAAACACCTATTCCACCTTTTCGAACTTCCAGTACTTGTTGTCCGTCGCGGGAGCTGCCTCAACGCGGATCTGGAGTAACGTTGGTCATCAATGAATCCAAAAAAGGTCAGCGATGAAAACAAACCCAGGACCAGTTTCCGTTGTCCTTGAGAAGCCACACGTCGTCTACGTCCTGTGCATGGATTCTGCAGGGAAAGGAGATGAATGAATTCTCAGTACAACTGGGACCGAAGACTGCACTCACTCGAATTTCTCGCCATCAATGCTAGACAACTGAAGCACCTGGGGCTTTTCTAAGCCTACGACATTGCTTTTCTATGATTCCATGCTTTTAGCGATCTTGCATGTGTCAGCACCAAACAGACCAACCATCATGTCGATCCCAATGTACAAATTTGTCGCAGTATCAAAGAGGGTCGCAAGATGCTCAACCTCGTCTATGACATCGACTCGGATCTATGGGCATCGATGAGCATGCTGCACGGGTGGCACGTCGCTGCAACGATGCATGCGTACAATTTCACCGACGTCGTGGCCGACGAACTCTTTATTTCCTGACATACAGACGTATCGCTGGCTATACATGACATTGCCGATCCTGTAGTTTCCGGGTTTGATCATTTCACTCATGGTTGATTGAAGATTCTGTTGAGCACTGATTGAGAGAGGAGGGTTGTTGAAAGAAACTGACGATAGCCTGAGGATATGCTGCAACCTTTATAGCTGCCTGACTAGTCCCAGGATAGGCCAAAGTCAGCATCATCCCCCGTCCAAGTCCTGGCTCCGGGATCACGACTCACCCGGCTTGGTGCACTGATCAAACACCGGATTCCATCAGAGGAAATCTTCTCATGGGGATGCATCAAATACTTCCAAATCACCGCAAGGCACTGGCCTACATCATTGACCTAATCATTCCTCGGGTCGCCTCCGGTTCATTGTTCTCGTACATTCCTAGATGTCAAATAACTGCTTCTTACCCCGCCGACTATCCCCATTTCAAACACGGGTACAAGCAAAGTGGTCAGTCCCCTGTTACTTGTCCGAAATTCTCTCCGGTTCCCAGAAATGTTGCTTCACTCACAGTATGAGCGTCGATATTACTCCTTCAAACATATGCAATACCATTGATGGTGGTGATCACATATCTGGGGAACACATCAATATCTGAATTCGGGAACAAGATGAGTAACAGGGCAAGAGCCTGGGGTAAATTGATTGAGTTGGTCCCCTTACACGTAATCTTCCATTCAAGCTGTCGTTCGCCTACAGTCGTTTGCATTAAAAAGTTCACCCCTTGATTTGGACGCAACATCTTTGTATGTATTTGGTGGGTAAATTTGAATGTACACTCTAACCCTAACCACATCGGCCACTGTCACACTGCGCAGTATCGATCGGACACCAAGCCTCGTTTTAAGCTGATTGATAATAGTCTTCATTTTTCTTTGGCAAATTCTGCCAGCCATTGCACGCAGCAACTCATTTCGCTCTGCTGCTGCCTTTGAAAATTTGATGTCCGTTTGTGCGTGACTGCAAGCCGATGAAGGCTGTGCGAGAGCGTGGGAATTGAGACTTGAAACATTTCGTGCTTCAAGCAGCTGCTCTTGAAATTTCGTCAAGGAAATAGGGTAGGGATGAGTTGGCATTGAGAATGGATGTGATAAATGACAGGTCCTGTTGGTTGAGAGTACGAGGCTTGCCACGGCAATGAACAAATGGATCTCTTGTCTGTCCAAAATCTCGGTGAAGTCTGTCAGAATTTTGTAGATACTTCGCTGACTGCACCCAGCAAGTTGAGCTATTTCAGCAATTGTCTTAGAATGCCAGACAATAATCCTCTCCCTTAACTGTTCTGTGAGGTGTGGAGACATGATATCGTTACATCATATAGTTCTCGTGTGACAGGTCACCCGGCAAACACATTTGAGAATAATATTCGAGGTTTTTTTGTGGGCACAAATACATACAAAGATGTTGCGTCCAAATCAAGGGGTGAACTTTTTAATGCAAACGACTGTAATGGATGACTTTCCACAGGCTCGAAAAATGTAGATTAGAATATCATATCATAAATCTGACTACATTAGGAAGGTGTGCCGCGATGCCGCTGTTCATTTCCGCCCAATTTGCAACGGTATTTCGTTTGCCCCCCTCTAATAAACCTTAATCTATTGGGGGGGGGGGCCCCCTACAAACTAGATTATCCGACTTTTTCCGTTTCCGGCCACTAACACCTGCGATATTTGCTGACATAATAAGCCTCGCTCGACACGCGTGGCATGCAACACACTCACTTGCAAGGTACGTCGTCAACCATTTGCCGACTTTGCTAACATCTCTTTCCTTACCATCTTTTTAGATGATACCAAATGCCCTGTATGACATTTACAATCATGTATGCCAGCTAAAGGACTTTTAACCTGACCACGCTGCTTCCAGTGCATCCGATCTTGTCCAATCTGCTGACCATCAACCAATCCTCACCAACTGGCAACGAAAATTTGCTTGTGATCCCTGGATCTCGAGGCGGTGCGCTCTCGACCACTGCATTTCGTGCTGGCACATCCGCGTTGCAGTGTTACCAGCCCAGGGTCTGGACTAAATTAATGATTAAGACTACGGGGGATTATTGTCTCATAGATTAAATTTTCGTTGCCATTGCAAATGTATTTCAAGCTCCGAAATAATCTATTCTGGATTATTTTGCCTATGGAAAGTCATCCAATTACAATGTGCTCGGATTATATCCGTTTTGGGCCACAACGCCATTGCTATCCGCTGACAAATCGATGACTAATCTAAAACTGAGGTCCCCGCTTTGCTCTAACGCTCCTGTGAGTTTGATGTGCGTATCTTGAGTGAAGCAACATTTCTGGGAACCGGCGAGAATTTTCGGATAAGTAACAGAGGACTGGTCACTCTGCTCATACCCTTCTGTGAAATGGGGATAGGCGGCGGGGTAAGAAGCAGTTGTTCCACATCTAGGAGTGTACGAGAGCAATGAACCGGAGGCGACCCGAGGAACGATTAGGTCAATAATGTCAGTCAATGCCTCGCGGTCATTTAGAAGTATTTGATGCATCCTCATCGAACATTTCTTCTGACGGAATCCGGTGTTTGATCAGTGCACCAAGCCGGGTGAGTCGTGATCCCGGAGCCAGGACTTGGATGGGGGATGATACTGACTTTGGTCTATCCTCCGACGAATCACGGCATTAGGGATTTCAGCCAGCTATAAAGGTCGCAGCGTATCCTCAGGCTGTCGTCAGTTTCTATCAACAATCCTCCTCTCTCAAATCAGTGCTCAATAGAATCTTCAATCAACCACGAGTAACATGATCGACTCCGGAAGATACGTTATCCGCAATGCGTTGTATGACGACCGATTCGCCTATATGTCAGACGATAGAGAGTTTGTTGGCCACGACACCGGTGTAGTTGTACGTATGCACCGTCGCAGTGACGTGCTTCCCGTGCAGCATGCTCATCAATTCCCTTAGATCCAAGTCAATGTCCTGGACAGTGATGATGGTCTTGTGACCCTCTTTGTTAGTATGCAAAATTTGTACATTGGGATCGACTCGGAGGTTGGTCTGTTTGGTATTGACACATGCGAGATCGCTAAAAGCATGGAATCATAGAATGGCAAGGTCGTAGGCTTAGAAGAGCCCCAGACGCTTCAGTTGTCCAGCAATGATGGCAATAAATTTAAGTGAGTGTAGTCTTCGGTCCGAGTTGTACCGAGAATTCATTCATCACCTTTTCCTGCAGGATCCATCTACAGGGCGAAGACAACGTGTGGTTTCTCAAGGACGGCGAAGACTGGTCCACGGTTTGTTTTCATTGTTGACCTTTTTTGGATTTATTGATGACCAACGTTATTCCAGATCCGCGTTGAGGCAGCTTCTGATAAGGACAATAAGTACTGGAGGTTCATCGGTGTAGAATAGGTGTTTCGAGATGCAAGCAGCTCGTGTCATTCGCTACGAATGTGCTGTTCAAGAATGCTTGTATACAAATAATCAGCTCGCGGTCGTATTGCATACAAGACGTGTTTGTGACTTTCCGTGAGATGCGCCACCTCGTACCAACTCGCGCCGGTGTTGTTGTTATCCGCTAAAGTCTGGTAGGGGACGCCTCGCTCTCTTCACATCGCTCATCTGCTGACATGAGGTTGGGGATTTACGCAAATGGATTCGACCTTTAAACCATCTGGATAATTTGGATGAGAGCGGCTTGCCCTGGTTGCAATTTCAAACGAGGATCACCGTGATCCTCGTTTGAAATTGCAACCATGTCTGATCGCGCCATGACAAGCCTGTATGAATATCGCATGCAAGGAAGAACACAAACCCACCTGCGACGAGCCACCCGCTTGCGCTACATTGAGAAGCCTGTCTTGTGTTTGCCATGCGTGCAGAGTCCGTCTGATTCGAAGCCGAAATAGATATTGATGACGTTGACTGCGAACCTCGTGTGGTATCATAATCACAACGCATGAGAAGAGAACGCATCCCAATGATGTGAGAGAGCGCTCGGTCACGGATGGAGACCTCTCGCTGATCTTTCCTTGCCCAGAGATCCGATGTGGAAAGGCTGAGTAGAAGTTAAGCAAATACTTCCAGGCGTTCAACCACCGTAGAGGTACAAGTACTCACATCAAACAGACAATTCGCCGGCAGATGACGAAGACTGAGCGCTGAGCAGCGCACCCATGTCCCTCACCCTGTCGCCTTGACCGCCTTGAACCATTCTCGCACTTTTACCTGAACTAATGATCAAATATCACAAGTTTCATAGTAGAAGACGCGCATTAGGGCCTACATAGTACAATGATTTCTTAGAAAAAGGTTTGGACAGATTTGCTAAACTTTTGGCACTGAAACAACTCCTTTCTTCGTCAGATTGTTAGGAAAATGCTCACGAATCGCCGAAATACCGTAATGAATAGCAATTCGGCATGCTGAGACCAAAGACAATGCCGAGGTTGCCGAAAAAATACAAGGACCAAAGTCTTTTCTGATTTCACGCTACCCGTCCATCTCACTGTCCCGCCAAGGACGACCAAACGTTGTTCCATACATAACGACCTTAGGACCTATGGCTAATCATACAAGCATTCTCCGACGCGATGAGTTACAGTAACATCAAGCAAACTTCCTTGCATTCCGACACAACTTAAGCCTCCTCAAACTTCCAGAACTTCTTCTCGAAGTCCACAACGTTCGGGGGAGGAGCCGGAGCAACAACGATCTGGTGTGACATTGGTTATAAAGCCGCCCCAAAAATCACAATAAACAAACCGGAGTATTGTCTTTGTCTCCATTGAGGATCCACACTTCGTTGACGTTCATGATATGGATTCTATAGATAAACGAGACGAATGAATTCTCATTATCAACAACAATAATCATACCCACAGATAGTTCCTATCATTAGGCTGGCCACTCTCGGTGGAGAGCTGTAGCTCCTGAGGCTCGGAGCTGCCTACGACATCACCATTCTATCATTCCCGCCGTTAGCGGACTCTCATATATCAATATCAGATAGACAAACCTTTTCATCGATGACAAGATACTTGTTCCTTGCTTTATCATGAAGAGTTACGAGGCCCAAAACTTCGTTTTTGACAGAGACCTCGATCTATGAGGATTGATGAGCATAGGACCTACGCCAATGATGCAACGCGTACGGTATCACCGTGATCCGAGCCAACAACAGTATGGTCTTGTTTCATGTGAACAAACCTGTCTTTATGCAGAAAATTCTGGATCTTGTAACTGCCTGAAGAAGGAGGTGCCATTGTGTGAGATGTATTGATGGTTGATTTTGTCGAGTATTGAGTGGGTGATAGAAATCAATGGCAGGATATGTTGCAAGCTTTATACCTGCCTGAAGGCTCCATTAGTACGTTCCAGATGCTGATGTCGACATCATCCTTCGTCTGAGTCTCGGTCTTGAGTGACGACTCACTTGGCTTCTAGAATACCATGCACCGATTCTATTTGAGCTTTTTTTCATTAGAGCGCAAGTGTCATTAGGGGTATGTTCATTATTGACCTAGTCTTTTGACCTAGTCCCATATTTTTGATCGCCCTTCTTACCCCACAATCTCCATGAGGTTATGGGCACAGAGTGTCAGAGGTCATGTGACGTTTTGCATCCAGGCTGTCATGAACCGAACACTCTGCAGCGGTTGCTCAGGATAAAAAAAAGGAGCCTGACCGCAAGATACAATTCCGAGTCAGTGACGCGTTTGTCGTTTTCAGAATTTCAGAAATGATCCTGATCGTAACCTGCAGCGTTATTATACGAGGTTTGCGATGGAGAAACATCACGATTCGAACAATCTTTCCATCGAGGACGTACTAGGCTTATAGATCGACGACAACTAGCCGGGAAGATGGGCCTCTGGCAAAGTCACGGAACATCGGAGTGATAGTGTAAGATTCCTATAAGACGGTCAGGATTGGCGGGGCAAGAGGGGTGCGTCCCTATGTTTCCGTGTTGGTTCTAGCTTCGAGCCTGAGGTTCAGGTCGTAAAAGTGGAGCCGATGCAACCAGACTCGGACATAGTAAGACCCGTGAATATCCAATTACTGACATGTATGGACGAGACCAGCCGATAGTACAGTCCCAGCGACAAAGATCTTGCGGCCTGGATGCAAATGATATCAGACTTTGACTGCGGCCAGTATGTGGTATATTTGCACAAACTTGTTCGGAAGCAGCCTGCCTGGGATCCCTTGTATACTTTTTCATACTCGCCGTGTTTCCATAAGTATTGATTTGGACGCTATGTGATGAGCTCCCAGTGAGCGCTAGTGAGCCTTCAAACAATAGCGCCCGGCACCAGCGATGCCCCCTTTTCAGCATACGGCGGACAACTGGCGTAGACGTCGTGACTCATGACTTGTCGATTGTCAATACAATTTTGGTACGCGAGCTTGACTCATTTTCAAATTTGTTTTCGCACTCCAATATATGATAATCTGAATTATTTCCAAGTGAGCAATTCGATGAAGAGTAGGAATGAAGTACTTACACTGTGGCTTCGTTCTTCAGCTTCAGCGCTCAGCTATGGTCGGCATCATGACAGTATATGTAAATTGGACGTAACCTGTGACAGGGTCATATAGTCACATCAGTCTGTTTTGCCATCAGGCCAGTCTTGGACTGAAGTACTACTCAACAAAAAAGCTCGCGAGCAGGTCGTCTGTTAAAACTTTAAACTTACGAGCTTCAATAAATGGCTTTGCTATCTTCATTCCCAGAGGAGCTCCTTGCTCGGATACTTGCATATTGTGTAACTCCTCCCCAAGTATTTCCGGTTCGTCCACCTTGGCACACCCAACCAGTATCCTTTCCATGTTCCTCACTCTTAGCTCATCCGACACCCTACACCAGTACCCGTGCCCGATTGTCACCCTTGCTTGTTTCCCGGCAGTTCCTCCGTATCGGGACTCCCATATATTATCAGACCCTTCACCTTCCGACCGCTGCTCATGCCGCCCGCGTACTCGAGACGCTTATCGCCCAGCCGGTTCTTGCTGGTGCAGTACGTCGTGTGGTGCTAGGCTGCATATCGCTGGAGGGCGCTCGTGTACTTCGGGCGTGTGAGAGGATCGAAGATGTGGATATTTGTATGGATGTTTATGAAGCCAATCCTCAGGGAGATGCAGCAGAAGATCACGATGCCCAAGCCCTATGCGACGCACTAGACCGAATAGACTTGAAGCATCTTACCATTCGCAGAGCTTCAGATGCATACCTCACACTCACCCGCCCGAAATACCTTCTTGAGCGCATTGCAAAGGCTGTACCCGGCTGGATTAACCTTGTATGATTCTCTACTTTTCGTATCAGTCACTACATACTGATTTGTGATGTTCTCAGGAGTCCGTTCACTACGCACTTAAAATCGGTTCAACACCAGTCACCAGGCTTTTGGCTGAGGTTCTGAGCCATGCCCCCAAACTACGCAGTCTTAAAGCACAACTACCAGCCATTTGGAATGACTTGTTCCTCACCATCTCCAAAAACCCGACTCTCGAACAAATCGCATTGTATGTGGAAGGCGTAGATGGGATTTTGCATACGACCATGTACATGATGGAGGCTAAGAAACACGCTCACTTGAGCGAACTCATTAAGTTTGGAACGTAAGCGCTGTCGTACTCGTCCTTGTACCTAAGTATATATCGATTTACAGGTCATTTATCCGAACGAGGGCACATACCACTGTTGCCGCATTGTCGAGTCCACCGTCAACAAGACCATCGACTCCTCTGAGCGCCAGCAGAGTGAAGGAGGTAGCTACCGAGCTCATGACTCCTGGGCTGAGCCAAAACGTGCTTCTCCCTGTGGCCGGAAGCTCCCATGTATCATAATCGCTTCCTACCACATATTTCGCATCGGGTATCATCTCTCACAAGTAATTGGTTCCCAATATATTACGAAAGCGGGTGACTCCCATCACAGCACATATTCCCCGCGCATTTATGACAATAATGATCTCTGTAACGCCCTCACGCCTATATGGACTTCTTTTTTGATATGACACGTTCTCCTTTATTTTCACCGATACATATTCCTCACGGCTACGTAAAGGCAGAGTGATTCTTGTCGCGCAAGCGTAGTTGGTTTGGTACTTCTACACTTGCACGCTCGTTCTTGTTCTTGTTCATAACACGCTTAAATAGCGCGGGGTCAATGCGATGCCCAAGACGGGCGAGAGCAGTGATGTCTGGCATGGGAAGTGAATGTGTAGAATGACGGTAAAAATTGCAGGGCGATTTATCCTTCTGCCCCAAGGTCACGTCGATCAGAACAGAAGCCTGTAGGCATCGCTCATCGTATAGATGTGTTGTATGGACTCCTTTTTTCAGCCTGGGATGGCAAACACGCCAAATGCCGTCGAATATCTGAGGAACAAACACAATGCTGGCCATGAAGCATGCAATTGACCACTGATCATCCGTGGTCGTTTAAAAGTTCTATTTCGTAGTTTTCCTTGACAATGAATGAGTCAAACGTGCACTGCCCAATCATGACCTTTTTCCACCATAAGGGCGAGCAGATCACACAGAGCCACCTGAGATCCGGTGCAAATCACAGACTGGTACGTTGCGAGGGGTCAGAATTGTTTATGTTGGCTTCTTGTACTATCTGTGCTCAGGGGAACATTACAATGAGCAAGCTATGTGGCTGTAACGATCTTCAGGGGTGTGATCATCGATGTATTAGAGAAAAGCTTCATCATCTTGGCCGTAGCGGGGAGGGGGGTCGAATTCATCATCACCACATTCTATCAGTAATAGAGAATACGATTCGAGAGCTCTTCAACCCGTCCAGCATCTCTCCAAATACCTGCCGATAGATCATAGATTTTTTGCAACTGGATAGAGTCATCAGCAGCAACCGTTGCTCTGACCTCCGACACCCACCGAGGATGGCTGTGAGTACATTCCCATTTTATCATCGTAAAGTTCGTTTTAACAGATTGTCAATGCCTCAAAAACGGTGCTGGCCAGCACAGCCTGAGGGCCGTACCACAATGATAGCATCAAACAGACTGGGACCATCACCCAGCGCATATCAGCTGCGGTGTCGACATAAATGCGATCAGCACAGATAATGCGAATATGGTCTGAAAGGTGTGATTGAACAGGGGTGTTGAGAGTCAACGACGCCATCGCTATCGTCGTTCTTCCTTTTCTGGTCTTTGGTATCTCGGACTCTGTACTACAGTTATAAGCTCGCATTTTTCTTTTCCCTCATACCTCAGCGGTTCTCTTAACGACGCTGAGGTATGTCTCATGTACTGTTTGCACGCCGTCTTGTTCTTACTATGATTTCATCTGTAGACTCGTCTTATAGGTATTGTTAATATACAGTGGTTCTCTTAACGACGCTGAGACTCGTCTTATAGCTCCACTGTTAACAGGTTATGAGCCCTGACTCATAGTCATCAAACGGAACTACAAGACTTTTCACTTGCGTTTATTCACTGCTCACACATCCAACTTCATCCTTGTCCATCAGGAAAACCCTCCCCCAGGAAATTACTCTAAACTATGATAATTCTCGGTAATCCTCTCGAATTATGTCAAATTATGGGCTTTAGAATGATTAGTTAGTTTAGAAAGACTTTTTTACTCCCTTGAATATAAAGGATAATTATCATGAATTCAAAGGCAATATCGAGAAATTCAGAGAATATATTTCGAATGTAGCATAGCGAATTGCGCACATTAGATGGTATTACGAGCAAAAAAGACTAATATTTGATCAAAGGATATACATAACACAGCCAACTTGGAAGACTAGGCAAATTAAGGTGTGATACACAAATCTGGGATGTTTACAGGTATAGATAGCATGAATACAGGACCTAATCATCTGCCATTCCATCCAGGTCGAGTAGCCTAGTGATGCGGAGGTTCGGTTCTGAACCACGGTTTGAACCGGACCTTCTGTGGACTGGACCACGGTCCAGTTCAACGTTCAGAGTATAGGCTGAACTGGATCGATGGTCCAGTCCAGCGTTCAGCATTCCTTGAACGCGTTGAATGCGTCCGAACCTTTTTGAACTGCTTCCATTTAAGGCTACTCACACATACGAGATGACATCACCCACACACGCAATACACTGAACATGACATGATTACTCGCGACTTTTTCGCTTGGAATCCGATTCACAAGGACCATGCCACACTGGCAAGGTCCGTGAAGGTTTGTTTGCCTACCACTAACCCAAACATCACAAAGGAAGAACCTGATAAGGTATGGAGACTTTGGTTAATTTGGTTTAGTGCTAATGTATTTGTTAACAGGTCGTTTTTTTTCTAGGGTAGCTACATGAATTGTTCGGCACTCATGAACTCGATGGAAGTTAAAATGGATCAAATTCAAGGTAAGCTCAACTCTCTTCAAGCTTTCCCCCTCACAACATGGCTGACCAGTGTGGTCTGGGTGCAGATGGAACTCTCCTCGACGCCAGTCAAATCTGATGGTACAACTATCCCGACGACGATACTCCACTGCCTGTGCTTCCCGCTCAGGCACGTCGCTCGACTCGTATCCCACACCCTGCACCCAAGCTTGTTGACCCCAACAACGCTGTCTTGCGCAAACACAAGGCTAGCAGGTCAGTGGTCACGAGTGAGGGCTCTGAGGAGGAAAGTGACTGTGAAGGAGACCAGGATAACGGGGTAACTACGGATGCAGCTACTGACATGGATCATGAGACAGATATCGACGGCATCACCCCCTCCGAGTCTGCTTCACAGTAGTGTACCAGTACTCCTTACTACTAGCTATAGTACAATCGAGTATATTTACAATGCGTTCGATGTTCGAACGCTGAACCAGACGTGAACCAGATGCCATGAACGCATTCATGGCGTCCGGTTCAGCGTTCAGCAAAACGATTGAACCAGATGTGAGGTCCGGTTCAGCATTCGCAAAATTTGTTGCTGAACCGGACCAAACCGGACTTCCGCAACACTAGAGTAGCCCCAGTGCATCTTGATGCTCATTAACGAAATGATCATTCCCCTTCCGTTTCAAGGTCCTTCAAGTAGCAGAGTCAGTATCCGAGTTGAAATGGCACCATGAATACCTGTAAAACTTACTGTACAGCTTCGTAAATATCAGCCATCATGCAATGAAACTCTCCCGGTGCATCCCGCTTCAAGTCCTCGAGGAAATTGACATGAAACACATACGTCTCACTGAATTGATTCCCTGTAAAGTTAAACTTCCCTGGTGAGCTGAGTGTCTTCCAGAAAAGGGCTGCATAGACCTGTAAAACGAATCAATATAGCACAGAGATTGGTAGAAAGGATGGTACCGCTGTTGCCACAAGTGCGAGTAACAGAATGGGGCATTCAGGACGATTGCCCTTGTTGTTCGCCAGTTTGGCAAAGTGCTCGATCAACTTGATGCCAATAGACTTTGCACCACTGAAGACTGCCTCATATATGAGAAAGATCAGCAGGTCACCCTGGTAGGGTTTTTTGCCTATGGGTGAAGCATTGTCGTTCAACTGTTGATGAAGAATGTTAGTCAGAGGCTAGTAGCGAGACCAGAGGACAAATTTACTTACATCAAACTTCAATGCATAGATATATGCATGCTGCTCCATCAATTTCTTTGCCTTGACCACATTATTGCTGAGCCGAAAGTAAGTATCAATGTTGGTGCATGCGGCAACTTTAAGGTCACGGCACAATAACGGAATGCGTGGCTCCACCTCAAGTAATGAAAGATAGTTAAAACATAAGAAAAATTGAGACACGCAAAGGGCTTACTAAACTAGTGAGGTGAGCAGCATACTGTGCATCGGTTCGAAGACAATCTTTAATGGCATGTACACCGCGATTCCTAGCCACTGTTAGTAGAGACTGCAGTGCAACTTGGTTTTTGTCAACTAGCTCAGGATAAGCATCGACAAAGATGATGTAACCTTTGGCATCAATAATCGCATCTCGCACTACTTGCCGAGTCTCGTTATTTTGATCAAGTAATTTGACGTGTCCTTTCTCCGTTCGAACGAGAGCAGCAATGCCAGTCTGAACCGATCGAGTCAGTGCAGAGTTGGGTTCCAGAGCACGAAGTTCAACATCGCTAGAGTAAGGCTCAGAGGAGTCGCCGTGACAAGCAGTAGTGGTTCCATCAGTGGACTCGGTGTTGTCAAAATCGCGCCAGGTTGGAATCTAAAGATTGTGTCAATTCTAGTATGCAGCTGCCTGAGTGAAGTTCAATATATATATACTCACCTCTGCAGCTTGTTTGGCATCATGGGCAGACTGGGTTTTTTCATGAGATTTAACTTGCTTTGACTTCAAGTTGACTTTAACGTTGCTGACAAGCGAAGGGACCTTGAGACACGCCGTCACTGCGGTGAGTACAGCTGATACTGAAGTAAACAATCACTCACCTCGTCAGAGAGCATCATGGCAGTTGACTCCAGATCCTCAGGCTCGCCCTCACTCTCCTCACGGTCAGCGTCAGAATCAATGCCGTTTTCCTCCTCCTGATCCAAGTCTTCATCAGACTCGAATAACGCAGAGACATCACACATGGCATATGTGCGACAGAGTTTGCGAGGACGACCATAAACGGCTGTCACATGTACATGGTCATGTGAGTAGTAAGTTGCACCATCACCATCATGACTAACCTTGAGCTTGAGGCTTATCAGGTTCCAAGTCCGCACTGCCATCAGAATCATCGCCATCCTCCTCCTCATCTTCGGTAACACTATCAGTATGTTTGTGCTCTGCCACTAAGGTTAGTACTGATGTCTATGTTTCATTATAGACTCTTTGTGACTCACTCAGTTTCAAAGGTACTAAACTCTTGTGAGTGGTCGGATCTGCTTTTGTGCGTGGCACATTAACTGATTCAAGGTGAGTAGTTGGCTTATATAGCTTTAAACCAAGGTCACCAATGCTGGTCTTTTTCGCTTTGACTTGTTTAGGCTTGGCAACAGCTGGTGATGGGTCTGGAGACACTTCAAGTTGACGAGCGACTTTCCTTGCCGACTTAGGAGGCATCCATACTCAAGTTGGAGGTGAGTATCAATTTTTCTGTGAAGACTCGCATGCTTACCTGCATTTTCCATAGCCTTTTTCTTTGCATTTCACGGCTCTATGGACACCCAGTGAGCCTATGCTGATGGTGAGCTATCAGCGGCATGGACTCGTCACTCACCACGATACTGAATAGGTGCGGACATTGTATATAGATTGAAAGGTGTGACAACAAGCTAACAAAGAACATTAGAAGGAATGGTCAAGGTCAAAGTGCAAGAAAAAAGAGTCGAGCCTCAGACTTGGAGGGTTCTGTGAAATTTTAGTGCATGGCCCTAGTTTCAAGGGGCGTCGCCCATGGAGGCAGTTGAAATGGTGCAGGTGCCCCAGAAGTTTTTGCTCCCTTGAAATTTTCAAGTTCGCCTGCCAAACCTGTTCATAGCTCCCCTGTTAAACCGAAACTGGTTCCTTCCAGATGATCATTGCGCACTCAAGGTATATTATCTTATGAGGTGTATCATTGATCGGGGGCTGATCCACATCCTCTACTCTAGTTCTGTTGACCCTTTCGTGAGGTGTATCGTTGATCGGGTGCTTCACACTCACACTCAAGGCCAGGCCCTTATCTCCAAGATCGCAGCAACATAGCTATGTCCACTCAATGCCCTGCTTGTTCCTGTGACGATTTCACGGTAACTGGTCTCAGTCAACATCTTGCCAAGAGCCGCAACCCACATTGTCAAGCACTGTACCATCAGTCGCGCTCCCAAGTACATACCAGGGACCAACAAGATGAGCCTGACGAGCCGACTGCAGAAGACGAGCCTGGGTATGAGGTTGACAAGCCTAGGGATGAGGGTGATGAGGCTGGGGATGAGGATGATGATGAGGGGTGGAATCTCGAACCTGAATGGGAGCCTCCCATTGAAGATCAAGTCGAGGACGTGACCATGAATGCCATTGAGGATTTGGCCGATGAAGATGAAGCTGGCTGGGAAGATCAACGCCGTGCTCACCAGGATATTCAAGCACGTGCGCAAGGGCAGCGTGGTTGTGTGGTGGTGCCCTACCCAGATGTGCATGCTGGCCAGCAAATAACGCGCGGTTGTGCTGCAAATGCAGAATACAAGGTGCATCTGGCCAATGAGGAGGAGAATTTGTATCACCCTTTTGCATCCAAGATTGTTACAATAACATTTACTCCTATTTTCATTTTTCTTTACTCGTAACCATGCTGCCGACTCTAGACACGTCTAGACCCGGCTATTCTCTTATCAAGCGGGCTGTCCGCACTTCTCTTCTTTCTTGATTGTAACATAGATACTATCTTGCGCCGCATGGCGGTTTCACCTATCTTTACTATCTTGATAGGTTGTACTCTTTTCCTATCTCTGTTACCTTTCTTGTCGCGGCAACTCCGCTCCATTTTACCTATATAAACCCCATGTACCATAGAGGTATTCCTTAACTTAATCTACTGGGTTTTCCCCTTGAAACCTGATCTACAAGGTCTCCACCCTTGTAGCCTGAACTCTGATTCTAAGACAGTCACTCACTGTCTTAGCCTGAACCCTTGACTGCGGTAGAAGTGCTAAAACCACTCACCGCCTAGGCAGAAGTGCTAAAACCACTCACCGCTGATCCTGCATAGAAGCCACGGCTCAGTGCAGTAGGAACCACCAGAAACCTTCCTTGTATTAGGAAGGCCGACGAACTGTTCGCCCGACAGGTCTATCTTGACCGGCAACAGCAGAACTATCCCAGTCAGTAACAAAGATGGAATGGGAGGTCGCCAGATGGGCCAAGCTTCGTGGTCTGAGTTCAACAGAATTGTCAGACTTGCTTGCAATCGAGGGGGTGAGTTGGATACCATTTGTTCTGAAAGTCGTTGTACTAACTAATGTTTTTGATTCTCAGGTCAGTGAACGCTTATCACTCTCATTCAAGAATGCGAATGAGTTGAATGCTATTGTCGACCATGGGCTTCCAACCGGCCGTCCTAAGTTCAAATGCGAGCAGGATCGTGGTTGCTGGAGAAGCGTTTGACATCTACCATCGTGATGTCATCGAGTGTGTCAAGTCGTTGTATGGTGATCCGGACTTCGCCAAATATCTAGCATTTGCACCTGAGCGACATTATTCTGATAAAGACGAGAATTCGTCTCTTTCATGATATGCACACCGGAAAATGGTGGTGGGATACACAGGTACAAATAACTGATTATGTCTGTATGAGATATGATACTTACAATACTTGAGAAAAAACTTGACCAGCACAGTCCAGGCGGCACCATCATTCCCATCATTATCTCAGTCCGACAAAACACAAGTCACATTGTTCCGCAACAAGTCCGTCTATCCTGTGTATCTCACCATTGGCAACATCCCGAAGGAAATCCGACGCAAGCCTTCGCGTGGGGCACACATACTTCTAGCTTATTTGCCTTGTACACGCCTTCAGCATATCACCAACAAAGCTTCACACCACCGAACTTTGGCAAACCTTTATCATGCATGCTTGGGTCGTGTTCTTGCTCCGCTGAAATCCATAGGAGTAGATGGACTTCATATGGCTAGTGGGGATGGTGCCCTTCGCCATTGCCACCCGTTATTTGCCAGCTTTGTTGGTGACTACCCAGAACAGCTTCTTGTGACTGGGATCAAGTTCAGAGAATGTCCAAAATGCGATGTGGACGCGGACGACACGGGTAGCAACACGGCTCCTTTTCATCTACAAAATCTAACCAAGGTGCTAGACGCCCTCGCTGCCCTCAACGAAGGGAATCTATCATTTGTACGTGCTTGCACGGCAGCAGGCATCAAGCCCATTGTCCATCCTTTCTGGGAAGATCTCCCTTTCACCAATATATTCTGTGCAATCACACCAGACATGTTACATCAATTATATCAAGGCTTGATAAAGCATCTCTTGGGTTGGTTATCAGCCGCTTGTGGAGGAGCCAAAATTGACGCTTGGTGTCGCCATCTTCCTCCCAATCACCATATATATTTGTTCAGCAAGGGTATCACCTGCTTGTCGCGTATAAGCGGAACTGAACATGCTCAAATCTGCCGTTTTCTCCTTGGCATCATCATTGGCATCCGTTTGCCCAATAATCTAAATGCGGGCCGTCTTCTACGAGCAGTGCAAGGCCTACTGGACTTCCTCTATCTTGCTCAATATCCATGTCATAGCTCGGAGTTGCTACAGCTGCTGGATGATGCACTTGATCTTTTCCACAAGAATAAGGATATCTTCATCGACCTCGGTATCCGTTCGAATTTCAATTTACCTAAACTTCATGCCACTCGCCACTATTCTGCCATGATTATGATGTTTGGTACGACGGACAACTATAATACTGAGTACACCGAATGACTTCACATCGATTTCACGAAGGACGCTTACCACGCTACAAATCACAAAGATGAATTTGTGCAGATGATGTGGTGGCTCGAGCACAAGGAGAAGATTATGCGCCATGACAAGTATGTCAACTGGTGATGTGCTGGTGTCGAAGAGACTATGCCTTACCATTCGCGCCCCCCCCGATATGACTTTTTGTCGGCTTCAATCAGTGTCAAAGCACCCTACTGCAAAGGCTGTCAGTATAGACAAGCTCATTGAAGATTACAATGCTACCTATTTCCATGAAGCGCTTGCACGCTATATCACACAACTCAACCATGCTAATGATCCTATCCCCCCTCCGTAGTCAAACACTGGATGTGTTAGCGCAGGATGTCCATTTCCCATTCCGAACTCTCCCCGTTTTTCACAGGGTAAAGTGGCTCTCAGTAGACGCTCGTGGTCACGGTGACGCAACAGCCACGTTGGACTCTGTACATGCCAGACCACAACAGAGTTCAGGTTCGAGTCTGCGCCCTCGCCGTTCAGATACTGCTCTGGTAAGCATTTGTGGGAATCCAGATGTTGTTAGTATAGAAGGTATGTTTCGCCACCACTATTTGCTAAGGATGGAGTCACTCACAATCATCTGAATCTAGGAGTCCGCGTTGGGCAAGTGCGAGTCATTTTCTCATTACCTTCAAAATCAGTTCCACTCCTGTTTCCACCAACAGTCAAGGTTCCCACTCACTTCGCTTACATTGAATGGTTTGAACCATTCACTTCGGCTCCCAATCAACATCATGGACTTTACAAGCTCTCACGATCATTGCGCGGTGGTGAAAAAGTAGCAAGTATCATGCCATTGGCAAATATTGTGCGTAGTGTCCATCTGATGCCAAATTTTGGAGCCGTCGTCCCACGAGAGTGGATGAGTGACACAGTTCTCGATAATTGTAATACTTTTTGGTTGAACTCATACATAGATAGATATACTTTTTCTTTATTCAAATGATTATTAAAAATCTCATTGTGCTTTATCGTCTTTCAGCTGGTTTTATCTTAATACTTGTAATTACATAGAATTTTCTGAATTACATTGTTTTATCAAATTTATGTGTTTTTTCCTCCGGGAGGTTTTTCCTGATGTCTACCTTCACGGCAGTATCGCTATGGGTAAATACAATCATATTCCTGAGTTATTGGGCACGGAAAACTATGTCGGCTGGTCCACAAAGATGCAATACGCGCTTGCGTGTGAAGATCTGTGGTGCCATGTCAACACAAATCCCGACCCAACAGATATACTTGGAGCACCATCTTTCAAACCTGTCCCTGTCGATCCCAACAATGTCACACCTAGTGATGTTCCAGCCCGGCTTAGGCTCGGCTTCGAAGGGCTTAGGCTCACAAAAATTCAGAGCCTAGGCCATGAGCCCAAGCCAGCCCAAAGCCGGGGCTTAAGCCCAACCAGGCTGCAGCTTTTCGCAGCCAACAGACAGCTCAAGACCACTGTGGCATTAGGCAGCATAATTACAATATATCTAGTAAATGGCAGTGCTGCCTTCTCCGCATGTTGAAGAAGGGCCGCCGTAGGTTTGGTTTTGCGTACAGGATGCGCAACACGGTGCTCGGTTTCTGTGCTCATCATAGGTAGGTAGCAGGTAGTTGGGATATTAGAGGGACACGTACCAACATAAATCAATTGAAAGATATTGGGTGGACAATCACACTTGCGAAGGTGAAGCACATAAGGCTTCAAAATTACCAAAAATATTGGCTTGTGCAGTTGAGATCTAGTTTGCCGACGGCGGAGTGAGTTATGTCGAGCTCACAAAGCACAAGACATAGCGCTGGCAGCTCACCATGGCTTTTGCGTAGCAACACACAAGAGAAAAGGCATCAAAGGAGGGTAAATTGCTGGATATGTTGGACAGAGTAGGCTTTTCGACTGCAATGTGAGTAACATCGACCAACCGAAGCACAAATAAGACATGGCAACTCACTGCGACATATGGACCATCGAAGCTGATAAGAGTGATGGAAGTCAGAAGGTCGAAAAGACAAAAATAGAGTCGGAAAATGTACCTCCGGTGAGGCTTCTATGGCAGTGCCACTGAACATGCCTAAGCCACGGCTTAGGCTGCCGGCTCAGGCTTTTCGAAATTCAAGCCCAGGCCCAAGCCTTTCTCAGGCTGTGACTTAGGCCTAGGCTGGGCCCGGCTTATTTGGGCCCGGCTTGGGCCTCAAGCCGAGCCATGCACATCACTAGTCACACCCGCCGAAGTGGCGGCAATACAGGAATGGCTATTGAATGATATGAAAGCTAAGGACCTCATTACTCGTCACCTCAGTCCATCTGTTGGAGCACTGGTATCACGTGCACACACTGTCTCGTCTCCTGATGCTTGGAAAACTCTTGCTGAGCATTTTAATCGCACTGACACCAGTGCTCAGTATCAACTACAGCAACGACTAGATGCATTACGAATGAAAGATTCTGCCGATGCCACCCACTATGTCAGTCAGCATGCAGTATTTCGTGAACGCCTCAGAGATTCGGGGGCAGCTATGCGTGATGGAGACACTATTTACAGTCTTCTCATTGGCCTTCCTCAGACCCCCATATGGCAACAGTTCCGGTCAATGTTAGAGCAGCGAATGCACGACGAGGTGATGACAGCATTACCTGGTGCTGCATCTACTTTCACTGTTGATAGCTGCGTATCTCGCATCACAGCCAAAGCTGCCCGTCATGTGCACTTGCAGTTGATTCACTCTGCTCGACCAGGATCTGAATATGCCAATGCGGCCACTTCCTCTACTACACCTGCATCAAATGTCAATGCTATCACAGGTCTTCGTAAGCACAAACACAATCCTGACGGTATTTTCTGCACTACGCCTGGATGTAATAAAGGCGATCACGACCATGCTCACTGTTACAGAAAAGGGGGTGGCATGGAAGGTCAGGCGCCATGGATGCACAATAAGAAGACCGGTTCTAAGGAGACCACAGCAGTTGCCGCAGCGACGACGACCACAACAATAACAGGTCCACCTGTACAATCAACACCTATCGTTGCTGCAGCTGTTGCAGATTTGAGTAGTCTCATGCAGGACCTGTCGTTTGCATCAATTGCAGAAATTCCTAACAAGATCGCATGCCCAGCGAATCTCCCTTTCACGACTATATTGGACTCTGGCACGACAGTCACCCTGGTCAGAGATCGTTGCTTCTTTCACACGTACTCTACGGAGAATCCTGTCGATGTACTCACCGCCAATCATGGCATTCTCCGGACAACCGGACGCGGAAACTGTGTTGCATGGTTTACGATCGGTCAGCGTTGTCTGCACATCCGTCTTACAAACTGTCTGCACGCACCAGGGGCACTTTTAAACCTGCTTTCTGTCAGTTGCATGAATACTAAGGGTTGGGATGTGAATTTCTGTGCGAACATGACGTGCGAGCTTGCTTACAAGGGATCTGCTCTCGGATTCATCCCTGCCACGGGTAAACTGTATGCGCCTGACCTTGAATTCATCCCTTTCGAACCTCCTAGAGCTTTAGCTGTCATTCCAGAGGTTTCAGCATTTGTCGATGTTCCACTGTCACTCGACTTGTGGCATGCTCGCATCGGACATATAGGCCAAGATGCTGTCTTACGTCTGGATCGGGTTGCCAAAGGCGTCACGGTTCAATCCTCGACCCCACTCTCCCATTGTGAATCATGCATCCTTGCAAAGCATCCATGGCAGCCCTACCACTTGTCAGAAACCGAACGTGCTAGAACTTTCCTTGAGTTGATCCATAGTGACATATGCGGGCCGATACCCACCACCACCCCACACAGCAAACATTATTTCATTGTTTTCCTCGACAATCATACCCACGTGTTGGATCTTCAGCTTCTAGCTTTGAAAGATCAAGCTCTCGATGCTTGGCGCACACTACGTGCCCGATGGGAAAATCTCAGTGGAAAACGTGTCAAAACCTTCCGTTCTGACAACGGGGGGGAATTTCTGAATAGTGCATTCAGTGCCGACTTGGAGGAGACTGGTGTCCAGCATCAACGCTCTGCTCCCTATGCTCATCAGCAGAACAGGAAGGCAGAGAGGGTGATACGTACGATTGAAGGTCGTATGTATGCGATGCTGGACTTTGCTCGTCTTCCTCCTAGTCTGTGGGGAGAAGCAGCACTCACGGCGTGCTACTTGTTCAATTGAACTGAATCGCGTGCCTTGCCTGCTGGGAAAACGCCTTACGAGATGCTGCACAAAGTTCAACCCAACCTCTCTCACCTCCGCATTTTTGGAGCACATTGTTTTGCTTGCATTCCTCCAGAACTTCAGGAGAAGCTTGGACCCCGCTCGTGTAAGGCGATATTTATGGGGTATCCACCCGGAGTGAAGGCATGGCGATGCAGGGACATTGTCACTGGTGCATTCTTCAATTCCCGCGACGTCATCTTCGATGAAGCACTGTCTAACTGTCCTTTTCCTGACAGTGATGACGAAGATGACATACCAGCATCAGCACCTCCTCCCCCCGCTGGTATTCCTGCACATCCTGCACATCCTGCCACTGAACCTCCTCATGCAGAGGTCATCTGCCATTCATCACGAATCCCACTCCCTACAGGGAAAGGTTAGCTCTTTAAAAACAAGATCATTGCTGACAGGACACGTCTTGCTTGTCAGTGCGAGATCCGTGCTGCAAAGCTTAATGGCACACCTCCTCCCTCCTCTGCTGATGATGACATTCCAGCAGTGCCCATCGTCAATGAACCCACCAGGATGCCAGATCTGCCTGCACCTGCTGACATTGATCCAGATACCATCGCCGTGGACGACGACGAAGTCGGGTTCCCTCAAGTCTTAGCAAACCTCATCGCGGTCGAAGTGGCGTCACTCTCTGTGAGAAGTGACACTCGCAGAAATCCACTGGTGCCAGGCTACAATCTGAAGATTCCACCTGCGACGTTTGAGGAGGCAGTACGACAACCAGACAGTGATCACTGGTTGGCAGCAATGAGGAAAGAGATGAACCTGATGTCGGAAATGAGCGTATATAAGCTCGTACCTTTACCAGCCGACTGTCGGGCCATAGGCTGCCATTGGGTACTCGAATTCAAGGAGGACTTGAAAGGGGGACCAGTCTTCAAGGCACGCTTGGTGGCCCAGGGTTTCTCCCAAATCCCTGGGGTTGACTTCGGAAGGACCTTCGCACCAGTAGCAAAATCTGGAACAATTCGGGTGATCGCAGCTCATGCTGTCACTAATGACTGGGAGCTGGACTGTTTCGATGTGAAACGGGCATTCCTCTGGGGAAAGCTCCAGGAGGACGTCTACATGCGCCAACCCCCCGGTTTTGAACGCCTCAGTCCCGACGGATCTCGACTCGTCGCACACCTACTATCCTCCCTGTATGGGCTCAAGCAAGCAGCATACAACTGGTACGAGCTTTTGCGAGAAGTTCTTACTCACCTTGGGTTCCTGCATTGTGAGGCCGACTACGCCGTTTTCATTTTTGATCACGTCAACGGCGAAGGGGTAAGGGTGATATGCATCATAGCATGGCATGTCGACGATGGTCTTGCAGGCTCGGAAAATCGAGGATTCCTGGATCGCATGAAGGCACAGATTGCCCAACACTTTGGCATCACTGATCTCGGTCCTGTGACAAAATACCTCGGCATTCAGTTCATACACGATCACAAAACGCGTGAGCTATGGATGCACCAAGAGGACTACATCACATACCTACTCGACGAGCACGGACTGACCAATTGTAACACTGTGTCACTGCCAATGGACCCAAACTTCCCTTTTGGACGCCCAACTGACATATTTCCTCATGTCGATGATCTACAAACCGAATACCACAAGCTCGTCAGAGAACTCCTATATCTGGCCATGTATACACGCCCGGACATTGCGCTCACGGTCATGCATTTAGCTCAGTTCAACGTGTGCGCCGAACCCAAGCACTATGATGCAGCTAAACATGTTTTACGCTACCTGGCCGGGACGATCAATATGTGCACGCACTATGGGGGTGCTGGGATAAACTCGAACCTTCATGGATTCTCAGACTCAGATTGGGCCTCATGCCCCGAGGATCACATATCCATTTCAGGCTATGTCTGGTTCTATAACGGTGGACTGGTCTCACATTCCGCGAAGAAACAAACAACCCAAGCACTCTCGTCTACTGAAGCAGAATATATGGCACTTACTGGGGCTATCCAGGATGGACTATGGCTTCAGTCGCTCTTCCGCTCCCTCAGCCTTCCTTTATCCCTGCCAATGCAACTTTTTGCCGACAACACAGGAGCTATCGCCCTATCGAAAGAAGCCACGAATCATGTTCGAACAAAACACATAGATCTACGTTACCACTTCATCAGATGTCACATCGAGGCCCACATGTTCCTGCCCATCCGGGTCTCTACTCACAAAAACACAGCAGATATCTTTACCAAAGTCTTGCCTCGCCCCGCGTTCATTCATCATCGTGATGGGCTGTCTCTTGTTTCTGAAGCGCTGACTCGTTGAGGGGGTGTGTTGAGAGTCAACGACGTCATCGCTATCGTCGTTCTTCCTTTTCTGGTCTTTGGTATCTCGGACTCTGTACTACAGTTATAAGCTCGCGTTTTTCTTTTCCCTCATACCTCAGCGGTTCTCTTAACAACGCTGAGGTATGTCTCATATACTGTTTGCACACCGTCTTGTTCTTACTATGATTTCATCTGTAGACTCGTCTTATAGGTATTGTTAATATACAGCGGTTCTCTTAACGACGCTGAGACTCGTCTTATAGCTCCACTGTTAACAAGGGGGAGAGACGCACAATAGTTGATACGTACGACAGGTATCAGAGTGATTCTGATATCATTTTTTGGAAAAAAGGAAGATCGCGAGCGATGCTATCAACGCGGACAATGAGAGCTTGAGAACATTGTGAGTTTTTGAAGGCCCGGGTTGTGTGCCAGTCCATACCTTTATACATTGAATGTGTCCTTGAAAGAAATGTGAACATTCGGCTGGTGTGGCAAAAGTCCCGCCGGGAGTTTACAAGAAACTCAGAGGTTACGTCGCAGGATTTTGGGACACCAAAATCACTAGTCCCAAAGCTACGTGAGGTTATGAAATTACAACCGCCCCGTCTCCTGTTAGGGAGGATATTTGACCAACTGACTTGAACGATATCTATACAGACTCGATGGTGCATTTATGCATTCGTGAAAAGTAACTCTCGGAAGACTCCTGAACTGTCACAGCCCGGAGACAGTCCCAGAGTCTACAGAAATCACCTTTACGTACCACCGGTACTGGATAAGTGAAATAATATTAGAGGGCTCGCTGGGTAGCGTTTGACTCGCGATGCTATTCACACTATCCGACAATTGGTCAATGGGTAGTGATATCATATTGTGTTATTAACACACTCACTATCCAAGGATTGCACATACTATGCAGAGCTTGAGAGCTTGAAAGGCCACCGCTGTGCAGTACACACGAAGACTACAGATATCGAGGACCGAGGCAGTTGCTCTATAAGAAGCAATCGGTGGAGTAGACACTCAAGTCATAGTACTTGAACGATTCCATGCCACAATGATGGTCAGTAATAAAGAAATGACATTTGGCTTGAACTACCTCTACATAGGCGCGTGTTTACCGCGATTTAATTGTGAGCCTAACTACAGTTCGGATGGCACTGGCTTTAACGGACATGACCTCCTGGGACAGCGTGTTGGAAATGGCTTCCGGCGACCCCGTGGTGACTATTATGAACCGCTATTTCCAAGTCAAGGATCGGGATCCGACGGGGGTCAGCGCGATTGTATCGTGTTTGGTTGCCCTATGTAACTAATGAAAGCTGAATTATAGCAGGTGACTTATAAGAAAGAAGATACGCACCACATAATACTCTTGTCTGTCAGGAATGATCCACCAAGGTTGTTGTCCGAGGTTTCCTATAGCTAGTTTCGCGACAAACTTGTATTAGGGTCTCAGTAATCAATCAACCTGTCTACGAGGCCGCAATATGTGCAGTCACGACGGATCCAGTCTAGTCAAACATGTGAGGCGATGTGAAGAGACGTGTACCGCGGGAATTACAAGATTTCGCTTTGACTGAACGAGCAAATGAAGGATGCGTGCGCGCTGTCGCTCTCACGCAAATTTATGGTCCGTGCACTCTCAGCCCAGTATAAAACACGACTAGATAGGTTTTGAATTCTTCATACTTACCTTGATGGCATAGGCCTCTTCAAATCTCAGGCTTGTGGGCCATGGAGACCTTTCATAGCACGGCGACCTTGTCCTCAGAGGGTGTCTGCGATTTGTGTGGGCTTCGGCTCATGCACCGTTTCAATATTTTCCAGTCCCACCACGGCCACTCTGGCTGGGTGGGTGCTATTTGTTGTTGTTCTGCCGTCCTAACCCTAACCCTGATTCGCTGTATCAGGAATCTTTGTGTTTATATATAGAAAACATTAATATTCCAAATAATTTGGTAAAATTTTAGTAATTCTTGCTCATCGTCGATGGTGTGGTGAGCTCAGCGTGATAGTAATAGCTTTAAAATGCTTCAAGTTAGGCTGACCAATGTTCATGCTTTCGACTCTTCTGAAGAACGGTCATGTTGCCTTAGAGGCGTCGTACAGACTCTATTGCGAGCCTCCACTAACTTGGCGGTCATTTTGAAGGTACGTTTTTATGGATGGCAGTATCATTGATTCTACATGGTTTCTCACATTCACCAGCCACTGGAACACTGCGCTGCGAAAGAAGCCAAAGGTAAGAGTCGGATGTGAAAGTCGTTCTTGACTCCAACTAAATACTAACCCTCTTCTAAAACCAAGGCACCTCAGAACTCTGATGTGATTCCACGCCTGGGCGATCCAATGGACAAGGTCTCTATCGATCCTGTGAAAGCTGTCTTCTCAATGGTCGGGGGTTGCCAGTATTCTGATGATGGTATAGTCACTTAAGCTTCGTGAATCGTGTGAAGGTGTCCAGGTCTGCACAATCAGTAAGATTCAAACATGAGATCATATTTACTGACAGTCAGTATAACACCATCAGGACGGTCCTTGGATGGCTGATTGCAAGCGACGTATACCTGCGAGGTCCGTTGTGGAGTATGTTATCGAAGCTAGATGTGCGAGTCAAACCGACGGATCATTGCTTTCGTTTTCACGACACGTTTCACCCGAGTCCTCGGGATAGAGCTTGCTGGCGCTAACTAGATAATTAAGGTCACAATGCGAGAGGAGCAGGCGTGGGACCTATCAAGAAGTCATAGACTCTTACACAATGACAGTGGTCATTGTCAGCCGCTCCAAACGAGTAATATGTGTATACATTCGGACTACGGTGAGTGATGTATCATTCACCTACATTAGGTATTGCTGATTCATTTATTCGAAGCTCACACATTTCAATTGCAGTAAAGACCGAAAAGGGTCAAGGTTTCGTGTCGTTCTCTCGTTAGTCACTGGCTGCTAAACGAACTTCCAGCCTATTACCCGTCGGCCAATTATCACACGCCAGCACCTACTTAGCTGCGCCACCTGGCACTAATGTATCCAACAAAAGATATAAGGTCTGTCCTATCCGTTTTTCGCTTTTCCAATTAGCTATGTTACTGCTGCCTTGCCTGCCCATTTCTGACATCGTCCCTGGTGTTACGACTTGTCTTGTGGTGTCGGTAGTGATCGCGCAGGCCTATCTTCGTAGATCAAAGAATGGCCTTCTTCTCCCACCTTCCCCTCCCACTTGGAGACTTATGGGACACTTCCTTCCCCCTCGCAAGTAAGGGTCCTCATCCATCATTGTTTTTGAATGCTAACCATGTCCCATCGGTGGTAAGTCCATTTCTGACTGTAGCAGAATGGATTGGCAAGTGCGGTCCTCTTATCACGATTCGCGCAGGAACTGAGAAGATCGTTATTATCGGCCGCTACAAAGTTAGTCCTTCTACTCTGAGTTATTATAGCTAGTCTCAACATTCTGCCGTAGGCAGCAGTGGACATTATGGAGAAGCAGGGCGGAGTGTTGGCTGATCGTCCTCCCATGAATGCTGCGCAAATGATTACCGGCGAATTGGCCATCGGTCTTGCACGCATTGGGGACAGGTTCCGTCGGATGCGTAGGTTCGTAGTCTGCGTGCCGCGATAGAAAAGTCATCTGACATTGCAACATGATACAGAGCAGTTCATACCCATCTCCAGCCTAAGGCAGCCGAGGCGTATCAGCCTCTGCAGATGTCATTTGCGAAGAACACGGTCCTTAACATTCTTGATGATCCATCCAACTTCCAAAACCACGTTTTAAGGTAAGCACTTTCCTAGGTCTGGGGTATATTATTAATATTTTGAAGTTTTGCTGTGACGACGGTTTTGAAAGTGGCATATGGAAAGGATACGCCCACGTCTGCGGCTGATCCCGATGTCAGAGCGATTCATCAGTACATGGCTGTATTTCGGACAGTCCTGCGTCCTGGCGCTTACTGGGTGGATACGATCTCCTGGCTCAAATACCTTCCTTGGTACGGCAGAAAACTAAAAAGGGAGTTCGAGAGCAGCCGGAAAGTCTATTCTAGTCAAATGAACCGCTTGAAACAACAATTAGTACGCGCCTCTGATCTGCCAGTCTTCGCAAGTTATCTCAATTGTCGTACAGCAGAATACTGTGGACGTTGGTCCTTCGTTCGGGAGATATGTGCTGGAAAATGAACATCTCCTGGGCTTGTCAGAGTTGGAGGCACTTTTTCTTCCTGGCACCTTTTTTGCGGCTGGAAGCGAATCGGCGAGGCCTGGTTTTTATTTCCGACTACATGCGGCTGATACCAAGTACCAGACCGCTTCGACAATATGCACGGTGCTAATGGCAGCTGCATGTTTTCCCGAGGAGCAAGCTAAAGTTCAGGCTGAGCTTGATGAGGTCGTAGGGAGGCACCAGGGTAGGTCCGTAGTATTTTTTATTGCAGTTCTGTCGATTCAATGATTTCTCTACAAAAGCACCGACCTTCGCTGATCAAAAATCCCTTCCTCTCCTGCACGCCTTCATCTCCGAGACTTTCAGATGGAGACCGGTGACTCCTAATGGTGGGTATCTTGATCGTCGGTCCCATACCTGAAGTTTACACCATTCATACTGCAGGGTTTCCTCACCGAACAACTCAAGACGTAATTTGGGCGAGTACTCTTTGAAATATCTTTTGTGCAAATGATAATCTAACATCGGGCAGGAAAACTATTGCATCCCCGCCGGAACTACAGTACTCGGTAGCAATTGGTACTCGTCGTCCTTCAAATTGCAAAGGTCTTAACAATTACTTTGTCAGGGCCATCTCGCGAGATTCGGACGTTTACCCTGATCCTGATGTGTTCAAACCTCAGCGTTGGATGAATGATCAAGGTGGCTTGAGAGACGATCTCACATTCTTTTTCTTTGGGTTTGGTCGACGGTAGGAGTGTCGCCTTTCGGGATATATCATCTTTGATTGTCCTTCATTCCAGCGTATGCCCCGGTCAACACCTCGCGAACAGGTAAGTGTATCCTTTCATGCACATAATTGGTGCTCATTTCGAGCGGTACAGATCGGTGTGGATCAACTCGGTCCTTCTGTTCTGGGCCTTCCGGCTCACTCTAGATCCTACGAAACCGTTGGATGACATGGGATTCATGCGTGGGGAAACACCCTATGTCCCTTGCCCTATTGTGTTTACACCGAGGGTTCCAGACGCGGAGCTCAGGCACATCATGCATATTTATCCCGAGGTCAACCCGAAATGAGAGGCCTCTACGCCTGCCTGTGTCGTCGCCACTGAGGAGGAAATGAAGAATCGGAAATGAATCACCGATATCCCTCTACTTCGCAGTATGATATTCAATATTCAGCATGGTTCAAAGTTTGTGATGTGTAATCATATTTCGTTAAATACTGTTGATCTACGAGTTTTTCATTTCGGAGATTGTGTGCAGGTCTATCACACTCTTACATAGAGAGGTCGCCAGACATGTGCCTTTGAATGTTGCTATGAAATACGAAGTGATCAAACTACAAATGTTCCCACGGATGTCTGAAATTTACTTATTTTATTCTTACCTAGTTACTCGCATTACACAGGCTAGCTATAGCTTGGGTTTCACAACTCGAACTTGGCGCACGTCTGTTATGTCCCGCGTGTTCGATGAAAGGCTCGATGAAACTCAACGCGGCTTCTGATGATATTGACCGTACTGTCTAACCATACACAATTTATCATGTGTCTCAAATTGCTATCTATGCAACTACGACCTCTTGGTGCTCCCACCGGCCTGCATCAGTAGACTGGTGGAGAAATTAAAACCACATATATAACAATATATAACACCTAATCACAAGCATCAATACAATTATGGTATCGACCATCACATGGTCTTATTTGACCATTTAACGACACGTAGTGTTTCTGATTTTCCTACTCAAGCCTGCGATCAGGAAAAGATACTTGTATTGCTCAAATTGAAATTGAAAGGGAAGGTGGAGTCACAGCTAAGGATCAAAACAGAGGATGCACAATCACGACATGGGAGGCAAGGTGCAGAAACTCGAAGTTATGAATGAAATAAGGTATCCTCCAGAGATCAACAATGTGCTTGCCAAGTGAACAGTGGAAAAATGTAAGTGGAAAAGAGAAGAATTGACCTAGGGACTTAAAACCGCCATATCTGAGGCAGGGTTTGTGATTGGACAAGGACAATCATATCGCTCAAATTGAACTTGAAAGGAAAGACGGAGGTCACAGCTAAGGATCAGGACAGAGGACTCACAATCGTGACATGGGAGGTAAGGCACAGAAACTTGAAGTTATGAATAAAATAAGGTATCCTCCAGAGATCAATAATGTGCTTGCCGAGCGAACAGTGGAAAAATGTGGGTGGAAAAGAGAAGAATCAACCTAGAGACTTAAAACTGCCATATCTGAGGCAGGGTTTGTGATTGGACAAAGACAATCATATCGCTCGAATTGAAACTGAAAGGAAAGGTGGAGGTCACAGCTAAGGATCAGGACAGAGGACTCACAATTGCAACATGGGAGGTAAGGCATAGAAACTCGAAGTTATGAATGAAATAAGGTATTCTCCAGAGAACATCAGTGAATAATTTCATGTCCTGTAAAGCTAAGGACCAGGCCAGATGGCTCACTGCCACCATGTTGGAGGTTAGGTTAACAATCTTGAAGCTGTGAATGAAATATAGCATCTTCCAGAGGACAACTATGTGGGCACCGAGTAAGCAATGAAGCATTATATGTGCTGCTGTGAATTTTGATGCCACCTGTGTTAGATGAGTAATGACTATCAAGCATATATCAGTTGGCAATTATGCAAAAATATTGTGCTGTTGCACTCCAACCAGCACGTGATCACCGAGTGAGCGAGAACCAATCTACATGCTGCCGTGACATTCACTTGACTGTTACAAGAACATCTAGACGCTTGGGCCCCTACTATTTTTCTCCTAATCCTCCTCGTATCAGCCCTTGCATCATACCCTTACCCCGACCTTACCCTTGTCATCCTCGTCATCCTCGCATTCCCTTTCGCCCTCTACCTGTCGCTTCAGCAAAGCCAGTACATTTGGCCGGATCCTTTCACTGACGAAGCATACCCATGCTCCGTTTCACCACCTGACTGATCCTGCGGACAGTCCCCTTGCTTTACCGTCCGGACGGTAACCTATGATAGGATGCACGACGCATCCCCTTTGCCCTGCTCCCTTTTATGATCTCTGACTCAGTGCGCAGTCGCACATGCGACTTATACTTAGATCCGCAGCTGCACGATCGTGCCCCTCACGTTCTACCTAAACCGAATGTGCCTTCCTGTTATGGTCTTACCCTTTACCGATTGCCTCTCCCGGTAGTACGAGTTATCATCCACTAATATGTCCCCCGTCCTCTATATAAACTCGCTACCATGTACTATATTCCTTAACTTGAATCTACTTGGTTCTTGACCTCCTACTCTCACCAGAGTGATCCTTCTGCCTCGCCAGCAGTCTATATTCTATCCTCTTATCTGCTCTTCGCGGATAAGCCTATAGTCTCGACCTTTACTCATCGACTTCGTCAACGAGCAAAGTCCCTGTTAACTAGTCGGACTTCTGTCCTTCTAATTAACGACGATCCTTACGATTAACCTTCGGGTGTCGTAAGCCTAGGCCGATATAGCTTATCGTCTCGCACCCGCGTGACATAAGCTACCCGATTTGGATATAGGCGTTAAATCGTACTTGCCGAAGACACGCCAAGTACGACCCCTAACCTTGGGCTAGCCCAAGGACGTCCACAGACCGTTGACGACACAAGCTCTGTTTGAGCGTCGCCAACAGATACCATCCAAGTCGTAACAAAGACCTTCTGTGTTTATCCAATGACTCGCAGTTGCATTCCACTTTGGATACTAAAACAAGAACTTGTAATCTCACACACATGCCTCATCTTTATGATGTGGTCCCTTACCTCCAGCCTCAACAACAGTGGGCCATGCATTACTCCAGTACCATACTTACTGCTCAATAAACATAATTTATATTGTTCCATGGATTAGGACAACCACCCATCTTTACCTACTGAAAAGATAATTTTTTTCGCAGGCATTTGGACCTCTTTGATTTAAGTTCTCGTGTTTGCAACTATGTTATCATTGGCCAAGATCATTGATTTGCAACAGGCTCTCTAAACTGGAAAGAAATGTTGTAGAAAGCCTAAAATATACATTATAATTTGACTATCTTGAGTATCATGAATTGTGTTCATCTCGCAGACCTAGAGCTTGAATAGTGCTGTTCATGTGAATGCTAGAAAGTTCACAGATAACCATGATCTCGTCATTCGTCCTAAAATTCACTTGTCAAACACAAGCGGACAGATGCACAAACCAGATCTTTAATTTTGTGACTGATGTAAGGACTATAATATGTGGGGTATAGCCATGGTTTAGATGTATTTGAGAATAGTCAGCAGATTCATTGGAATGTCCGAGTTTCAGACTGATTGATAATTATCAAGCCATGGGAGATAATTAATTGTGAATCAAAAGTAAATATTTGTATGGAGCTAGTAATAACGGTGCCCTAAGACGAATCAAAAGCAGCATCATCTCTTTGTGCCCTCTGCCTTGCAAGAGCATTGACAGACATGTTGGCTTTTGCCATGTTGGTGAGGTCATTGCAGTTGTTCCATCCAAAGACCTTTCTAAATGATAATCTCAGGTGAGGCTTACAATGGGGAGTATACATGACACACCTAGTCCACCATTCCATGAGTACATCAACCCTGTGTTTTGCTATTCGACCAGGAGGCTTTTCGAAGAAGTCCACGATGGTCTGCCAGAATTGTTCATAGTTGAAGTCACCATCAATGGATCACCATGATGTGACAGATGAAAGTGCAAATCGAACCTGTCATGAGGTCGTTATTAATCATCAGACTCGCCAAAATAATGAGACTTACTTGGCAGGCAATGTATGTGATTGAACGAGGAGTGACTTTTTTCATCTTGATGATCTGTGCAACATGTTTCTTGACTTTGATTCCGAAGGCAGACTTACTAGCATGTCTGTTGTTCCGGATGACATCTATGCCATCATTATCCCCTTCAACATCCTTTGCTGAGGAAGGTGATGTGAACACAGCTTTGTACACCTGACAAAATTGGTGAGTCTGAGATAACAATGATCAGGTTACACACACCTGAAGCAGAAGTTTGCTTTTGAAAAGACCATCCTCTAGGTCATTTTGATTGGCGGTGTACTTATCATACAGGAAAGCCAGAAAGGAGAGATCAGTCACGATATAGCCATCTGAGTGATCTCGAATTCCTGTCCTTATGCTAACAAATAATGAGTGATTGTCCTGACATTCTGAGTGCACTACTTACGCGGGATTGTTCCAATCAAGCTTGGCTGGGCAAATTAGCCTTCCGCATGCATCATTGGTGAACCCATGAGAATGTTTATTGTCAGTGTCAACCAGAGGATTGGGCTTGAGTTCATGGTTAACCCATTCGGCGACAAGAGCTTTGAGCTTTGAGGTATCATCACCTCAAGCATCATCGGCCCCCTGCTGAAGCTAAACAAAGACTCAGAACAACCAAGCTAAGCAATGACATACTAAGAAAGCTAACCAGTTTCAACATCTGTGAGTATTTGTCATAGTCCATCTCCGTAGTCTTCAAAGGAAGCCATGGCAAAGCAGTCATGAGGGCAACATACCCTACTTGGTGCTGGTCTTGACTAAATAAAAAGGCAGGTGAGTTTCATTACTGGGAGTTTCCAAAGGTGAAGGACTTACTCGAGGCTTGATTCTGCATTATCGTCAATTTCATACCTTCTGTCATTTTCGGTGATAAGGTCTTCAATGGTATCAAATAGAGTAACAATATGTCTGATTGCTCTTCCTTGCGCCACATAGTAGTTCATTTGCCTCACAGATAGTGAGCAATGCCAACTCTATACATGGAATAATAGACTTACTTTTCTTTGACTGCGCGCCCTGATTCAAGAGTTACGAGTTTCTCCTCCAGTTGTGCAATTCACCGCCTCTGTCGAGCCTGTACTAGATGTGCTGCCTGGGATTCTTGATCATCCTGCAGCTGGTCCTCAACTTGCGGCATTCTGCCTTCGTCCTGGATGTGCGACTCTGAGAAGCTGCCCTCATGTGACATGGAGACAGATATAATAGATAAAATGGTTGGTATAAATATAGAGGAGAGTTGCTCAATGCTAAAGGAGGGAGGGAAGAAGCGGGACAAGGGATACAGCTAGCCAGCTCCCTTATTATATGGTAGACTTAAAAAAGCCGTGTTGCCTATTGGGGAGAACATTAAGCACCGTAATGTACACACCATGACTATGAGGGCTCACCTAAATAGATGTCTATTTAGGAAAACTATCAACATTAGCGCGCAAGTACTCCGTAAAGCTACCCTGTGTTGGCGAAGATACAGAACTGACAAGGGTCATCACATAGGTTGCAAGAAGATAGCAAAGAGTGTAGACGCACTGAATGCCAGTTGCTTTGTGCATACTACTTGTGAATGTACAGGTCAGTTGTACTAAGCTAGAATATATATCCAAATATCGAACCTGCAAGACATGACAATCCAGAGGATATCATAGTACATGAGTCAGAATCGACACGGCCCTTTAATGGCTTGGAGCAACACTATAACAGATGTACCCAAACAACTAAGCAGGGAAGTCAGTTACAACCAGATTAATATGAAGAGATTCACATAGTAGATGCCCTTACCGTGAAGTATGAGGTATAGGGATCATCTACTATCAGTCCGCTGTCTGTATATGATGGATGCATTAACCTACTAGGTATGCAACAGTCAAGCCAATGAGCGCGAACTGGCATTTTGAAAGGATGGCTGTAAAGGATAGATTGCAAACAAGATTCTCAAAAAAGACTGACATGACAGCATACTCAGTACCTGAATAAGAGGCTTCAATGGTAGTACTTACCAACCACTCGGTTGACAGTAATACCCCACCAGTAAATTGCTCTGTTTAATGCAGCGATGGGGGAGACCTATAAGTTGCGTGTCAATGAGGGGTGAGAAGTGCTTGACACAAACACTCAACTTCCTACCATAAGATTACTCTGAACAGAACAAGATATTGGAGCACGATCCTGCAGGTAGGCATAAAAAGTAAGCCATGATCTGATGGTACTGAGGCTGTCAGCACCTACATAATGAAATCACCAAAACTAGTACAAGACCGCCAAGGACCTTAACGATTCCAAGGTTCGAAACTGTCAGACCTGCAGAACCACCACTAGTGAGTAAAAGATGTCACAGAAGGACAACATAACACCAGAAAGAATTTAGTACTAATAGCAAGAATAAGAGGTTAGACCATACATGCGTGTACTTGCTGCTTACTGCTCTCAGGCTGAGGGAGGTCTTGTCCAAGCTACAACCGCATGTGCTTGGATACAGCTTGCTCGACTAGAGCAACAGCAACTTCAGCTGATGTGAGATGCAATGCAGTTACCATACCTGAAGTTGTACATCGGTTCACACAATACAGTGAAAAACTCCTTCTGCTCCTTCGACTCCAGGCATATGTAAGCTGTCCAGCCGGTCTGACATAGCATGTTGAAAACAGTGAAGGAGAAGTGCTTGATGTAGTCTGACTAGACTTCGCAATTGTTGAATTCAAGGCTACAGCGGCCTGAAAATGGTGGTCCATGTGACAACTAATAATGACCCAGTGAGCAACTTTAAGTGGTAAGTTATTCATGCAAATGGCTGATATTTTCTATGTATGTAAGGACGGACGATTTTGAATTCGTGGATTTATAGTAAAAGGCGTGTAGTTCAAACTGTCTATCTGACTTGAGACTAGAAAGAGAGATCATTAAGCATGTCACCAAATTCATCACCATACTCTTCACCCTCGTCTGGCAGCTCACCATCGCTAGGCTCTAAGTCACTGTCATCACATTCTTCATCGCCCTCGTCATCGCTACCCCCTTGTCCATCGTCATGTTTGTAATGATCCTCACCATCACCGGTCTCTTCATCATCAGCATGCTCCTGGTCACTGTTGTTCACAACATGGTTGGCCATCAGATCGGAACCAAGGCAATCTCTAGTGATTTTCCGCAGCATGGTGGAATGCCCAATGCCAAGGTGAATAGCGCATGAACATGCCTCGGTCGACGAATCTAGCTTGAAGTTTGAGGCTTGATGTGCACAGAAAGAGGTAATACACTTGTACTTACATCCCAATGTAATATTCTTCTCAATCCTCCAGCTGCCCCCCAGGGCGTGCCAACGACTCTCCCTGGCAAAGTGAGCTGACACCACGTCCTGAGGCAAATGCAGGAATTAAGTGTGCCCCTCAAATTACCTGTCCTGGGTCAAGGAACCTGAAAGTGTCCCGATCTGACTCCTCCACAATTGCCACCTTTGGAAGACGAGTATGTTTGGTGCCAGACTTATAGCCCCATAAGCCAGCCAGCCATCTAACCCAAAGAACTGCTGCTTCACTGGTCAACCCCCATCATTGAGCCATGCATCCATGTGGTATATACCCAATACATGGGCATACCAGTAAGGGTGACTAGGCCTTGTCTCCCCAGAAAGCACCATGATGTCCCCATGAGTTCTTGGGTTAATGGTGTCATACTTGCGCTGTAAGTCGTAGGTTATGTAGTATACTTGCATAGTTTGAACCGAGTAGATTGTATTGTTTGGAATAATGACCAAGTTGCATTCCTCGTCCATGAAGGTGTGATCACAATAGCTGATTTCCAGCTCCCGCAGCCTGTATAGGATATGGTCCCTTAATTTTGGTATAAATCCTAATAACGAGTAAATTATCATGTGCCTCCAAAATACAACAATACTTCTACCTTGAGGGCTGGATCACCATTATGTGATCAGAGAAATGTAAATAGGTCGACTGGGTTGTTCTGAGTAGTTGCAATATGGTGATGCTTCAAGTCATCATTGGACGCCAATGGGGGGGAACTATGGGCCGGCTGTTGACTACTAGAGAGTAAATCTCCAACCTCTCTTGCCTGCCATAGTACATGGCGCCGATGCTCGTGCTTGGCCAACTGTGCTGGGGTATCTAATTTGTTAGTTAGCAGATAAAATGCCTTTAGCGTTCTGTGAGCAAGCTCTCCCTAGCCAAACATAACTTCAGGTGTGCGGGATGAAAGTGTACAGTACATACAATCTGAGTAGTGAAGGAATCTGTTGTCCCATAGAGCCTGATGGTTCTCACATAGTCTCCCATTGCGTGAAACTTATAGGTACTTAAATTGAATTTCTTCGTCCTTGGCCCATTGGATTCCAGAAGAGAACCATTTGTTTCCGGGTGTTGAGCAGCTTTTCGCTGGCAAGCTGCTTTCTCCTTAGGTAGTTCAATGGCGTTGAAGGTGGCACAGAAAGACGCTTGAAACTTCCGTAACTTCTGCAACAGCTTCTTGAATGTTTCTTCGAGAAAATTGACTGTAGACTCTGAGTGAAGCCTGAGCTTGGCAAGAGCATGCCATTGCGCAAATTGATACAACAGAGACTGCACCATTGCATCATGTTTATCGGGGAACAACCCTTCAAAGACTGGAATGGCGCACTAATGACAGGCTGTCAGTGGGTCGAATGCAGAAAACAGGTAGCACAACCTGTAAGATATCTTCAAAATCATGAGATGCCAATCTTTTCATCTCAGACGTATTATTTGAAAATCTACGAATGATGCCATTGCCAAAGGTTGGGACCTGTCAAAACCTAGAGTAGGATGGAGTTGTGTGAACCAAGGAACGTCACCCTTTATGACCTCCTCATACCTGCTATCCAGGGCTGCGACGAGCTCACTACCCTGAGGAAGGGCATACAAAAGCCTGATAAGATGTGTGAACAAAGCCTTCCAGGTACCCAGTTCGTACTCGTGCATGAAGTCGACAACGAGCATGCAAAATGGATTGAGGCCTAGAGATCCAAGCTTGTCCACAAACTGGTTCTGCAAGTAGACAGTGTGAGCTTATCATGAATGGTAAAATAACACTTACCAGAGTAGGTATCCATGAGCCCTCTCCAAGGGCGTGTTCTACCTTCGCACCGTCTACCGTGTTTCCTCCAGTATATATAAATTCATGAGCCCTGACAACATTGGCCATGACATACACTCGAAGGCTGTTCATGCGACTTCACATGTCCCTTGCAAGTCCAAGAAAAATAAATGAGCTTTTTGGTGTCAGGCAGCGAGGACACAGACATAAGCCCATGTCCTTAATAGTTGCAATTAAGACCCTGCAAATCAATGAGTGATTCAATGTTCTTCAGAAGGTCTATGGATGGATGTACTTCTCGGGATAATCAGCAGAGTACATGAAAATGCAGGAAAGACCCTCCATACCACCCTGTCAGCGCATTTCAGAACAATACCATGGTGGTATGCAGAAAGAAAATCTTCATCCAATAGGATCTCCCAGAAGGAATGAAACAGTTCTCTGCGGCAGTGGGCATGAAGAGACGCCATGCCCATCTTCAATATGCGAGATAGACCACTGAAAATATCTTTGATACTATCGGGAAGCTGCCATTGCATTGTCAACAACAGTAGACATGCCAGAGGAGTACTTACTGAGGGTAAAAACCCCACCAGGTGGCATGCCCCTGATAAGGGTGATGATCATGTATATTTTGTGAGATTCCAAAAATATAGGTAGAGCAGCCAGGCCTTCACAGTCCCAAAGTTAGCTAAGTGGGTAGCATCGGAAAAAAGCATGAGACCCGCGATGACACGCTCCAGCAAACACCCAGGTTCCTTTGGTATCTGCTGAATGCTGTTCTGAGCTTCTAACCAGGCATCGGAAGTGTACAGTTCATCATAAATCCGCTCTTGATGGCCATCTAAAGAATCTTTCCATATACATTGGAAAGGAAAGAGATGGAATGCCCCCGCCTGTACATCTGCAAACACCACACAGATGACTTCAACAAGAGGGCGATAATAGAATCCGGGAATGTTATAAGACTGAGGGTCATCCTCCTTTGATTCATTGGAATGTCGATTGTGACACTAGTCTGGACCCAGTCATCTGGAAAAGTAATCCCACTTCTGTTCTCACCCTTCTCTAGTTTTCGTAAGCTTTGTCTCACTGAGAAGTTCTTGAGGTCTTTATGATCAAAATCTTCTGCCATCAGGACATCTTTGACCAGATGAGAGACCTTTGTTTCGGATAACATGGTACTGCCCTCATTCATCCAGGACACAAGTCAATAGATAGTCATGTTAGCGAAGGGGTAAGGCAGCGTGAAAACATTTGATGAGGGATCAGCTCCATGGGTAACTGTAGGAGACATTCTTGCCAGTAGCAAAGAAGGAATGAATTTATCTGGCTCAAAAGAAGGGCAATGAGGGTAGAACCAGCATAGTCCAAATGAGTTGAAGCTAGTCTGAAGTGTATCCCTTAGCATTAAGAGAATGTGTCAGATTCTAGATTGGGTGGGTAGTGAAGCCATTCGCACTGATGGGATGTCAGTACTATCGGAATAGTTAAGATTGTCATACGAAGGCTCGATGCAATCAAGAGACCTTGGAATATGTCTCATTGGGGATACATGTTCCTCTGAAAGGTTCAAGCAATTTATATGAAAAAAATATCAAAGACGATAAGAACACAAACCTGGATCCTCCTGATCATAGTCCAACACAATTCCAGATATACTTGCCATCTCAACATCAATTTTTCGCTGCTCCGAGTCGAGGGTGTGTTGTGGGTCAGCAAGATTAGACTCTCTGGCACTGGTACACGATCCACTAGCCATAGAGATTGCCCCAATGAGGCCGCAAGGTACAATAGGTTTCAGACTTGATTGGTTCCTCACATGTCAGACAGTTGAAATTCTCTAATGGTCATAACTTTAGTATATTTCGAAGTAGGCAGTTCAACTTTACTGTAACTCACTGAGCCGCTTGCTGAAGGGGTTAGAGCCAAATGATTATTGGATAGAAGTGCCACTTTTGCGCGCTTTTGTCTCTTCCGAGTCGCAAGACTGCTTGCTCTCTTGTAAAAACGGCAGGTTTCGTGATGCCTGCTGAGTCCATGACTGTCTGTTGGCCTTTCCCAGGAGCATCCTGGAGAGTTGCAAGACACCATGAGAAAAAGCAAGAAAAGTCCAATACAACTTGCAACGAGGTGTATGGCAGTTGGCTAGCACATGTAGTATGTCTGCAAGAAATTAACAAGTTTCGCCAAAGCGGCTATCGTAGTGGTGGTACTACTTACTTTTGTTGGGAGTCACTGTCACTAGTAGTACTAGCAATAGTTACAGTTGTCTTATCATAGCATTGGTGTGTGTAAAAAAACATCATTGTGACTAGTAAGGGGTACTATCACATAATCGATCGTGGTATCATAGTACAATGTTGTTTCAACATACATTGATTGGGCAGGCATCGACAAAACCAATACAAAACTGATACATGGTCAAATTTCCAAGAAGACAGACATTCAACATGTGAACATGCGAGGTAGACCTGAGGCATATTTGTACATAGTAGTACCAAGAACAAGTGCCAGTATATCCACCATGATTCCTACATAAACACAAGAAATTCGAATGAAGGGCAATAATGTCTGGAGATATGGTAAGTAGGAGGATCATTATCAGGAAAAGCCGTACAGACTAATTATCCACAAACTGTTACTGCATTGCAGAACAATCAGTGAGCATGACAAGTTCAGCATCAGCCAGAAGGAAAGATCTCTTGTCATTGTTGCAGGTTGCAGCAGCATATTCAGCATGTGTAGCGGTAGCATGCATTGTCTGTTGTTGAACAAGAACATCCAATAGCCAACGCGACACTCGCTCTGCCATGATGAACTCTGTTTCAGATTCATCACACAAGGAGCAAAGGAGGGTGTGCAGCCTTTGGACCTCCGTGACCTCCCAGCGTGCGGTATACCAGCGCATGCGTTTGCATTCTCGAACAGCTTCCTTGTAATGAACAGCACAGTGAACAGAGTTCAGGCTGAGCCGTTCTATGTGACTACGGTAGATATCCTGAACCTATAAATGACACCTGTGTTAGTATCTGTGGTATATTGTTCAAAACATGGCTTACCCTTTGGCTGATCTTCTCCAATGATTGCTCGTCATTGACGGGTCTACCTAAAAATTTGTCGAAATAATGTTGGTCATCCAAAGAGGTGATCATGGGATAAATAGAGAAAGTGTTGGTATCTTCAATCTTGAGAGAACGACTTGGAGTCGGTGATCCTACCCCAGAAGAGGGCTTAGCAACATGACATGCGCTGTGGGATTGCTTGGATTGAGGTGTCATCAGGAAGTTATTGTCCTCTCCATCTGAGGCATTGGTGCTACTGGCAGCCACTGTCATCTCTTATAAGTCTATTCAACAGTGACATATGATAAGTTACCAATACCTGATGCTAATAACTGATGGTGGAGAACTCGGAGGAGAGTTTGAATAGAGGCTAGAAGCACCACTTGGAACATCACTGTTGATATTGGGACTGCCAGCCTGAGATGTATGACGGCCAACCTGGTTGACTTGTTGACTCAGAGGTGAGGATGCAAAGGATGGAATGTTATGTTCAGAATTATCACCTATGCCACAGCTGAAGCAGGATGGAGGCTTAGCCTCGACTTCATCACTATCATGAAAGGATGCTAATTCGAAGTGCGACATGTTCAATAGCGGGATTGTAAGGTATTTTGATTTTTGGTCTGTAAATTGACTGGTAAATAAGTCTTCAGAGTTTGAAAGGAACTTTGCTGAATGACTTGGTGCTTCGACTATTCACATGTACACTGGCAGTGTTTGCCAGACCCCTCGGACAATGATAGACTGCTAGCTCAAAAACTCGTCAGCCAGTTGCCTGAGGAGGAAATATATTAATAGAGCAAACTCAGTACATACCAAAAATGGAAATCAATACTATGTGTTGCTAAAAAAAAAAAGAACTGATTGGATATTCGCCAAATGGATCTTGCTGGCCGTAGTACAGCCCTATACCTCCCAGTGAACCTGACTGCGCACATACACATGTCACAGGTTGGACCCAGGACCTACATGCTGTCATCCTCTATATTGTACGTCACCAGTGAAACACTCAACTATCATATAGATTTGGAGCTCACCGATTACCAGCCCCGACCCAGCCACTTCCTAACAACTGCCTGATGACTTGGACGGTGACATGTTTAAATATGACCGTGAGCATCATGCAGCTGACAGTCATAATGAAGTGGCAGCAACTCTAACCACTCCCTCTTGGGTCAATCAGGATACAATTGTGCATGTCCGAGTCCAAGTCGGTGTGTTTGAATATTCTACTACATCCATAGTGCTTCAAGTTGGTCCCACTAGTAGTACTGGTTCTCCAAGTCAGGCTGCCAGTGGTACTAGTACTAGTAGTACTGACTCGGACAGGTCGTGCTCGGAGCTCCTGGATCCTAGTGAGTATCAAAAAGTACTAGTAGTAAGTGGCCACTCGCCAGTTCCTTCACTCGCTGTAACATAGTACTCACATAGTACATGTCTCATTAGCAGTTACAGGAGAGTGTTGAAGTCATTGCGGCCACCTCTCGTTCAAGTTTGGAAGTTAAGGAAAATGAAGGAGCTGCCACTGTCACAACTCCGAGTCCAAGTCTGACTTGGTGGAGGATGGTAGGTGCATTATAGCAGCCATGTATTTCACTGTACTGATTCAGAGAGATGATCAGAAAAATGATATGGTGGAAAGTCGCCAAGTCATACAAGCTCAGCTTGAAGCCTCTCGTACAGCAGCTGGTACTACTAGTACCTGTCAGATTCGCAAGAGGAAGAGGATTGACAGTGTCGATGCCAACTTGAAGCCGCTGTATTATTGTGATGCTGAAAAGCAGAACATATTGCTATCTCCCAGTGTGAGTCTGGATCGTACTCCAGCTATCAAGCCATCCGCAGGGAGAAAATGAGCACTGACTGGCAGACAGTTCTGATGTAGTCAAGTATGGCGAAGAACACTTAGTAAATAAAACACCTGCAGTGATTGAAGATAAGTAGTTGTTAGACTCAGACTATTCTGTATCCTATATTACATTTGCCACTGTCATAATCACCATCATAGTCAAGATGGGCTTGAAAGAGATGAATTTTAGTTGCAAAGAAAATTAGCAGAGAGACTTCCAGTCAGCGGTTATGGCCACATTATGACCAGTGCAGCTACGGTACAGTAATGCTTGTGATTAGGTGATACATTTTGTCTACGGATGGTCAAACTGGCGTAGTACATCAATCAGAATACCCCGAAAAATAATGGTTCACCATGACTGCATGATATCACGGTGGTACTAGTGGTTTATGGTTGGCAGTAGTACTATCCGCTAAATTTGGAGGCGCAACACTGAACACTCACAGATCAGTTCAGCGGTGGCCAGCCTTAATACTATCATAATCATAAGCTCATTACTTCCTACATATGAAACACAGGCTTTCATCAGTAAGCTGGCGGAGAAATTAGAATGAGATATGGCAAACAATATGATATATGGCATCTAGTAGTAGTCCTCACAATTATCAACACAATCCTGTTATCTTGGCCATTTTAACGAAACAACTGAAATGACACTGGTACTACTAGTGTTCCTAATTTTCCTACAGAAGTCTGGCGAAAATGCGACTCATCACGATATCATTCAAATTGAAATTGAAACCAACCCCAGGCTAGTTTTGAGTTAGTCCTCGCACACTTGGCAGCATAATGATGATCATTGTCTGCAACAGGATGATGGCTTACTTGAGAATGCCAGGTGTTTTCAAAAGGAAGAACACCAAGATCACCTAACAATATTTAGAAGTAAGTCCACAGAAGAATGATAAAAAGCACGAACAGACTCGGATAGTGCATAGCATTTGACCTGGAGGATACAGGGACTGTGATGGTGAAACGTCAAAGTTGAAAGGGCAGGAGAGGAAGAGAAAAGAAGAACTGGTAAACAAACCACAATCAAACATATTAGGAAGCCGCTGCGCAAAGTCCTTTTAATGGGAAGAAAGGAACATATGTGAGTATTGAGAGAATGGGAGTTACCACGTACAGGAAGAGATCAGGCACATTTGCAGATGATTAGTTGATATAGCTCAGAACTGAGTGACATGCGACTCATGCTCCTAGTAGCACTAGCCTAGGGGGTGGCATGTCGAGCATTGGTTGAGCATGATGAGTTGTTTATTGATCCAAAGAAAGGACTTCCAAAACGTGTTTGGTTGCTTATATAAGATATGAGCCGATTCATAATCAACAACAGCCGCAGCTAGCCTAAGCCGATACTTTGATATTGAGTTTTGCTGGTATCTGCCAGGGCAGCTATGCTGCAACTTGAAAGCTCTCAGATGGGTATTCAACGTAAGATTCAGTCCTAAATGATTCTTTCTCACTATCTCTACTAGATCCGCTATGCACAACCGTTTTGCAGCAGTCTGACTTTAAGTCAGATGACATCTGAGTGCATGATAACTTGGAAGTTCCGCCGACTCTTCTGAGAGCCTCAGCTGGTCTCCCGTTCCTCGAACTCCAGCTCGTCAGACTGAATAAAGCACCAAGGTCGCACTAGCAAGTCATTTCCCATCAGCGCATGTGACCTAGTGTTAGTATCTTTACCAATAATTTTTCCCTTTCTTTTCTTTTCAGCCCGAATTTGCCAATGCAGCTTGAACACTACCGGAGCACACAGACACCTCTCCACAACCGTATCCAGGCCAGCCACCGGGATGGTGCGGGCTTGTATAGGACCACGCTGGTAGCTTTGGTGGTCTGCCTTCTGGTGATGCAGGGACTGGTATTGTATTCGACTGAATGGGCTTTCCTGAAGCGCGACCCCTGGAGGGCCCAGTCATTGAGGCAAGCACTGAACCTGAAGTGAGGACTGAGACAGATACACCTTCCTCAATTAGTGTTTCCATTGCATGTTCTAATGCTCCAGCAGATTGTGTTGTCTTGAGGTGCTGCGCATGCAGCTAGGACTGGCATCAATGATTTGCGAGGTAGATGCAGTAGTCTTCAGCTGAGCTGCTAAGTTAAGGTTACAGTGTGTCCTCAGCTGAAAATTTTCGCCTGGTAGATCTCATTTCTTTTGTTCATATGATGATGTGTGTACTGATCTTTCCCTAGCCGCATAAACCTCACCTGGAGGCACTGCAGCATCACTCTGATCACTGACCCTTCTAATCCAGATAATCATAGGACATATCGAGCCATGATGTACTCGGATCGGGGCAGACTCGGTCCTAGTAATGGCAAGACTTCAAGGCTGCAGTTGAGGGGTTATTGGGAAGGTTCTCAACTTGGAGTCACTTTGAGAACTTGGGGCAAAGTCTAGAATAATTTTGTCACCCTCCTTATCGAGGTTGTTAGTGACAGTGTGTACATACTTCGTAACACTTCTTCAAGTTGCCTGCTGCACGTGGAATTCAATTCTACGATATCCTTCCACCTCCTTGAGTTCTCAAGCCCAATTAGTATGCATATAGGGTTTGCTCCAACCCACGAGTCATATTATCGAAGTAGTTATCTTACGCGACATGAGGTGCGCCGACTAATTCAGACTCGTAAATTTCTGTATAAATTTGTCCAGTAGAACTTTCTGCCTTTGATTCAATTTGATGCTATGTGATGTTACCAAATGGAATGCATGTTTAAATCAACCAAAGCTGTGCCTTGAACCTTCAAAATGTACCGATACTAAAAGCCAAATTAGGTATGTTTGTTTTAGCGCCCATGCCTCGTTGTTTGGGAGTACGGTTAGAATTAGTCGAAGAATTCAATTCATCAAAACTTCTTCCTATCATGGACTCACAGACTTAATTCTTTGGTTGAGATGGTGCTAGTATAACTTGAAGGTTCCCAGCAGGATGTGGACTTCCTCGGCCTGCTGCCAGCAATGTACTCTGGTGTGGACGATCCTCAATTCAACTTCATTGATGCACAAACAGGCAAAACTTGTAGTAATATAGGCTACAGTACCCTTGGCTCTGACGATCAGCTGCAGCAGCCAGCACCGCTAGCATCTTTTTCCAGACACACCAGCTTTCCTGTCTCATTTCAACACCCCAACTTAAACTCAGTCACGGTAAGTGGTCAACTTCTACTAATATTTGTACTCAAAGAGGCCGATAAGCAGGATTTGGACTCAGATGCGGGGCGGGTAGTGGGCTATCCTCATCACTATATTCCTAGCTTCAGTGACCAGCCTCAGCTGGAGCTGCACCCCTCCGGAAATACTACTTCTGGTGAAGGGCCATCATCATCTCAGCTCAACACATTCCAATACCCCAACATCGATGCCTACCCCAACTACCATAATGACTATGGCCACCAGTATACCTCCGGAAATGATAGTCAGATGCCCCTCTCATACCCAAACATCAACATCCACATGAGCTATCATGAAGACTCACCACCAATATTTTCCAATGTGTCCTCTCTTCACCTCGCCCCCTTTGACTCACATGCAGACACCATGCTTCCAGACCCTAATGTAGATGCCCGCACCAGCTATTATGACTACTCCACTGGTGAAGACCTGCCAGCCGCTACTGCCTCCACATCATCACATTCCATCGCTTCATACTTCCCCAGCTTTTATGCCCCTTTCCAATCGGCTGATGGTGTTTCTACAATGCCAGACTCTGAGGATGTGATGCCACTTGGCCAGCCCTTACCTGTGGACAAGCCGTTGTCCTTCGATGCACCATGTCTCAAAGAGCCATTGTCTACTTCTGTCAGACCCTCAGGCTCTAGAAAACACTGTCAAGATTGTTTTATTGCATTTGATCCACGACACAAAAAGATAAGAGGTTGGGCGCCCGCCACTTCAGCTGAGGTAGGCACCTATACTTATTAACATTACAGCTAATGACGACTAATGGGCCTACAGGATATTTCAAATGTCAAACCATCTGCGCCACCCTCCCAGCCTCTCGTTGCTGGGTCCAAGCAACCCACATCTGAGCCACTGCCTGGGGTAGGACCTGTGGAGTATGATGAGAGTCATCCAATTCACAAATATATCATTCAGAAGGCGCTGGATATAATCATTACCACTGTCATCAACGGGAATCCTTTCTTGTCCAAGGAAGCATGAAAGCAACAAATACATGCAGTGTTAGGCAGTGCAACACGTTCCGTTGCAGATGTAGGTGAGGTAGTGCTTTCTCTTAAAACAACTGATGTTTCATTGTACTACATGAACAGATTCCGTGAACCGATGGACTTTGGATAATGAATTGGCGCTCTATAAACTCCTCTCGGCGCCATCAGTAAATATCATGGCTGTTTTCAGAAAATATGCTCAAATCCTCGTCCCGCATGGCTATGACCTACATCTTCCACTTATGTCCAATAACTCTGAGCTGAAGCACCAGTCACAAAGGTCAAAAACTCTCTTGAAGGAGCCTCTGTTCCCTCCCAGATTCATCTTTAAGAATGATGGAATGCTACCATTCGAAAATGATGTGCTCTTGTACTGCACAACTACAGTTGCCATGCTTTGTGTCTTGCTAGGGCTGAAGGGTGGGGGGGAACAAAAGTGTGGAATTTTCGGTCAAAGTATTCTGACCCCTGTTACGACTGGGATAGTTCTGCTGTCTATGGTCAAAGATAAACCAGTCAAGTAGACAGTTCGTCGAGCCTCCTAGTACAAGGAGGGTTCTGGTTCAAGGGTTCACACTAGACGAGCACGGCGGCCTCTGTCTAGGATCGGCGGCGAGTGGTTTTAGCACTTCTACCGCAATCAAGGGTTCAGGCTAAGGACAGTGAGTGACTGCCTCAGAATCAGGTATCAGGCTATAAGGGTGGAGACCTTATAGATCAGGATTCAAGGGGAAAACCCAGTAGATTAAGTTAAGGAATACAGCTATTGTACATGGGGTTTATATAGGTAAAGCGGAGCGGCACAGCCACGTCAAGAAAGGTAACACAGATAGGAAAAATAGTACAACCTATCAAGATAGCAAAGATAGGTGAAACCGCCATGCGGCGCAAGATAGTATCTATGTTACAATCAGGAAGAAGAGAAGTGCGGACAGCCCGCTTGATAAAGGAATAGCCGAGTCTAGTAGAGTCTAGAGTTTGGCGGCATGGTTACAAGAAAAGAAAAATGAAATAGGAGTAAATGTTATTGTAACATTACCCTGGTGTAACCGTTGAAGTCTCCGGCTTCAACAACTATCCATCCTAGCATCGTCATAGTAGACTAGGTCGGTGTTTGCGTTATTGAAATTGTCAATGTCCGTAGAGGAACTAGGTTGACGGCAGTAATCTTTGTCGGCTTGCTCGCATTCTTGTTCATAGAATGCGCGCTGGTCTGCCTCCCAATTATGGAGGGCTTCATAGAATCCATTGTCGGTATAGACGATGGGGAGTGGGTATATTCCTTTCAAGTCTTTACAGTAGACCGAGAGGTGTCCTGGGGCCATGGCGTGACACACCATGCAAGAATACTGTGGGAAGTTCTTATGGCGGTGCCCATATTCGCCGCAAATGCAATACTTGATATTGTCGAAACCTGGTTTCTTAGCTGAGATTTTTGGTGGGGGAGATGGCGATGGGGATGTGAGGTCAATAACCTCCTTTTTCTCAGATTCTGAGGAGGACTTCTTCATATGTTGCTTCTCAAAGGAGCAGGTGGTTCGGTATCTGACGGGTCTTCCTCCTCTGGTGGCAACCTGAGGTTGCGGTGCTCTGACTGGGAGCGGAGCGGGAGTCGAGTCACGATTTGGTGACTGATTATCGGTGCGAATAGGATGAGGAGAAGACGGGCAAGTGACTTGAGTCGTGGTTCTGTTGGCAACGATGTGTACAACTGATAGCAGCTCAGGCTTAAGGCTATCAGGAAGGAGCTGGAGCGCAATAGAACGGATGCGCCTCTGGCACTGGGTGATTTCATGGGCTTCTTGAGCGGATGCGCTCGGGAGTCTGCCTGCTGATAGTTCAATCAAGCGTGTGGTTCTGATGAGGTTGATTATGGCGGCGATGATGGCGGTGCTTCTAGCTGGGCGTCTGGTGAGGTTTCTTTCCAGTGCGAGTGCATGTTGCTCTGATGAAATCATTGCTTCAAAGAGAGTGTCTCCTTCAATACGATCAATGACTTAGAAATAAAGAGAGGATGCAAGCGAGGAGTCGGTATCCTCTGCAAATGAGGGGTCTGAGATAGAGGAGGCAAGGGAGGAGTTTTCATCAAGGACGAAGTGTTCTTCAATGGTGATTGTGTTAGGGGGGAGAGTGGCCATGCTATTTTGTGGCTTTCTTGGAACTGATGATATTCAGGCGAGTTTCGCCTTCTTCTTATATGCTTGGAGAAGTGTCTGGGAATTTTCTAAGTCGGTCTCTTTGAGCCATTCGTTGGTGGCAGAAGAGTACCCTTTCCAGGATACTAGATAGCGATGGCATGCCACTGTTCCTTTGTGTGTGAGAATTGCCTCAACTTCGTACTCCTCAACTCCATTGATAATGTCAGGTGAGGGTTCAATGAAATTCGGGCCGTGAATCTTTGTCTCCCGATAGGAAGATAGTTCAGATGTGTGGAACGTGGGGTGGACTTTCCACTGTTCCAGGAGCTGGAGTGTGAATGTGATGGGAGATAGCACCTTGGTAATGGTAAAGGGGCCATGCCGCTTTGGCGCCAACTTCTTTGATGGTAGGTGCGTCAATAGGTGTTCTGCTGACAACCAAACTTTGTCGCCTATCTTCCATGGTTCATACTTTTTCCTATGCAATCTTTCAGCCATTCGTTGCATAGCAATGTTGTGACAAGACACCGCTTCTTCTCTCATCTTCTGGAGGTTGGTAACGCGGTCCTTGGCCACGGGGATGTCGGTAGGTGGAAATGCGTAGGGGATACCTCTAGGCTCATAGCCCATCATCAGGAAGAACGGGGAAGTGTTTCGTGCATCATGCCTTCGGTGGTTGTGCACAAATTCTGCCATAGGTAGATGCTGTACCCATGTTTCAGGGTTCGATCGGCAGTGGATCTGGAGGTAGGTTTCGATTTCCTGGTTCAGTCTTTCTGTCTGCCCATCGGTCTGAGGGTGATATGCGGTGGAGAGTGCAACTTCATAGTCCAATAGCCTCCCGAGTTCCTTAGAGAATTTTGATGTGAATTGCAGTCCTTGATCTGAAATGAGTTTATCATGGAGTCCAAAATGTGGGAAGACTTTCTTGAAGAATAGTTGCGCTACCCCTTTGGAGGTGATGTTCTTCTTGCAAGGTGAAATAATTACCCCCTTTGTAAGTCCGTGGTCTACCACGACCATCATAGAATCATAACCACCGCTCTTGGGGAGGTCGGTGATCAGATCAACGGAGAGCTGGGAAAAGGGGCAAACACCGGAAGAACTGATAGGTTTCAGAGGGGGGGTGGTAGGGTGAGTGTCAGATTTCATCTGCTGACACGTGGCACATCCTTCAACATATTTTCAGATAAAGGTGCCCATCTGGGGCCACCAATAGTCTTGTTTGACTAGTTCTTCAGTTTTGAATCAGCCGGGGTGTCTGGCAGTCGGGTGATCATGGTGAAGCTGCAATATGCAGCTTCGAAGAGCAGGGGGCGCATAAGCGCGGTTCTTGTACTGCAAGATACCATCAGCGAACTTCCAATTGGATAGTGCCAATTTCATAGGGGAAAGGCAAAGCCCGTCTAAAGCATCACTGGCAGTCTTAATAATTGGATCTGCTGTTGGGTCGTCGGATTTCAATGCCGCTTCAAGTTCTAGGTCGATTAACTGAACAAACATGTCATCAGGTAGTAGAACTATGTTCTGATTGTCTGTCTCAGTAGGATGGTGGTCAGGGCGGCATGATAGAGCGTCAGGAGCAGCAAGCTTCATTCCTGCGATGTGGTGGAATTCGAGATCAAATTCGTTCAAAGTGAGCTGCCAACGAGCTTGTCGGCGAGTCAGTTGCTGGGCTGATCTGAAATAAAGGAGGTTCATGTGGTCTGTGAATACAATGACTGGATGACCATGCCCTTCGAGGTAGTGTCTCCAAGCCGTCAGGGCGCGGATAACAGCTAGCAATTCTCTGTCATAAATCTGATAATTTTGTTCTGCTGCATTGAGAGATGCAGAAAGGTAGGCGCAGGGGTGATATGCACCATTTTCATCGGTCTGTAGTAGCACTGCTCCAGTTGCTACTAGGGAGGCGTCTGTTGCAATAGTGAATTGCTTTGCAGGATCGGGGTTTCTAAGAATGGGTTCTGTCATAAAACACTTCCTAAGTGCCTGGAAGCTGTTTTCTTCTGTCTCGGTCCAGCTAAATGGCTGAGTTTTCTTCATCAAGTTGTTCAATGGTTTGGCGATGTCAGAGAAATGCGGGATAAAATGCCAGTAAAAGTTGCAGAATCTGAGGAATGATCGTACATCGGTGACCATTTTCGGTGTTGGCCAATCTTCAATGCCTTTGAGTTTGGCGGGGTCCATTGCGATTTGTCCAGGTCTGATTATCATTCCGAGGTAGTCGACTTCTTGTACGTCGAACAGGCATTTTTCCGCTTTCAAAAATAGCTTCTCCCTTCTGAGGATATCTAATATTCGATGTGTCGGTTCATGATGTTCTTCAAGGTTCTTGGAGAATATCAAGATGTCATCCATATAGACAATGAGCCATCCTTCATTCAGTTCTTGCTGGAATGTTTGGTTCATGTAGGCCTGGGGAGTACCGGGGGAGTTGCAAAGACCAAAGAACATGACATTTGGCTCGAAGAGTCCAAATTCAGTAGTAAATGCCGCCTTCCATCTATCTTCAGGGTGGATCCAAATATTGTTATAGCCGGATTGGATGTCCATCTTGGTGAAGTACTTTGCGTCACGAAGTTTTGCTAGGAGTGGTGGGATGAGAGGAAGGGGGTATGTGTTCTTGATTGTCCATTCATTAATATATCGGTAGTCTTGACAAGGCCAAAGTGATCCGTCTTTCTTTCCAACGAAGAAGAATCCACTAGATTGAGGGGATTTCGATGGTGAAATGAATTCCTTTTTTACGTGTTCATCAATAAACGCCTTGACCGCAGTTCGTTCTTTTTCTGACAAGGGATAGAGTTTGGATGATTTCGGGATATATCCAGGTTTTGTTTCAATCCTGTGATCA